ATTAAGCTACGGGCGGGGTGCTATCCCAAATAAATGCGTTTAAAGTACGCCGGCCCGTTGCTTTTTTTTTAACCAAATATTTACTAACTAAATGCAATTACGAAATTTACAACAAAAAATTGTTTGCAATTGTACGCGCTTTTAAAAAATGGAAACCAAAGCTTTAAAAAACCGAAACGTTAGTAAAAATTTAAACAAATTACAAAAACTTATAGTTTTTCGTTACCACCAAACTGTTTAACCAACGGCAAATACGTTAATCCGAATTTTTTAGCAACTTTAAATTCCAAATCGTATACAAGCCAAAAAAAACAACCATTGTGCCAAACGCCTTTTCCTAACCCTTTAGCGTTAAGCCAACGCTTTATAACATTGTTGCAAACGAACGCGTTGTTAATAAGCACAGGATTTTTTTCCTTTTAAAACGGTGGGCAAGCAAAACGCCGGCGCAATTTTAATGTTTTTTTTTATACTAGCTAAATATTTCCGAATTTATTAACGCGCTTATTAACAAAAGTTATTCCGCGTTTAAGCTTTGTTAAAACCTATTACAATGCTTTGCTAACCCGAATATCCGTTATTTCCCAACGTTTTTGCGCAAAACGTTTAAGGTTGCTAAAGCTAATTGCCAAGCAATTTAAAAGCGCATTTACGTTAAAAAAAGGCTATTTATCCCCCCAAACAATGCTTTTCGATTGCAAATATTGCATAAAATGCATAGCTTATTACTTAACGGCTACGCAAAAAAAAGCAAAACATACAATTTGTTGCGAAAATTATATTTTTGGCCAAAACTTTTTCGAAACGTTAGCGTTTTTGTCCGGGGCTGCCATTTTTGCAAAATGGTTAAAAAAGGGAAATATTTTTCTAGCAAGCTATTTTAGCCGCTGCTAATTCCGTTTAAACCATAAGCAAATTTGTTAATAAATTTTGTTAGCCCGTTGCCGCTATGTAAACGCCGGGGTATTATTTACACCAATATTTTGGTAATAATAAATAAATTAACAAAAATAAAGCATTACATTCCAATGGATACTATCGATACGGGCAGCTTAACAAACGTTTATTTATCGGTAATGTACCGTTAATACGGCACCCCCAAAACCATCGTATCCGATAAAAGGCCCCAATTTGTATTTAACTTTTAGCGGGAACTGTAGCAACGTTTAAGCATTATTTTAAAAAAGTTGTTAGCGTTTTACCCGAAGTCCAACGGGCAAACGGAAATTTTAAACGCGTACATGGAATAATATTTTCGTAGCTTTTGCTTTTATTATTAAAACAATTGGGTTAATTGGTTTTTATTGGGAAAATTCGCTAGCAACAATTAAATATTGGAAATAACGGAAATTTTACCGTTTTTTGCTAATTACGGGTAAAACCTTTTTATGGGATTTAAATTAGCTTTCTTTCCGAATACTAACGATACGCCGGCAAAGCAATAAAAAATTTACAATGCGTTTACGATAACCGATAAAATTTAAATAATTTTCGATTATGTTAAAGCAATAGCAACCGTAGCTTAAAAACGGTACGAAAAAGCGGTTAACCGTTACCAAACCAACCCAAGCACGTTCGTTACAAAAAATCAAATTTAAGTAAATACAAAAAATATAATATTTTCGAAGCCAACCCCCAAATTAAACGATAAATAAATTAGCCCGTTTTTTATTACTAAAGTTTATAAACGAGCTTTAACCGTTAAATTCCCGCCCCAATACCGTTTGTTCCCCGTTTTCCACATTTTATTAATTTAGCGGAACCATTTGGAATTGCCGGGATAAAACGCCATTAATAAAGGATATAACCAGCAAATTATTGGCGTTTTTTTAACGAAAAAGGAAAATACTAACAATAGCAACAAAAAATGGTTTTTCGATAAAATTTTCGATTTTAAAAAAACGCGGGAAAGCTTTTAGTACAAAATTAAATAGCCCGTACTTTACGCCCCGATTTGGGAACCTTATTGCAATTTTAAAAAAGCAAACAACCGCATCCGGAATTTTTACCGTTTGCACCCAAACAAATTTGGATTATTAAATTAATAGCACGAACCAAAAGCGGTATAACTTGTATAAAAAATAACGGGCCCGGCGTTCCGTTAGCGTTAAAAGCAATAAATACCAAAACGCAAAGGCCGCCCGAAAAAAGTTTAATTGCTACCAACATAATCCTTTATCGGAATTTTAGTTTAAAAATAACGTGCCGCACGCCGGCAATACGCAAGCGGTAAGTTAAAGTTAACGCGGAAAAATAGCGCTATAGCGCTAAATTATTACCGCGCGCTAAAGCGCGCAAAAAATAAATATACGCCCGGAAATACCCAAACGCTGCGCTAGCTAAACTTTAAAACCAAGCCAAAAAAAAAACGACCAAACGCCGCGCTTAAGCATTATTATTTTTAAATTTTAAAAATTTATTTTTCGAAAACGATAACGAATTGTTAACGGTTTATTCGCCGCTACCCGCTTTTATTACAACGATTTTTTTTATTTTGCTTTTCGAAAATAATAATAATAATAAATTGCTAGCGGTTTGCCCGCCGCTACCCGCTTTTAAAAATAACAACGAAAAGGAAAAATTACTTTTTTTTCGATATATTTACCAATCCTTTTCGGGGAAAAAAAAATAACCGGAAATTTATGCTAAGCAAAAAACATTATTTTAGGAAATTGGTCGAAATAACCCCTCGTTATAAGCAAAAAATTTTAGCGCGTTACCAAATATGCGGTATTATTCCAATCGTTTCCGTTTTTAGCAATAGCTACAAGCTATATGGTATATACAATTTCGTAATATTTTTTAAACATAAGCTTTTTTAACGGCATGCCAAATTGTATATTTTGGATTGCTAAAAAAAAGCCGTACCTTTGCCCGGTCCTTTTAAGCCGGGAAACGAAAAAAATGGTAGCAAAGCTAAGTGCTAGCTAACGAAATGGCAATAACGCGCCGTTGGTGCGCTAAAACAGCAAAAGGGGCGGGTTAAAACCAACGTTAAAATTTTGTAAAAAAAAAAATAAAAGCAAAACGTAAAAACGCTAGCGAAACGTTTATTTAGCGCCGGTTTTAAAAGCTATTTATGCAATAAAAGCGCCGTTTAACGGCGTTAACGGCTTTAAAATTACGCATAAAATGGGTGCATATACGCATAGCACGCGCGTAAATATCCGCTGACAAAATGTATACGTTTTCGGCGACGCTGGCAGGATCCAAAAGGATTGGCGTTTCGTTATCGATACGAAAAAAGCTTTTGTAAGCGGCGGCTAAGCGCTTAAAATTGCAAAGGTTTTTTTTTATGTAAAGGAACAATTACAAACCGGAACGTTAATAATGCGCCGGCAAACCTTAATTAATAAAACGCACTTTGTTACAATTATTTTTCCGATTTTAATATTAATAATATTAAACGTTTGGATAAAATTGCAATTTGTTATCGTTGCGTTAAAATTTTAAATTTGGGCTTACGTAATAAAATTTTTAAATAAAATGCACCAAGCCCGGAATGTTATTTTTGTACTAATTAATTAGCGTGCAAAGCGTTAAAAAGCAAGTAACGGCGCGAAACGAATAGCGCGTTACCGTGCCGGCGCGGATTTTGCGGGCGTTTATATTATTAATTGGTATAACGGAAAAAAACGAAAAAAAACGAAATAACGATAAAAATACAAAGCAACGATAACGTTAAACCAGCGAATTAAAAAATCGTAATGGTAAAAATGGTAATGGTAATTAAAAGAAAAAATTAAACGAACGTAACGCAAAGCGGGGGAAAAATTAAAAAAACGGCGAAAAAAACGCTAATGCAACGCGGAAATTCCGTTTTAGGAAAGCGGTAAGCAAAGCATTGCAAGCCCGTGCGCAAAAAAACAAAAAAGCGCCTTAAGCAAACGAAGCTATGCATGCAACGCCATACCGGCGTAAGGCATTACGTTAGCGCAATTAAAACAATTGCGATTTTGTAGTAAGGTATTGTTACGGTACGCGTCGGGGTATTTGGGGAAAAACCTAAGGCCGCACTTTTAGCGCGCCAACGTTACGCTTACAAAACCGCGATAAAACGCCAAAGACGCTTTGCCCAAATAGCTTCCTCTTCGTGCAACAACAAAGCCTTTTCTATGACAATAAGGTGTGAGCCGTGGCAGAAAAGGTTTAAATTTGCAAAAAACCATTGTTTTTGCACGCTTTTTCCCTTAAAAATAATAAAGGGAAGCAGCGATACCCCCGTAACCGAAATGCATTCGATAAACGAAGTTTACGTGCAAAACCCAGGCTTTTTACGTTGTAAAGGCCGGGTGCTAGCAAGGCTTAAAACAAGCCCGTTACCGGTTTTACCTTCCTGCAAGCCTTTTTCGTTGGCGTTGTACGTATTTTCCGGCTTGATCCGGGCCATTTCCGGTATTTGCAAGCGTTGCTACCATTCCGTTATCGTTGCAATTGTAGCTTTTTAAACGCGTGCGTTTTTTATGCGCTTTGATTTTTCGATTTGGATTTCCGGATATCGGCTTAAAAAAGCACGAATCCAATGCTTCCCGAAAGGTTGGGAATTACCCTTAAGCCGGAATATTTCCTTTGCAAAAAACCGGATTTCCGCATGCGTTAGTAAGCAGCTTAGGGAATCCTGTAATAAAATCCAATTAACCAAGCGTTTTTTTTGCTTAAGGGGTATCCGTTAATATCCTTTTTGTAATTGTCGGATAGGTAGGGCGCCTTTTATACGTTTCCTAAGGGTAGCTTTTGGGATTCCATAAAGCTGGGCAGCCCTTCGGATCCCGCCCCTTGTGCGCACCGCAGCAAAGGCTCGCTCGACGTCTTCTTTTGTATATTGCTTTTCCGGCATTTGGGCATTAGAATGCAGAAAAAAATAAGGAAAACGGACTAGAATTGATAGAAATATGAGGGCGGGAGTACTTTAGAAGATTCCATGTTGTGGGCCTACAAAGTGCGTCGACAGGGGGGGGTGCGTCGACAGGGTGTGCATTGACTTATACCAGCGACGTCATGCCAGAACCGATACAAAACAAAACTCCATCAAGCCACCCCTCGAAAAGCCCCGCCGACTTGCTCATAACATTCAAGTATCCAACATAGAAAAGAGAAGAAAAGAAAACATTCTACAAGGCACTAGCGCCCCATATCGCGCACGCCCGGGCGGGTCTCCCTCAGCTCAGCCCGGTGCAGAGCTTGCTCTTGCGGCACACGGCCTTTGTCAGCGTCTGCACGCTCCCGCTGCTGAGCAGCTCCAGCACCTGCATGTTAGCCTCGAACTCGCGCGTGATGAAGTTGCGGATCTCGATGGCGACGAGCGAGTCGAGCGGGTAGTGGCTCAGGCTGCGCGTCACGTCGATGTCCTCGGCCTCCATCATGAGCACCGCCGAGATCTTGTCCACGAGGCCGCGGCACACGGCGTCCTCGGCCTCGGCCAGCGTCGACGCCGCCTTGACCGCGGCCCCCGGCGACAGCGCCGCCGCGGACGCGGACGCGTCGCCCCCGCCGCCGGCCTCCCTCTCGGCCTCCTCGGCCGTCGCGAGGAGCGTCTTGAACTTGGCGTCCGAGTGCCAGAAGGGTTTGCCGGGTGCGGGGGGGATGCGCATGCCCGTGATGACGTGCCCTCCGCAGGCGGCCGTGGTGCGGCCGTCGACGCACGCGCCGATGAGAGCAAGCACCTCGGCCTCGGAGATTGTGCTATCGGCACCGAGGTTCTTTGCGACCTCGGCGGCGCGCTCCGGGTCGCCATCGGCGAGGTGGCCGGCGTCCGAGACGGCTGTAAGATCCAGCGATGCGGCCGGGAGGCCGAGGGACAGGCGGTGCTGGACGAGGGCGTTGAGGAATGTGTTTGCCGCCGCGTAGGCTGCCTGCCCGCGGTTGCCAACGGCGCCGGCGGCCGACGAGATGGCGATGAAGAAATCGAGGGGCGATGAGGACGCCTGAAGCGCGTGGTGGAAGTTCCAGGCACCCCGAACCTTGGACTCGATCACTGTGGTATAGTCCTCATATGCCATCTTCTCGAAGAGCACGTCGCGAAGAACCATGGCGCCGTGGACAATGCCCCGGACGGGCGGGAGACCATCGAGACCGGTTGCGAAAAGCTCGTCAACGCTGGCCTTGTCGGCGACATCACACCGGCGTACCACGACGTTTGCGCCGTTAACGCTCGCCGAGTCGATCAATTCTTTGACCTTGCCCGTCGCAGAGCCGCTGCGGGAGAGCAGGACGACGTTGCCAGCACCCTTCTCGGCCATCCACTTGGCCATGCTGCGGCCGAGGCCACCTGTGCCACCGATGAGCAGGTACGTACCGTCAGATCGGAGCAGGTTCTTGGTAGTCTTGGATGGGGTAGCCTGGTGAGAGTATATCACTTGTTAGAAACCGACGCGACTTGAAACAGGAAATGCAGGCGCGTGTTGTTGAGATTGACTTACCATGACCATGTCCTGAGACTTGGGCGCAACAACAACCTTGCCAGCGATCTTGCCGCTTTGCACAGACTTGAAAGCATCTTGCACTTCTGAGATGGGGAAGACAGCACCGGCCTCAATGGCGCGGAGCTTGCCCTCGGCCAAAAGCCTTGCGATGTCACGGATGAGTCTCTGCATGATAGCAGGGCGTTCGGCAGCAAGGCTGAGCATGTCGACGCTGGCAAAGGAGGCGTTGCTGGATCGGCCATCGCTGCCGAGGTCCAGGCGCGAGGAGGCGGAGGCGGTGTCCACCAGGCACCCGAACCGATCGAGGCACGACCAGGTCTCCCTGACGGCCCCCCCGTCGGTGGACTGGTTGAGCACAACGTCGACGCCACGACCTCCCGTGGCGGCGCGGATGGCGGGGCCAAAGGCGACTCCACGACTGTGGAAGATGTGGCTCTCGGAAATACCGTAGCACTCCATGAGCAACGTCTTCTCGGCCGCGGTGGCAACGGTGGCGTAAATGCCCTCGACGGACCTCATGATGTTTGTGGCGAGGCAGAGAGCTGCCTGTCCCACTGGAGTGGAAGCGCAGTGAATGAGGAGAGTCTGGCCGGGCTCGAGGCGAGCCTGTCCAACAAGGGCGTGATGTGCTGTGGAGTAGGCCAACGGGAGAGCCGCGGCCTCGGAGAAGGCCATAGTATCGGGGATTGGGAGGGTGTTGGCAGCTGATGCCCGGGTGAGAGTCGCATAAGCGCCCTTCTCGAGAGTCAGGGCTGCGATGCGATCACCCGCCTTGAAAGAAGGCACAGACTGGCCAACGCGGGTGACGACACCTGAAGCCTCAAGACCGGCAGGAGATCCAAGCTTGGCAGTGCGCTGAGCATCGCTCAAATTCACCCCAATAGCCTTCACCTCAAACTCGATCTCTTCATCACCCACTGCGTCCTGTACCGAGTCGTCGTCGACAAAGTAAGGCTTCGCCCCGCAGACCATCTTGATTGGGCGTCCGTTTTGGGTAAACGGCTGGCGCTCGATGATGTTGGGGTTCGTCTGACGATGGACATATGCGTTCGTGTCTCCATCGTCGACAATGCGCGGCGTGAAGAGCTTCCCTGCCCGCTCCTTGAACTCCATCTCCTTGGAGGCGGAAAGGCCGCCAGAAAAGGCAAGCTTGACAACATCGAAGACAGACTTGGCCATCTTTTGCCTAGCCATATCCTCCGACATCTTGGAAGTCGCCGGGTCAAGGTCAAGAGTGGCAAAGGGAAGCAGCGTCTCCGACCGGACCGTCCGGCTGAGGCCGCAGATCATGTTGGAGTTGGGCGAGGTGGACGAGTCGTAGGCGCCACGGACAACCCAGAGCAAGGCCTGGGCAGAGCCCGCCAGAGCGCGGACTGCTTCAAACTGCTGCTCGGTAGGGTCGGCCAGGAACGGACGATCGATCTCGCCCAGCACGATACAGAGCTTCCCCTCGGTGTCCATGTGTCCCAGGGTTCCCATCGCGGGGCACAGGGTGGTGGCACGCTCAATGACGTCGGCGAGGCAGCGGGCCAGGGTGTGCTGGAAAGCGGTGTCGCCATGCACGATGACCACGTCGGCATCTGGCAGAGCACCTTCTTCGGGCCTGGGGACCGCGGGTATGCTGTTGGAATGCGGACCGACGGTTGCGTTGGCACCATTGACAAGGGCGGGCTTCAGGACCTGCTCCCACTCGAGCTTATAACAAAGCTCGCGTGGGGCATTGGCCTCCACCTCGGCCTCGCCATCCATGATGGGCGCGACTTTGAGATCCTGGATCTGGACGAGGAGGTCTTTGCTCTCTGGCGCCGTCGCCATGATGGAGACATTGGTCGGGGATGGCTCGTGTTCGGAATCAGGGAAACGAGCTTCACCGTAGGCGCGGATTATGCTTCCGGTGTCCTTCGTGTGCTTCGTGACTTCACGCGAGATGGTGATCTTGCCGACTGAGGAGGGGAGGTAGACTGTCTCGGCAGTGGAACCAGCACGCCCAGCGCCAAGAATGGGCCAGTACATCTGCATCAACGACTCGAGAACGCTGGGATGCAGGACCGACTCGGTCATGTAGTGGTTGGGCATGTCTTGGGCGATGTCGGCCGTCATCACATTAGCTGAAGAATGCGTCGACGAGGCAGTGCAGCCCTTCAGGCCCTGAAATAAAGGCCCAAAGGTGACTCCAAGCTCCTCCAAGCGCTGATACATCTCGGCTGCGGGGATCTCGGCCACGTTCTCGGATTGCAGGGCAGCGATGGCAGCGCACACTTTGGCTCGAGCCGCTTGCTTCTGCCGCTCGCCATCGACCTCGTTGTTGTCGTCACAGAGGGTCGCAATCTCGCCGGTGCAGTGGTCTGTCCAGCCGTTGCCCTGGGTCCAGGACGAGATGCGGAAGGTCTTCCAGCCAATCTGGCCCTGCTGCTTGTCGTGGTGCGACCGCATGGAGATGGTCATCTCAACGTCGCCCTCGGCAAGCGCCAGCGGCTTCGAAACAGCCACATCGCGCAATTCAAAGTGGTCGAACGGTGAGTCTTTGCCCTTAGCAAGCTGGGCCGCAGCCTCGAGCGCCATGGCAACGAAACCGGAAAAGGGGAAGATGGTGAGGGACTGCACGCGGTGGTGGCGCAGCCATGGCAGGTCGTCTAGGTGCACAATGTTGCGCCACACGGGCTCCGCATCGGTCGAGTAGATGGCCTCGACGCCAATGAGGTCGTTGCGCCCAAACTTGCGGTGCTTGTGCATCTGGGTCATGCGAGACTCGTGCCAGAACTTGGACGAGTGGTTCCAGACATACCTCGGGAGGTCGGTGAGGAGCGTCGGCTGCCTGGTGCTGCCCTGACTGGCAGCGCCAAGTGATCCAGCAGGGAAGTTGACGGCGTTCATATTCAAGAAGGCTCCCTTCATGAAGAGCCCGCCCGCTAGATCGAGGGCCGTGTCGACGGCACCCTTCTTGCGGAGAAGGACCGCAGAGTATGGTGTCTTGGGCCGGCCTACGGCGGCAAGGATCTGCTTGATGGGACCCTGAAGGGCCGAGTGAGGACCAATCTCCACGAGGGCATTGATGCCTCCTTGCTCGGCCTTCTGCTCAAGCATGCCGGAAAGAGCCTCAGAAAACCGCACAGGGCAGGTCAGGTTGTCGACCCAGTAGCTGGAAGTGCACCTGTAGCCCTCGGCGCGGGTGCCGTACAGGGAGGAATGGAACTGCACGTCGGTGTTCCGCGGCTTGGTCAAGTGGTCGATGGAGTCGCGGTATTCGTCAGCCACGAGGTTCATGTGGTGCGAATGATAGGCAACATCAACCTGCAGGCGACGGCGGAACATCTCGGGCTGTTCCTCCTCTATGACGCGCTCTAGGTCGCCAAGGACCGCAGCATCGCCAGATATCGTCAAGCTTGACGGGCTGTTGTAGCACGCGATGCGGACTTCTTGCTGCTTGCGCTTGACCGCGTCAATCATGGGCTGCAGGTTGCTCTCGGAACCCCCAACTGCCATCATGCCTCCAGCGAGATCAGCATGGCGCTTCCTAAGCACGGGAATCAGACGACCGCGGTGGTATGCGATGGCGACAGCCGAGTCGAAAGTGATGATGCCAGCCGCATACGCCGCGCATATTTCGCCACTCGAGTGGCCAGCAACGGCCACGGGGGTGATTCCCCAAGAGAGAAGGAGATCAGTGATAGCCAGTTGAACAGCTGTGCAGGCCGGTTGGCTGATGTGTGCCTCATTGACTTTGGAGGTCTTTTCGTCCCGGTTGAGCTCTTCAACGAGCGACCAGGTAGCACCCAAATCCTTCAGCCGGGCGTCAGCGCGATCGAGCGCGGCCGTGTACACAGGGTATTGGCCATACAGCTCGCGACCCATGCCGTACCATTGTGCCCCCTGGCCGGTGTAGACGAAACCCAGCCTCAGCGGCTCTGGCTGGGTCTTTGCCGGCATGACCTTTCCGGCGTTCAGGGTGTCAACTAGCTCAAACGAGGTCGCGACGGGGAGCGCCAGTCTCCATTGCAGGTGTGATCGTCTTTGACCGAGGGTGTATGCCACGTTCTTCATGAGATCGGCCTGGAAGACTTCTGGACGCTGCTCGAGATAGATGACCAACTTCTTCATCACACCAGCGAGTGACTCCTTGTCGTTGGCCGTCAGAACGACAAGCTTCTTGCCGCCAGACTTGGGCTTCTGTTGTGCCTGCGGCTGGGGCTGCGTCGTCGTGACCGGCTCGGGGGTGTAAGGTGCCTTGGCAAGGACGACGTGGGCGTTGGTGCCACCAAAGCCGAAATTGTTGACACTGATGTACTTCTTCCCCTTGGGCCATGGACGCTGGGTCTTTGCGACGGACATGTGCCACTCCTTCCAGGGAATTTTGCTGTTGGGCTTCTTGAAATCGTGATTCGGCAGAATGAACCCCCGCTCAAGCATCATGGCGGCCTTGATGACGCCAGCCAGACCGGATGCTGCTTCGAGATGTCCAATGTTGGACTTCACTGAGCCGATGTAGAGAGGGTCCCGTGCAGATCTCCCTTGGCCTAGGGCGTTGTGAAGGGCTGTCGCCTCGATGGGGTCGCCAACTCTGGTGCCAGTTCCATGTGCCTCCACATATCCACAGTCCAGAGGGTCTAGGCCGAAATTGCTGTAGACCTGATTGATGAGCTTCTCTATAGTTGGGGAAATATGTTAGTAAGGCGAGGGGCAGCCAGAACGATGGGTGACGTAGACTGATGCAGAGGGTATCACAGAGGTGGCCAGAACGTACCTTGAGCTTCCCCGTTCGGCATTGTTATGCCTGGTGTCTTGCCATCCTGATTGATGCCGCTGCCCATGATCACAGCACGAATCGAATCGTTGTCCCTGATAGCTTGGTCCAGCGGCTTCAAGAGGATGACACCGCAACCTTCACCACGACCGAACCCACTACCACGCTCGTCGAACGCGATGGAGCGACCAGAGTCCGATAATAATCTGAAGTAGGAGAGGAATATGCAGTTAGTCCAAGACCCAACTCGCCCTGATGCTCCACAGCCAGCTGGGTACAATTCTGGATGATGATGAGGACATACCTGCAGGTCGAGAATGACACGAAGAACTCGGGCAGCATGTTCAGGTGGCAGCTGCCAACGATGGCCTGTGATGACTCGCCTGTCCTCAAACTCTGGCATGCGAGATGCAGGGCCACTAGACTTGCCGAACAGGCGGTGTCGGCTGTGAAGCTGGGGCCGCGCAGATCGAAAAAATGGGATAGTCTGTTAGACTGCATGGCGTGGGCGCATCCGGTCGCCTGGTGCATGGGGATGGTATCACTATCGCGGAAGAGGTGGCTCTCGTACTCGGCAAAGCTGCCACCAACGAACACGCCCACGTCCTTGCCGATTATCGAATGCTTGGGCACGCCGGCGTTTTCTAGTGCCTCGAACGTGCACTCGAGCAGAAGGCGCTGTTGCGGGTCCATTGATATGGCTTCCTTTTCGGTGAGGCCGAAAAACGGCGCGTCAAAGGCGGCGAGGTCGACATCGAGGAAGTTGCCGCCCTCGGCGTGATACGCGCCAGTCTTCCCAGGGTTGGGGTGGTAGAACAGGTCGTGGTTGAAGCGCTCCTTGGGCACCTTGGTGAAGCCACTACGCGCTCGAGAGCAGAGCTCCCAGAACTCGGCGGGGGTCGCAACACTGCCGGGCATGCGGCAGGCCATGCCGACAATGGCGATGGGTGTCTGATTCCGGGTGGCGGTGCCCATGTCGCCGAAGTGATCGCTCATGTGACCGTTGGCTCCCATGTCGGCGGCCGAGTCTGTCTCCGAGTTGGCAACGCTGGGCATGGTGAAGGCGGTGCTGGTGGTCGGAGATGTGCCCGACGAGGAAAAGTTGAACATGAGCGGCGCCATGGTTTCAGCTCCGGAGCCGATCCCCAGTACTTCGCGTGAAGCACAAGGAGAAGAGAGGATCTTGCAGCGCGCCTGGCGTGTCGGTATGGAATGGTGAGGACAAGAGGGATACTCGCGCTGTCGCCGTGCAGAAGAAGACCAGTTATGTGGATGTGGTCCTGGCAACCTTGGCCGGTCCGTCAAATCAAGGCGGGCCGCTCTAGTCGAGCGTCCTGAAATGGTGTGATATTAGATTAGAGGGGATATCGAGGGCGATAATGATAATCCTCCTGAAAGGAGCAGCAACGAAGGTTTCCTCCAGAAGCCCTGGCGGAGGGTGAACCGAAACACTCGAGCCAATAGCGATGGCGTCTAGCGTGTTCTAATAGGACCCCTGGGCTGATAGGGAATGAGAGGATTGGGTTGGTGACTCGGCAGGCCAGTTTGAAGGGTAAAGACTCGAGCTAAATGTGGATATGGAGACGAACCTGCCGGCCGGCAGTTTGTGAGAGAACTACGCGTCCTGGACGGTTGACATAAGCGCCCAGCCACCGAGGCTGTATGTCGCGCACCTCACTCAGCTTGGCAGGCGACCTGCCCGGTCTGTGGACTCCGAGCCGTTCCTGTCACGGAGTTCTGGCACGTTGACGGAGACACGAGTCGCCAAGGGGAGCGGAGTAAGGCCTGGGGGGCGCAGCCGTAAAACAGGCTCACCACCTGTCCTTGTTTCGGTCGGGCGAGCAAGGCGGAACACAGGAGTCGATGTCAAAGCCCGATGACCGCAGGAGCTCCGCCTGAACCATTACGTCTGGCCAGGCGGGCTGGGGATCCAGCACGCCGCGGGGGAATCGGAGTAGCATGTGTGCCCCTGCTGTCGCCATCCTCGGTACGCGTCGAGGGGGGGTATGCGCTGTGTCGACATTGTGAAGCAGCAGCGTGGTTCTCTCAGACCAAAGCGTGTGAGATAACATGTAACCAACGATGTTTAGTGTTTTAGCGTTGGTAACGGCGAAAGCGCCTGTGCCACGGCAAGTGGCCTTGTTCTGCGCTACCCAATCTCTCACGTCCCGCGTTGTCCAGAATGGGGTCGCCCGTGGTGGTGCACATGTCTCAAGGGGTGAGCACGGTGAGCGTGCGTTGGAGGTTGTTATGTCAGCCCGGTTGCTGCCGCTGGTGCCGCCTCAATCCCTGTGCTGCTCTCCCGCGTTTCCTGGAGGATTGCAGGGGGTGCCTGGGGTGAGGTGGGGCTGCCCCGCCTCAGGCGATGACCTTCCGGGAAGGAGCGTGCGGCCAGGGATCTTGATAGACGGACGACAACCTGTCGACTCCTGTCGGGCTTGGCAAACCTAACACAGCGGCACTTTCGGCCTTGCAGCGGCCCGCATGAGAACGAAGGATTTAATATCATTAGGGCTGTGGCGCTAACGTGACCTCGCCGTCGGAAGCCGTCAATGGGACGGAAGTTGCTTCTGGTTTCAGACCACATCCTCCGCCTCCAGTCGCCTGCCCTCGTTGCTGGCCGCCCACCCGCCATAAGAGCGACGAGCGGAGGAAGACGTGATAGGTACCCAGTGCTGGGCACGTCCCATCACCCATCCCTCGAGAACGCGAGGGAGCGGCCACATGTTTCGACGAGTTGCCTTTAGATGGGCGACGGGCCGGGTCGGGTGGGCGTGGTGCCCCTTTATCATCCACTGACGCGGCTATCTTGACGCCTATCTCGAGGTTGGCATAGTTTGATGACGGGGGTATCCAAGGTTACGTTGGCCTCTGTTTGCCCAGCTAGAATAGATCCCTATATCTCTGCTGAAACAGAAATATTCCATGGCACATTTGGCCCCTGATCAGCAGACAAACAAAAGCACAAGGGACAGACATCCGTTGATGAAGCAAGGCGTCTGGAAGTTTTCAAAAAACATTCCAACATTAGCTCCTCAGCCTCGCTTCTACAGTATCCTTGCCTAGTCCTCCTAGGCCTTCTAGACCTTCTAGAGACGCCACACCGCCAACTCAACCACTTCTATCAAGATGAGATTCCTCTGCCTTCCCGGCGCCTACGGCAGTGCCGATAAGTTCCAGGTGCAGCTGGCGCCAATCCTCAAGGAGCTGACCAATGACGGCACCGCGACCTTCTACTTCACCCACGGGCCCTGCAAGGTCGAGCCGCCCGAGGGCTTTGAGGAGTTCTTCGGCGAGCCGCCTTACTACCGCTTCATCGAGCCGGACGAGGTGGCGGCCAAGATACAGGACAACGACGTGCTCTCGCGCATCCGCGACTTCCCGCGCGGCGAGACGGCAGAAGACACGATGCGCGAGCTCATGACGGTGGGCGTCGCCACCTCGCACCGAAGTACCAGCCGCGCCATCAAGTACCTGAGCGAGGTCATCGCCCGCCGCGGGCCCTTTGACGGCATCATCGGCTACTCCGAGGGCGCTACCGTCGCGTCCACCTTTCTGCTCCACGAGCAGCGCCGCGCCGCCCGCACCGGTCAGCCGTCGTGCCTCAAGTACGGCATCTTCTTCGCCGGCTGGCCGCCCGTCGACCCGACCACGCATGGCCTCGTGCTTTCGGATGAGACGGAGGAGCGCATCGACAGCAGGACGCTGCATATAGGTACGTGTCTTGCTGCTGCCATTGACGACAGGCCTACGCGGTCATCATGCAAGCCGCGCATTCCACATGTCTTTGTTTCAAGCACGATTTTTTCCCTCTTTTCAACGCTCGTACACGCACTCTGCAGCTCGCTGCTTCGGACCCCCTCAGTCCGTCGCTCTCGTCTTCGTCAAACATGCGACGTACCATGTTCTATTTTTGCTGACATACTTTCTCCTTCCAGTCGGATCCCTAGACCCATATCTGGACGGGTCCATGGCGCTGTACAACGTCTGCGATCCCGACACAGCGTACCTCTTTGATCACGCCAAGGGCCATACCCTGCCACGCGACCGGGAAACGATCAAAGAGCTGGCTGATGTTGTCCGGGAGGCCATTTCCGAGATGAAGGAGGAGGGCCTGTTATAGACGGGATCTTTGTAGCCGGGGCTAGCAGAAACCAACGGCGTTTGCGGCGAATTTACAGTTTTGTCGTCTAGATGGTTCTTTTATTAACGGCGTTCTTGAAGGCGTCAACATGGTCAGGGTTGGATAGAAAAGCTTTGTAAACTCGTCCTGACATCTCCAATTCCCGCATGCCCTTGACACAAATACCAGTGACTACCACCTGGGTACCTAGGTATCTTGATCCGAATGTGCAAAGATAGCGTCGACGCTTTCGTAATAATTGGCCGGTTTTCTCTAGCGTGATCCAAACCAGCCATCACTGATACCCCGACACTTGTATTCGCGGCAGCCGTGAAGGATGACGCCAACAAACGAAAATACTCCCGTCCCCGCGCGGTCGCTCCGGCCGAGATGGTCGAGGTGCATAGGCTGACCGGCCGGACATATGACGTGTCCTGGTCAGCACCCATCATCAAACGAACCGGTGGTGCACGTTGGTCCGCCCGCTGTTGCTTTGCTGTGTTGCCAAGTCATGAGGCGTGTCCCTCACACATATTTCGATCCGAGTTTTCTCAGCTAAGCCGGGCTTGCCCAAATCCCACCGAAGCACGGTCGGCGACAGCTGGGAAACATGCGTCTGGGGTGTAGCCGAGCGTCGACGCCACAGAGTTTCTAGAAACCACACGGCCCGTCAGAGTCAGAGGCCAGAATGGTTGGTCCGTGAGCAGAGGTGCGACTCCGTGGTGAGGTCTGCCAACGCCACGCAAGGTTGAGCCACCCCGACCAGCGCGCTAGCATGGGACAGGCTGCAGGGGAAGGAGATGGCGCGGGAAACAGATCGCCGGACTAGACCCCCCACGCCCCATCCAGGGGTCCCCAAACATCCCGTTCACACACGCCTCCCTAGATCGCGGCCCACAGTTCTCGCCAAGAAATCCGGTAGGCCCGTCAGAAGGATCAGCCGTCACAGGGCCTCCTTGCCACACGCGGAGAGGCGTCACGTTTGAGGACGACCCCCTCTGCGGTATTACATCTGCGGTATAGGTCCTTACGAGACCGTCTGTTGCTCGCAGCTGGCACGAGAGTGCTTTGTTTCTCCCGCTTGTTTCCAAATGTCGAGTTGCCTGGCTGGTGCCATCTCCTTTTGCTGCTGGTGTTTTGTTTCCCTCTACCAGTCGTTCGTTTCTCGTTCCTGCGGTTCTGTTGACGGCAAAGTTGACCTAGAGCGCATTGGCCTACACCACCCACCCAGTCCCGTCAAAACCTCGGGAGATATCGAGAGACGGCCTGCTGCCTGGTCTGCGCGAAGCTCTCGTAGAAGCGTCGCTGTCCATGATACCGAGGCTGTCGCCCTTTGACATATCGTGAAAGGCGTTCCGGGGTAGGGCAGAGATACACCACTCGGCTTCTCGCGCCCGGGGGTTACCCAGCTCCCCATCCCATCTCGGATCGCGTCACGGAAGATATCACCATGACCACCGCAACCTCGGCTGCGGCGGCGGCTGATGGCGGCGGCGGGCCCAAAGGTCGCTTTGGATTGAGTCCAACAACGCTGTTGTCGTTGAGGAATTTCATTGTATGTGCCCACATTCCTTCATGATGACGTCGACGACGTATGGGCGTGAAGGTCACTAACAAGCTGTCGTTGGTATACAGAAAATATTCAGCTATGCAACATTCCTGGACAAAATCGTGCTGGCGATCGCCTCAGTGGCTGCCATGGCCACAGGGTTGACCATCCCCCTAATGGTAATCGTGTTTGGTAAGTGGACAAAGATATAGTCCTTGGTTTAAATGACGGGTTGACTGATGATGGGACTCAACTGAGGCGGTCTCTAGCCAACTTGATCGGCGTCTTCACCGACTTCTATCGCCAAGGGTCAGCCACGACGGGTGCCCAGTTCTCCAGATCAGTGAACCAGTGTGTCTTTTACATCATCTATCTCTTTGTCGCAAGGCTGGTCGCGTCCTACATCATGAACGTAAGCGCACCCCTTCCTGCTTTCCCCCCATCCAACCCCAACTGACACGACAACAGCTCGGCTTCCGCGTCAGCAGCCTGCGCATCTCGTCGTCCATCCGCGTCATCTACCTGCGCTCGCTGTTCGCGCTGCCCATCTCGACGCTCGACGCCATACCGGCGGGGCAGACGGCCGCCATCGTGACGGTGACGGCGGGCCTGCTGCAGGTCGGCATCTCGGAGCGGCTGGGCGGCGGGGTGGCGGGCGCGGCGAGCGTGGCGTCGGCCGTCGTCGTCGCTCTCGTTTTCAACTGGCTGCTGACCCTCGTCACGCTCGCGGGGCTCGTCTTCATTGGCATCGCCTACGCCGTCTTCACCCCGCTCGTCGGCCGCCAGGCGCTGGCCGTCCACGAGGCCGACATCAAGGCCGCCAGCGTCGCCGCTGAGGCGTTTGCGTCGTACCGCATGCTGGCCGCGTGCGGCGCAGAGGCCAAGGCGATTAGGAAGTATGCGGGGTTTGTGGACGAGTCCTGGCGCAGGGGACTCTCGATGGCGTGGCTTGTTGGGCTGCAGCAGGCGCTGGGTAGGTAGCCTCTACCCTCTCACCACTTTGTTACTGTCTGGAGTCTGGTGCTAACATGGCGCGTTCAAGTCTTCTTTGGCGTCTATGGGTGAGTGCCTACCCACAATCCTCCCCCGTTTGATTCCTCTGGACGGCGGCAGTAATACTAACTCACCCTACCCTTCCCAGAACATTTGCGCTGGCCTTTTGGTTCGCCTTCCGCATGCACGCCGTGGTGCTGATCACGACGCCCGAGGACTTGATCGTGGTCCTGCTGTGCGTCATGATGATGGCGACGTCCATCGGGCAGATCTCGGCGCCCCTGGCGGCGGCGCACCAGGCCGCCGAGGCGTGCGCCATCTTCCACACCATCATCGACGCCCCCAAGCCCACGTACGGCGCGGCCAAGGGCGACGGCGAGGTCCGCGCCGATGGCGACATCGTGCTCATGAACGTCAACTTTGCCTACCCGGCCCGCCCCGAGGTGCGCGTGTTGGACCAGTTGAGCCTGACGTTCCCAGCTGGCAAGGTTACGGCCATTGTAGGCCCTTCTGGATCGGGCAAGAGCACCATCGTCGGCATTTTGGAGAGGTGGTATGAGTTTAATGGGGATCCCGCTACCAACCCAATCGTGAGTTTCTGGCTTGGCCCTGTGAGGAACATGTATAGGGGTTGGCTTGAGACTCTTGAGACTTGTGGTAAAAACTGCTGACCCACTTTTGTGTGCTAGGTTCTGTTCCTGCGCAACGGCTTCGTCACTATAGGCGGATGTCTTCTCACCGAGATCGATATAAAGTGGTGGCGCAACCAAATCGGCCTGGTCCAACAAGACAATGTGCTGTTCAACACGACGATATACAAAAACGTGGAGAACGGCCTGATCGGCACGAGGTGGGAGCACGAAAGCGATGAGAAGAAGGCACTGCTGATCGAGGCGGCCTGCAAAGACGCCTTTGCGGACGAGTTCATCGCCCGCCTGCCGGATGTGAGTGATTCCAGACCGTGATATACCCCATCTCGAAGGTCCTCACTAACCCAATACACACCCACAGGGCTACCAAACGACCGTCGGCGAGTCCGGCATCAAGCTGAGCGGCGGGCAGCGGCAGCGGCTGGCCATTGCGCGCGCCATCGTCAAGCAACCCAAGATCCTGATCCTGGACGAGGCGACGTCGGCCATCGACGTGCGCAGCGAGCAGATCGTGCAGGCGGCGCTCGAGCGCGCCAGCGTCGGCCGCACCACCATCGTGATCGCGCACCGGCTGGGCACCATTAAGCGCGCCGACAAGATCGTCGTGCTGCGCAAGGGCCGCGTCGTGCAGCAGGGCACCCACGACGAGCTGCGCGCCCAGCGCGGCAGCGCCTACAGCATGCTCGCCACCGCCCAGACCATCGACGTCGGCCCCGCCGGGAACCCACCGCCGCCGCTCCCCGCCGGCCTGTTTGCTGCGGCGGCGTTGGATGGGGAGGAGGAGGAGGAGGAGGAGGAGGAGGTGGTGGGCCGAGGTGGGGACGGCAGCAGCCACTTCCTGAGCGTGCCTGAAGGCGGCAGCGGCAGCAGCGGGCGCGGCCGGCGGGACTCGTGGCACACGTGCACGACGGCGTCGTCGGCGGCGCCGCCCGAGCGGCTGGTGGCGCGCGACGACATCGGCGAGGGGGCGGCCGCGCCCATGATGAGCGCCACCAGCACGCGCGTCAGCACGCGGATCACCATCCCCGGCAGTGACGGCTCGTCCGACGTGTCATCGGACGACGACGGCCGTATCAAGCTCGTAGAGGAGGAGAGCCACTGGCTCGGCGGCTTCGCGGAGCTGCTGGCCGAGCAGGGCTCCAAATGGAAGCTCTACGCCGCCATCTTTGTGGGCGCCCTCGGTGCGGGTGGTGAGTGTTTGATCGCCGCCCTTCATATTTCTGCTCCAGAGTGACAGCTGCTGACTGCTACTTGGACCGCTTGACAGCTAGCACTCCGGTCCAGGCATACCTCTTCGCCATGCTGCTCAATCTCTTCTCTTTCTGGGGGCAGAGCGTCCAGCGTGCTGCAAATTTCTTCTGCCTCATGTTTGTTGCGCTGGCGGGAGGAGTCGCGCTTAGCCACCTGCTTCTGGGCTGGTCAACTACTCGGCTAGGATTCGTAAGTGTCAGTCCCCGTCGAGACTAAGGATTAGTTGCGCTAATCATTATGCTCCCGTCAGAGCCTGACGCGGCTCTACCGCAAAGAATACTTCTCCAACATCATCACCAAGCCGGCCGCCTTTTTCGACGAGGAGGAGCACACAATCGGAGCGTTAACGGCGCGGCTGGCCACCGATCCCACGCAGCTGCAGCAGCTCCTGGGCGCCAACATGGCCTTTGTCCTTGTCTCGCTCTTCAATGTGGTCGGGTGCTGCATCGTCGGCTTCGTCTTCGGATGGAAGCTGACGGCGGTGGCGCTCGCGTCCACCATGCCCGTCATCGTGGCGGCCATGTTCTACCGCGTGCGGCATGAGGTGCGCCTCGAGATGGAGGCCAACCGGGTCTTTGCCGAGGGTGCCAGATACGCGTCCGAAAGCATCGCCGCCATCCGGACCGTATCGAGCCTGACGATGGAGCAGGGCGTCGGGGAGCGGTACGAGAAGCTGCTGACAGACCACGTCCAGGGAGCGAGCCGCAAGGCAAGGTGGTCGCTGCTGCTATTCTCCTTCAGCGACAGCATTTCCTTCCTGTGCATTGCGTTTGTGCTGTGGTAAGTTGCGGTGTGAATGAGTTTCTGCGTGAAGGGCGCCGCTTGCTGACCACTCCCACGGCAGGTATGGCGGGCGCTTGTTGGCCAGCCGCGAGTACACCCCGTTCCAATATGGCAAGTGGAATCCCGCTCAAGCCCCATCAGCCACCCTGTCCCCGAGTTTACTTAGCACTAACAAACCACCCAATAGTGCTGGTGTACATTGCCGTCGTCCAAGGTGCCATGAGTGCCGGCCAGTGGCTCAGCTTCGGTCCCAGTGGGTCTCTCCAACAGTCGAATATCAACATGCGCACCCAAGTCTAATAAACACGACACCCCCAGACATCGCCCACGCCACCGCAGCCGCAGACCGCGTGCTCGACATGCGGGACATGGACTACGACGACGACGGCGTCGGCATCCCCGGCCTGGGCCCGCACGCCTTCGCGGGCAGCGAGGACGAGAAGACCGGGGTCGAGGTCGAGTTCCGGGGCGTCTGGTTCAGCTACCCGACGCGGTCCGGCCCCGTGCTGCGCGGGCTCAGCATCAAGGTGGCGCGCGGCCAGTTCGCCGCCATCGTGGGCCCTTCGGGCTCGGGCAAGACGACCGTCATCTCGCTGCTCGAGCGCTTCTACTCGGCCAACGGCGCGGGCCAGGTGCTCTGCAACGGCCACGACGTGCTGGACCTAGACCTGGCCCGGTACCGCGAGGCCATGTCGCTCGTCGCGCAGGAGCCGTGCCTGCTGAGCGGCAGCGTGCGCGACAACATCCTGCTCGGCATCGCCGACGAGTCGGCCGTCGTCGAGGCCGACGTGCACGCCGCCGCCAAGGAGGCGGGGCTGCACGATTTTGTCATCAGCCTGCCCCAGGGCTACGACACCGAGGTGGGCGCCGCAGGGGTCGCGCTCTCGGGGGGGCAGAAGCAGCGGCTGTCGATCGCGCGCGCGCTGGTGCGGAGGCCCTCGCTCCTGCTCCTCGACGAGGCCACCAGCAGCCTGGACAGTGAGACCGAGGCGGCGGTCCAGCAGACCTTTGAGGCCGCCAAGGGTAGCCGGACCATGATCGTGGTGGCCCATAGGCTGGCAACCGTGCGCAACGCCGACGTGATCTTTGTCATGTCTGAGGGGAGAGTCGTCGAGAGGGGGACGCATGCCACCCTGATTTCTAGACGGGGGATCTACTACGAGATGGTATGTGCCGAGACGCTTTTTCTGACCTCTTTTTGCGACCTCCTGCTAACAGTTTTCGGTTGCAGTGCCAATCCCAAGCACTGGATAGGTAATGGAATGTGATTTTTGTTTACTATGCTGTAGTTATAGTTGCGAGGTGATCTTAGAGGCAATGTCAAGCACATAGTTGTCCCTGAATCACCATACTGTGCCCGTAGTCTCGAATCTTTTTTGTCCAGCGCCCAGGTACCTGGCACTTCGAGGTTGTTCCATCGATGTCGGGGATCTTTCACGTAGTATGTAGCAAGCAATAGTGGGCCCAACCAATGTTGTGAAGTTGAAAGAGATACGAGCAACGTGATTCTTATAATGCTCGTAGGAAGCTGGTAGTGCTACATCCCACGCCGCTGAAGCAGCCGCTCTACTGTGGCCCTAGGTGGGCACGCACCGATAGCCAGTGTTCTAACAAGGCAGCTCTACCTCAAACAGCCACCTCACGCTTCCTCGCACACCTCTCGGAAACCTTGAGGCCGACACCAACAATACGCATGACCGTCTCGGCCGCCTCTCTGGCAAGCCTCTCAGCATCGGCCACCGCCTCACCCAAGGTCGTGGGCCCCTGCATCATGCAAGCGAAGGCGTCAATGCCCACGGCCAGGTTCTCGCGCGCGCCCTCCCCGACGGTTCCGGCAATGGCAACAACCGGGACGCCCAGCCGGCGCGCTCGACGCGCCACATCGGCGGGCATCTTGCCCTGAGGGGTCTGGCCGTCGATCCCACCCTCGGCCGTGATGACGAGATCCAGCTCGCAGGCGCCCTCGCCGGCCTTTTCATCAGGCAACAGGGAGCACAGAAGGGGCGAGAAATCGGCCATGACGTCGTAGCGGGGCCGGAGCGTGGCGCCGATGAGGCGAAGCGCCGTCCCTAGCCCGCCGGACGCGCCGGACCCCGGGGCGCGCCCAATCTTGGAGGCGGAGCAGCCTAGTGCCCGGGCCGAGGCGTCGGCCAGGCGGGACATGCAGCTCGCAAGGATCTCGGCCTGGTGTACGGTGGCGCCCTTTTGCGCGCTGAATATGCCCGCCTGCTGGCCGGGTCCAGTGAGGACGCTGGTCCAGTTGACCGAAGCCTCGATCTTGACAGCGCCGGAGCGGAGGCGGGGATCGAGTCCGCCAAGGTCGATGCGGTCCAGGTGGCGGAGAGACTCGCCGCCGCGGGCCGTCGGGATCTGTTCGCCGCGGGCGTCGAAGAGGCGCGCGCCAAGGCACTGCAGCATGCCGGCACCGCCATCGCAGGTGCCAGCATCGCCGCAGCCCACGATGATACGCAGGGCGCCCGCGTCGAGGGCTGAGAGGATCTGCTCGCCGACGCCAAATGTCGTGGTAACGCCGGGGTTGCGGAGGTGCGGCGGCACAAGACTTAGGCCCGCCGCGGCGGCCATCTCGATGATGGCTGTCTTGATTGGGGGTGGGGTCTGGCTCGGTGGTTGGTTCTCGATTCTCTTTAGCGCTTGCTGCGCTGTTCGGGGCGTCTCCCTCTGCACTTGGCCCAAAATACCGAAGTAGGACTTCACCGGTGTGCCTGTTGGGCCGGTGACCTGGATCCGGTGGATAGTGCCCCCGGTCGGGAGGACTAGTCCATGGGTGAAGCCTTCGCCTCCGTCAAGGAGAGGGACCTTGAAGACACGGGCATCGGGCAAAACGGAGAGGATGCCAGCCTCGATGCAGTCGGCAGCAACGCCGGGCTGGAGGCTTCCCTTGAATCCTGACGGGCACACCAGTATCTTCAGCTCCTCGGTTGACATTATGCTTTATCGTAATGCTATGCATAGAGAGCGATACGATGTGGGAAAATGCCAAATGCGACCTGGTGACTGCACGCACTTTATCTCGCTCCGTCCTAGTTTTGATAGCTGCCGGTTTGCCCAGTCACCAGCACGATTGCCACTGCCATACGCTTCACCAACATGTCAGGTGGGTGAATGTGCGAGGCCAACAGCTTTGTTGTCGTCACCCTCATATCGCTGTTTGTTAAACGGTAGACACGGCAAGTGGTGCACGAATCCTTGAGTAGTAAGGAAAGCGGCGGCCCAGGACATGTCGGCCGACGCGGGCTCATCATGCGTGGCTCCCTGGCGAGCTCATTCCATAACCTGCAACGGGTTGTCCAGGTAGAACAAACACAACCACGCAGAATCCACGGTCGTCCAGTCCGGTCAGAATTGAGGGGCCAACTCCGGCAGCCAGCTTATCCGTAGCCCATTCCCTTCCGCCACCACTCTATCAAGCCCCGGCGTTCCATCTCGTGGCCAAAGTCGGCGACAGCCCCAACTTCGCGGAACCCCACGGGGACGCCGGGGGTCTCGGGCAAAGCGAAAGGTGTCGGCTTGCAGACGCACCGGTAGTCCTTGTACCGGAGCGCCTGGACGGCCCCGACCCAGTCCCTCAACGGCTCCTCCCCGCTGGCCTCGGCGTACATGATGCCGGGGGAGCCGCCGCTGCGGAGGAGGACGAAGCGGAGCCCCTGGTCGTCGGCCGCCTTGCGTAGGCGTTGCACCTTTTTGCGCGAGGTGATGTGGTGGGTGCGGATGAGAGCGTTGAAGAGCTGCGGGCGACCCATTGTGGCTGGGGAGCTCGCCTTTCTTACCGAACCCTCGTCTCGGGAAGATTGCAGCACCAGGACAGGGGAGTCGGCTAGGTAATTTTACATGACTTCCCGCCGTTTGATCGCTGGAAAATCCGTTGCCGCGTTGCGAGTGGTCGAGTCATGTGACTTTGCACACTTTTCGTGCCTCCATCTGTGCCCCCTGCCAAGCGCCCCACCTCCACCTCAGCCCCACTCGCTGGTGAATCGAGACGGATCGAATTTCCTTTCAAACTCCAATTTCAAGCTGACCAAAATCAAACGCGAATCCCAAATGCAGGGCACCGGTGTCGGTAAGCATCAATCGATTGGACTCACCTGACCCAGACACACACTGTCCCTCAGCTGGGTTCCCGTCTGGAGTTGAGTCGCAGCTTGGTGGGCCCGAGGAACCAGTGCCTTGTGTGCTGGCTTGGGCGATGATATCAACCAATATCGGTACCGTCGCTGACATGCAGGAACGGATGTATCTTTGTGCCGGCAGACGGGGTGGCCAGCCAGCCTCACCAGCCCCAATGCATACTGCCCTCTGGTCTGGGCGACAGTCAAGCGACGCGCCCTTGGCTTTTTTCAAGCCGCCAGCAGAGGCAGAAACCCACTGAAGTAGTAGGAGAGAAATAGGGGGCTCGGCGCCCAGAACGCCAAGCTCACTGATGCGCATTGGCGCTGGCACAGCCCCCGCGGCACCGAGAAGTCTCGTCCTCTGATGGGTCCGGAAAGGAGGGATGTGTGGCAGATCCGACCACAGAGAGGGCCGCCTGCGCACGTTTCCGAGACTACCAAGCCGTCCAGCGCGCGCGCAAATGCCTGCGGGAGGGTGCTGCCAAGCGGCTACTCGCCTACCGTCCCGCGTCATGCCTAGGCTGGAAAATCCGGTTCTGTTGTCTTTTTGCCTTTGCCATTTCTCTTTGTCTCCCTTTCCCATTTGCATCCTACGTTATTCTGCATGCCCGGCGCCGAGTTCTCAACGCCAGTAGCGTGTCTTCCTGTCTCTTCAACGACCTGAATATCAAGTCGTCCGATCGTTACATCTGTACCAACCCACGCTCATTCGCCTTCCACTTTTCCACCCGCTGTCCCATCTCCATCGAATTCGCTGCCGGCCCGGCAAGACTCGCTGATAGGCCACCACCGGGACACGGAATATTGATCGCTTGCTCACGGATTGGTGTACTCGCCGCTCGTTACAGACACCAACCGACCCGACCATCGTTTAGCCCAGCATGTTTGGCAGTTCCAAACTGTCGCCAGCAGGCGTCCTCCTGCTGGCGGCGGCGAGCATCCTGCCGGTGACGGCCCAGGCTCCCGCCGCCCCTGCTCCCGCCGCCCCAGCGGGAGACCCTCATCCATTCTACAAGATTGGGACTAGAGGTATGTCGCCGTAGGCTGAGGCTGACTCGGAAGCCGGACATGTCTCTAACCCGGGCCTGCACTGCGCGATCAGATCAAATAATACAGTCCTCACGAGACCTTGCCTGGGAGGTCATGGCTCTATACCCTGGTAACCAAACCGGCCAGGAAACTGGAATTCTCCCCGGACCGCCAGACGACGGCAAGGGGCCGTACTACTGGTGGCAGGCTGGAGCGATGTGGGCTGCCATGATCGACTACTGGCACTTGACGGGGGACACCACCTACAACAAACTGGTCACCGATGGTATTCTGGCCCAGCACGGCCCCGATCGCGACTTTCAGCCGCCTGCGCATCGTGCTTCGCTCGGAAACGACGACCAGGGTTTCTGGGGTCTGGCCGTCATGCAGGCCGCCGAGATGAGGTTTCCCGATTCGCCCAAGGAAGGCGATGCACACTGGCTTGCCCTGGCACAGGGCGTTTGGGTGACACAGGCGTCCAAGGAGAGGCACGACGAACTCTGTGGTGGAGGAATGAGGTGGCAGGTTCCCCCCACGAACACAGGGTACAACTATAAGAACAGTACGTGTGCATCGTCGCTCCAAGCCCATGATCTAGGCGCTTGTGCTAACTATAACTCCAGCTATTGCCAACGGCATCTACTTCAACCTCGGTGCTCGCCTTGCCCGCTACACCGGCAACCAGACTTATCTCAAGGAGGCCGAGCGAACTTGGGACTGGCTGTGGGCTGTCAAGTACATCGACCATGACACCTACAAGGTTTTCGATGGAGGTCACGTCGAGCATAACTGCACCGATATCAACAAGCAGCAGTTCTCGTACAACGCCGGCGTTCTCGTCCAGGGAGCCGCTTTCATGTACAACCAGGTAAGATTGACGCGCCTCTGCGAATTTCGGCCATTGTAGACCCGACCACTGACTTTGATGTTGTCACTATAGACCAAGGCACAGAAATGGAAGACGGCCGTCGAGAAGCTAACCGAGGCCATATTCCGTGACTTCTTCGAGAAGGGAGCTGCGTTCGAAATCTCGTGCGAGCACCTCGACAATCAGTGCACCCAGGACATGGTCATGTTCAAGGGATTCGTCGCCCGCTGGATGCCTGTGGTGGTGCAGCTGGTGCCCGAGATGCGGGGGACCATTATGCCCGTGATGCGCAAGTCGATCGAGGCGGGCCTGAGGCAGTGCACGGGCGGCCCGCGCGGCCGCACCTGCGGCTTCTACTGGAGCAAGGGCGTTTTCCGCGACCCCAACGCCGACGGCACAACGGGTGTCGGCGAGCAGATGAACGTTCTCTCGGGCGTCATGTCGCTGCTGCACGAGTTCCCCAATAACCCGGTCGAGGGCCCCGTCACGCTCGAGACGGGCGGCACCAGCAGGGGCGATCCCAACGCCGGCCTGCGCCACACCCCTACCAGGTCGTTCAAGGAGATCACGGGCGGCGACAGGGCAGGCGCCGGAATCCTGACCACGCTGCTCATCGGCAGCGGGCTGGGCATGTTTGGTTGGATGAGCTACGACTAAGCCTTGTTTTCTTGCGTTTTCTCCTTTGTCTGTTCTACATCTCACTGGCAGTGGCGCATCAAGAAATGGCCGCACTAGTTGGCCAGCAGCATACTGTTTGTATTAGGGCGGCGTTCCGGCTAGTTCATTAGACCACAGAGAAGTGTCCGCTGGGCTCACAGTCCGGCCCCAGACTCGCGAGATTTTATTTTTTAATACATTGTGTCTAGGCGGCTCTTTTGATGCCACCGCTATGACCTGGTATTCCTTGTCACCGTCCGTTTCTATCTATCCCTCACCCATGTCACCATGGCCGTGCTAGAAGGCTGGATATGACGAGAGCTTGCATCAGGAGAATTCTCATCCCCATCTTGGGTGTCCTTGTCCCTCCGGCCGCGTTCTTTGATGGCCCGGCCGTCCCGTCGACGCCGCCATCGCTCGGCCCCGGCGTCGTCGTTGGTGGCGGCTGCGGGGCCACGCAGCGCGACTTGTACGGCTCGGCGGTCGCGTTGCCCCGAAGGCAGCCGCGTAGGCGTTGGGCCGGGGAGCAGCCGCTGTCGTTGTCGTTGTCGTTGTCGTCGCCGCGTCGGCGCCGCCGCCGCCGCTCCCGCGGGTCGGCGCACCAGTAGTTGCAGTCGTCGCCAGCCCGCGTCAGGCGCTCAGGGCGGCAGCACTCGTTGACGCGCCGGGACTCGACGGGACCCGACGTGCTGTGCGCGCTCGTCCAGCCGCCAGGGCTGTCGCGTGCCCAGTAGACGAGGTAGGTGCAGGGGCCCGGCTCGGCGTCCAGGGACATGCTTGATGGTTTTGGTTTTGGCGGGCTTGTGCGTCCTGTGGGGGTGTTTTTTTGTTGGGTTGGTGCTTGTCCTTGCGGCTCAAGATCCCTAAGTGTTGATGAGGGCGTGCTATTGCGGTTCTCGCCTCGGGGGGCAAGATGGGCGCGGTGCCGCATTCCTGACAGGATCGCGCCGAGGCTTGCGTCGTGGTCCAAGGTGGCGGCGCATGCTGTTTCTTTTCTTGGCCCGCAACGTCGGGCGAGGCTGCCTATCGGTTCTGCAATGCGGCGGCCTGGGAGCCTCGCGTCGGGTGTTCCCTGGCATCTCGTATGTTGTGCCTGCTTCTCGCTCGTCGTCTTTTTTTGGGGGCCGTCACCACAGCCGCCCCATGCCCCCAACAGGAAGGCTGCGCGAGGGTTGAATGCGGCAGCACGGCAGGATCACTTCCACCTGGACCTGCCATTGGGTGCAAACTCGGCGCCTCCCCGCAGACTGTTTGCCGCGGCTGAAGCAACCTGGGGGCGTTGTGATGTCTGAAACGGACGTTTGGAGGATAAATCCGCGAGGGATACAACCACCGTGCTTTGGCCTGCCTTCAGCGCAAACGCACCGTCTTGAAGTAAGATAACCGATAATCTGAAAGACACGAAGAGACAAAGGGCACAACATAAAACACAGAATAAAGAGCAGATGTGGCAGTCTACTGGTGGTGATCATCGTCCTCGACTTGACGGCGACAAGTTATCGCGCCGCAAATTACCAATTCGACAATGCTACCTCACCACCATACGGTGCCCGGGCTTCCTCCTCGCCTCGTCCCCACAACTGCCGAAGCTGGGAACCTCGAGCGCGTCGACACAAACGAGCGGCGCGCAGTCCCGACACGCTCGTGCCGTCTCTCGTCACAATGGCAGGCAGAGAGGCTCGACAAAAGCCACACCCGCAGCCCTCGCTACCGTTGCACTTTTCCCAGACGGCTTGGGGCTATAGGAAAGGAAGGGTGCGAGGTCGGGCTACGTCTGCGGGCTGTTTGCTGCGCGAGGCTATCTATGGGTGGGGGCTGCTTTGTTATGCGTTAGGCCTCAAACGCCCGGCAAGCATTAACAATTATTGGCGCTTAAGGGTAAAAAAAAAGTCAAGAAAAAGAGGTTGTGTGCCTTGTAGGCGCACCGGGAATTGAGCCCGATGCGGGGGTCGAACCCGCAACCTTGAGATGACCTAGGTCGTAAGAGTCTCACGCTCTACCGATTGAGCTAACCGGGCTGGCTCCGATACGGGGAATCGAACCCCGGGCTCGGCAGACCTCAGGAGGGGGACCTCCTTGAGAGTGCCGGATGTTAGCCACTACACCATATCGGACTTGACTTTTGTCTTGTTGCGGCGGAGGGTTGTGGGGTGGGGATATACGGTTAGGGCTTGTAGTTGGGAGGATAACTGGGGCTGGGATGCGTCATCTGGGATATTTACCAAAGACACGACGGGTAAAAATGAGTGCGCAACGAAAATCCAAGTCTATTGTTCGACATGGCCGTCTTTCTGCTAAAATGCAACGCTATCATGCTAATCTAGTTATAATGCCTCCCGTCTAGTTGGCACCCACCGAGGCCTGGTACTCGGAGCTGTACGGGTAGTCGGCGAACCCCACCAGGCTCTTGGCCTCGTAGAAGGACGCGCGGTCATCGGACAGCTCCAGCGGCAGCTCCTTTTCGAACCTAAAGACCACGTCCGGGTTGGTGATGAAGGGCCGGCCGAGACCGACGATGACGTCCAGGTCCTTGAACCGCTCGTCCACCGTCTCGCGCGCAATCTTGGCGTTCTGGTCGCCCGTGACGATGAACGGGCTCGCATTGTCCCACTGCTTGACCATCCAGTCGAGGTTCTTGACCGGGTCCAGCTGCTTCTCGCTCTGGCCCGCGACGTCGGCGCGCTCCTCGAGCGCGTGCAGGTACGCCAGCTTCAGCGGCCTCAGTTGCTCCAGCAGGTAGCTGAACTGTGGCTTCGGGTCCTCCATCAGCATGCCCTGGTAGTCGCTGTACGGGCTCAGGCGCAGGCCCGTCCTGTCGGCGCCGACGGCGTCGATGACGGCCTTGACGACCTCGACGTGGAAGCGCGCGCGCTTCTCGACGCTGCCGCCCCACGCGTCGGTGCGCTTATTGGACATGTCCTGCAGGAACTGGTCGAGCAGGTACCCGTTGGCGCCGTGGATCTCGACCCCGTCGAACCCGGCGCGCTCCACGGCGTTGCGGGCCGCCAGCGCGTAGTCGGCGATGGCCTGCCGGATCTCGGCCTCGGTCATCTCGCGCGGCACCTCGGCGCGCCCCTCGTCCGGTATGGCGATGGCGCTCGGGGCGAGCACGACGTGGCCGAGCTTCTTGGCCACGTCGTTGGTCCCGGACCGGCCGTGCGCCCACAGCTGGCAGAAGATGACGCCGCCGCGCGCGTGCACGGCGTCCACCACCTTGCGCCACGCCGCGACCTGCGCGTCCGTCCAGATGCCGGGCACATTGTCCATGCCCATGTTGGCCGCCGACACGACGGTGCCCTCGGTGATGAGGAGCGTGCCTGGGACGGCTGCGCGCTGCGCGTAGTAGTCTGCGGCGGAGGGGGTTTATGGTCAGCATCCGGGCCTAACTGTTTGGGGAGAGGGCGTGCCCTGGCGGCTCGGGCAACCTACCTGCGACGGCCGGAATCGGGACCCAATCGTCGTCGGCGCGGAACCGCGTCATGGGCGCCATGGCCACGCGGTTCAGCAGCCGGGACGAGCCCACCTTGAGAGGGGTAAAAAGCTTGGTCATGGCGGCGATGGAGGGGGTTTCGTGGGAGAGGTGGATTTGGTGTGGGCCGTCAAGGCTTTAATATCAAATGTCTATGGTCTGAGCAAGCAGCGTCGCATGTGCTGGACTACGAGGGCGACGCCATGTTTTATACCAGGGTTCTTCTCCAGCCTGACTCGGAGCATCGCTCCCAAGCAGCTGCGACATGCAGCTTGGTCGAGCCCGTCGCCCATTTGTCAGTCGTGGTGGATTTGTAATGCCCGCTGGCTGTTCCTGGGGGCCGGGCCACCGTTTCAAGACGGTGGCCCAGGGGATCGCTGCTGGTGCTGCCCGTGTCAGGCAGGGTTCGAGTGTTGACGTTGTTGCCATGGAATCGCGAGCTTATAAATCGTCAACGTGTTGCTTCCACTAACCACCCAATATCTTGCCCTCGTATGGCCCTACCACTATCACACAGCATATTTAGGGCCATCAGTCCTGCAAGGCCGGCAGCCCGCCCCGTCTGTATGTATGTGGTTAGGTATTCGGCCCCCAACTGCCCTGCATCGAACTGTAAACGCTCCCAGTCAGAGCCACTCGACAATAATGTTTTGGCCGCCCTCCAAATGCAACCTTGGCCGAAGATTCGGCGCTTGTTTCGGGTCTTGGCCCCTGTTTTGCCGCCCAGGCACTCGGAGGGGACCCGCGGGGCCCGAAGCCAACGTGGCCGCTCCGTGCGGCATCACCGTTGGAGAAGTCGGCTCGCTACCATTCTGCAAGATGAAAGTCTTTCTTCCATACGCCGCACCCGTTGCATTCATTAGGATCGTTTATTAGCATTTTGTTGAGTGAACAACTGTGCTACCAGAAAACTGGCCACCAGGGGAACGTGAAAGTTAAACAAACAGACAAAGACGTCGCACCATGGGTAGTCGGAAGGAGAAGAGGCCAGGCAAGTCGCAGCGGCGGCTTGTGAAGCAAACAGTTAAACAACAAACCATCAACCCCGCCATCCCTAATCAGTAGTCCCCAAGCCGCCCCGCGAGAAAATCCCCGTAGATCTGCGGCAGAAAGCTTGCGAGATTCGTAAACTCGCTCTGGTCGTGCAGAAACATATCGTACGCCGTCCTGGCCCCTCCTCTGGCCGCCTTGAGACCCAAGAGGCCCGCGACGCGGTCGAGCGGGACGGCTACGCGCACGAGCGGCAGGTCGAGGCGCACGCCGGTGCCGAGCCAGTAGCGGCTGCGCAGCTCGAGCCCGCCGCCCTCGGCCGGCGCCAGGCGGCGCCACAGATGCACCACGTCGCCGACCTTGAGGCGCGGCTCCCAGCCGTCGCGCACCTCGGCGCACACGGCCGCCTCGTAGCCCGCGGCCCGTAGCCGGTCCCAGGGCAGGCCGTAACGGGCCGGATCGACGAAGCGCAGGTGCGCCGACACGCGCCGCTCGCCCAGCAGCTCCTCGACGCGGTGCGTGCGCCCGAGCCACTTGCGCACGTGCGGGGCCGTCCGGTCCGCCATGGCCGCCAGCCGGTCGCGGCCGGGTCCCGAGGACGACGACGACGACGACGACGCCAGGGTGACGCGGATGTGGGCGTGTGGGTACCACAGCGCGTACCGTTCGCTCTCCACCGCGTGCCACCAGAACCACCAGCGCACCATGCCGCCCGTGCAGTCTCACGGGAAGCGTGTTAGCGACGCCGCGTAGGCCGCGCCGTCTGCGAGCCCGCACCAGCCGTTCTCGTGCGCGTGGTGGCCCGCCTCGAGCAACCGGCCGGCGTCGGCGAGCAGCAGCACCCCCGAGCGCGGCATGGGCGCCTGCAGCGCCTCGGCCGCGTCGCTGTACATCTCGAGCGACCGGTTCAGGTACCTGGCGTACGGCTTGCCCGCCAGCCGCCGCGCGTTGCGCTCCAGCACCGCCTGCCCCGCCAACGGGTAGTGCGTGAGCGGCGTCTTTACCGCGGGGCCCCGCGTCGACGTCGCCGCCGCTATGGCCGCCACGACGGCCGCCGCCTCGGCCGCGGCGCTGCTGTCCTTGCGGATGGACCGCTCTGGCGCCGCCGCCACCGCCGTGCGCGCCTTTTTCTCGGCGGCGGCCGGGGTGGCAGGGGCAGGGGCAGGGGCAGGGCAGGGTCGCTGGAGATTGCGGCTGGCATCACCTCGGCCGCGGCCGCCTCGGCTGTGGTGCCGAGCCTGATGCCCTCAGGACCGGTGCCCTCTGGCGTGGTCCGCTTGGTGGTCGTCGTGGTGGCCGCCGGGGCCGTTGTCGTGTGTGTATCAGACATTGTGTTCTCGAGGTCTTTGGGGCCAACCCCTCTTTCGACCAACTGACGTGGCTGGTGCGCTGTCTGGTCGTATCTTATAGCATCGGCTTTTTGGCAGTGTCCTCTGAAGGAGTACAGTTTGCGAATACCAAGGTTCATCTGAAAACGACCGGAATCCGAGTGGTGGGGGTATCGTACGAATAGCAAGGGGATACAGGGGACCAGAATGTTCTAGCTGCTATATGATTAGACTTCGGTCCGCCGTTTCGGCTTGTCTGATGCTGCCCGCTGCATCCTTCCGGCAGCGGCGGTACAACTGCAATGGCTGTGGTCTGACAAAAGAGGGTTCGGTCAGTATCGACCCAAGCAGCACCGCTCATTTGCGCATTTATAGACCGCGACCGTAGGGGATTCGGCTCGGACAGTTAACGATAGGATTATTTGTATTTAGTTCGTCAATTATATCCAATTCGTGGCATTGACTTTTTTCGTCAGGCACTGCCCATGAAACATTCCATGAGCCTGCTGGCCAGCACACCGCGGCTTAGGCACGGCGACGGCGGCGAGCACACTCACCAACCGTCTTGATCCTACCGTCAAGCGCAATGTCGATGGGAGAGTTCTCAGCGAGGTAGGCCATGAGCACAACGTCCTGTGCGTCCAGAGTGGCAAAGCCGGTGGTGGGGACAAGGAAGGAGTCGCCGCCTCCAGCAAGGAAGTCCACGGTAACGAAGGTGTACTTCTTGCTTGTATCCTTGGAATCAATTGGCTGTCCTCCGACGGTGGCGCGCTTGAGGCGGCTGCCGACGGGCCCGGCAGGGTCATAAAGAATCCGTATGTCCTTGGATAGCTGAGGGAACGACGTGACAGTCTTGCCGTTGAACTGGTTGACGCCCGAGACCAGGCCCTCGAGAACCTTCCACAGGTCAGCGGCTGTGTAGGTCATGTCCACGATGGTGTTGCCAAACGGAAACGAGGTCAAGACCCCGCCACGGGTAATATTGCCGGCATCGATGGTGGCACGCACGCCGCCGCCGTTGATGAGGGCAAAGTCGATGCCGGTGGTGACTTTACGGCGGTAGGCGACCATGGCGCTGCGGTGAGAAAAAAAAAGGTTAGCACAAGGCTAGCGACAGGAACCATGCATGGAGGTGGACGAACTCAGCCATCAGGTCGCCCAGCAGGCACTCCTTGTTACGGCACTGGGTCTGGTCGAGGTCCACGTTGCTAAAACCAACAACCTCACCGGCAAACTCTGCGAAAGGGGCGCGCCAGCTTGTGATCTGGGCCTGCAGGCCGGGGTCCTGGGCGGTGGTGTTGGTCATGTGCACGGGGGCGCCGTGGTAGGCCAGGATCTTGCCATCGGCGTCGTAGGTGACGTCGATGTAGCCGACGTACTCGCCCCAGCGGTAAGCCTGGACGATGAAGACCTCGTCGCCGGCCTTGTTCTTCTTGATGGTGGGGTAAGAGCCCTGGGCGCCGGGAAAGTCGCCCAGTGGGGTGTGGCTGTGGCCGCCCATGATGAGATGCAGGCCGGTGGTGGACTCGGCCAGGCGCTGGTCCTCATCGTAGCCGATGTGAGTGATGGCGGCGATGCGCTTGATGTTGGTGGTGGAGCGGATGTGGTCGATAGTGGCCTGGACGGCGGCGACCGAGTCGCTGAAGGTGGTTTCCTTGCCCGGGCGCGAGATGCCAGCGGTGGTCTCGGTGGTGACGCCGATGACGGCGAGCTCGTACTTGTCGTAGATGTGGTAGGGCTTGATGGTCTTGTTGAGAAGCGGGTGGGTGCTCTGGATGTTGGCAGAGATGATGGGGAATGTCAGGTTGTTGAGGAACTCGCCCAGCTTGTCGTCGCCGCCGTCGAACTCGTGGTTGCCCAGCGTCATGCCGTCGAAGCCCATCTGGTTGAGGGTCTCGGCGATCTTCTCGCCGCCGTAGAAACTGTAAAACAGGGTGCCCTGGAACTCGTCGCCCACGTTGAGGAACAGGCTGTCCGGGTGAGAGGGGCGGGTCTGCTCCACGTAGTGCTTGACACGGGCGTAGCCGCCGTAGCAGCCGCGCGAGGGGTTGGTGCAGTCGGTGCCAGACGAGGAGAACTCGTCGAGGTGGGCATGGACATCGTTGATGTGGTAGAAGGAGATGTTGTAGTTGCCCTGTTCGTCGATGAAGCGCTTGCTGAGGCGGCGCTCGCTGTAGAGCACGTCCTCGGCGGCGACGGCGCCCGCAAGGGGCAGCACGCCGAGGAGGAGCCTCAGGAGGGGCAACCGGCAATGCATTGTGCTGGCGATTTTTGCGTGGCCTGGGGATGGGCGTCAAAGTCAATTGACACCTGCTCAGCGACTGACGGACATGGAAGAGCCTGACGGTCGCAGGAGCGAGAGTCGTCGGCTGCGAGGAGAGGCGATCATTCTTTTCTTATTCGGCCGGCCTTTTCTCATTCGGTCGGCCTCACGCGAACCTTGCGGGTCATGGTCCCAGCCCGGTTGGCGCAGAGTGCCAATCGGCCCCGCTGCAGGGTTGGCAACCTGCCGAAAGAAGCAGGTCGGGAAGCAGCGACATGGTGGCTACTCTGCGCCAGCCAACCATGACAGCGGGATCCCCGGATTGCTGATCCATGCTGTTGGGGCGCGAGGGGGAAATGGAGCTTAATCTTGAAAATTTGGCGACTCGTGGGGCTTATCGCCAGACGCACGTGTGTCGCCCGCTTGCTTGGCCATTGGCGAATCGGAGTCTATGGGGAAAGCGTGTAGGTTTGGGCAGGAAGGAGCTGAGAATGCATTGGCACGACGGGAAGCAGTTGGGTGATGCTGCCTGCAGGTGGGAAAAAAGCATGTGCTAAAATGATACGCTGTGAGAGAAGGAGCTGCTGCAAAGCCTTCGAAGCGAGGTTCCAACCCGCCAGGCACCGTGCAAATGGAGAGGCAAGCTACCCGCCCTGCATGAGTGTTTTTTTGTTTTGTTTTTTTCTTTCTTGGAGTATTGTATTGGGGAGAGCACATGTCTCAATTGTCCAACCCCAGTATCCTCTCGATCGCCTTCTCGGCCGCGATTATGATCCCTGCTTGCGGGTTTGCCGTCTGGATGCCATTCACGATGCTCGCATCCACGACATGCAAGTTTCTGGTGCCGTAAACCTGCGCGTTTACATCCACGACGGCCCTGCCGCCCTCCAGCCCTGAATCGGTCCCCAGGCGCGTCGTGCCAACCCAGTGGTTTGCCGTCCTGGCTATTGTCACAGGGATCTGCATTTGCAGGCGTGGATAGAGAGCATGGTCGTTGTTAGCAAACGGCCAAAAACTGTTCCAAATCCAATCCCATCTAGGAATTGACTTACGCTTTCGACGTATTCCCGCACGTCTTGCCCCGGCGCTGGCTCGAGCATCTTGACCCCTGGTATCGCAGACACGGCCTCAACCACATGCGCGACGGTCTCGATGACGGCTTCGAGGTCGTGGTTGCCCTCGTCGTTGAAGTATGGCATGGTTCCCACGCCCATGTTTAGCGACGAGTCAATCGTGACGCGTCCGCGAGATGTTTTTCCTAGTCCAAGTCCTGCATGGAGGGCGGCAGAGTCTGGGAGGACAAGATCGTCAGCAATTGTAGTGTCTTATTCCTTGTGCTTGGCTGGCTGAGACGCCGGTACTCACTGTTTCCAGATCCGGATTGCGGGCCTAGCGTGTACGACGTCCATTGGAAATGTCTCGTAATGCCGTCGGCCCCCTTGATGCTCTCCCAGAACACAGGGTTGATGTTGGGGGATGCTTGTGCTAGAATACCAGATCGGCCGGCTGCGGCCCGTCAGAATTCATACCCTTGTCCACGTTGACGAGGCGCTCTTACATAGATACTTCTCGGCATCTGCCCGGGGTGGGTTGTCGAATGCGGCATCAAAATCGTAATGCACGATATCTGGATGCTCAAATGCGATGGCAGTCTGGTTTGGGCACTCGTCAGCTGCTGTATCCCCGAGGTTGTAAGCAACCCGTGTGAGCGCCTTACGTTGACGTGATCGTCCAGCTCCTGCCCTACAGGCAGCTCGATCCACTGCGATGGGGGCGTCATCTCGCCGCCCTCGACGCCCGCGACAACCTCCAGCTGGTCTCGCGGGCCGATGCCGCTGCGGAAGAGGATCTTGGCGGTGCCGAACACGCCGGCCGAGAGGATCACGCGGCCGCCATCTCCTACCTTGACGACGCCGCTATGGCCCGCCTCCCCGACCGCATCTACTTGCACGCCCGTGACCGTATCGCCGCGCCTCTCCAGCCTCGTCACGGTGGTGTCGGTCCATATCTCGAGGTTCCCGCCCGCGTGCTTGTCCGCGGCCTCGCCCAGGTACGTCCGCAGCGGCCCGCCGCGCTCGCCGTCCATGAAGAAGTGCGCCGCGTGCGCAAAGGTCCGCTGCTTGGCCTCGGGCTCGTCGTTGGCCACGACAGCCCTCCACCCCTTGGCCGCGAGCCCCTTTGTCACCAGCTCGTGCACTTTTGTGTTGTGCAGCACGCCGTCGACGGCGGGCCTCTCGGTCCAGGGCACGCGGGCGAAGGCGCGCTCCGTCGCGCCCGCCATGTCGGCGGCGCGCCAGCCCTCGGGGTTGCCGATGCCGTCCCAGTCGGCGGCCTGCGGCCTGAACCAGAGCCCCGCGTTGATGGCCGGCCCGCCGCCCAGCAGCCTCCCCGTTATGGGCCCGACGTCGGCATTGCGGATGCCGTCGTGGTTGTGCCAGATGACGTTGTATAAGCCCGGGACGTCGTATCGGGTGAGGTTCGTGTCCTCAAGCCAGGCCGGCCGGCGTCGCCCGCCGAACCGGTACGTCGAGACGGAGCCCCGCTCGATCAGCAGCACTTTCTTGCCGGATTCTGCGAGCCGGGCTGCCGCGGGCATTCCGCCGGCGCCGGAGCCGATGACGATGTAGTCGTACCCGCTGCCGATGGGGGCTGTGGTCCGCTGACCCGAGAGCGACGCTGCTTCCGTGTTTCCATTCATGATGGGCTGAGCTTGGAGGAACTTGGGCTAGCACTTGGCTTCCATTGCAGCATGTCGGGAAAAGGAGATGCTGCTGGCCATGGACTAGAATTTCTCGTGGTTTTAAGTGCCGCCGCGACTGCAGAGCCCCAACCTACGATCATGCCTTTTCCGGACATCCCGATGAGCTGATTGGGTACCACGAAGAGGAAGTGCGGGGATTTACTTGGGGCACCGGAAGCAAAGCCTCCATTCCGCAAAGCAGCCTAGACCTAGCTCTCATTCCCATTTCATACAGTCGCCAAGGGCACATGTCAGGATCTGACTTCGGCTTCTAGCCTACGGCGGCTTGGTCTCGGCTCATCGCGGAGGGACGCGACGGCAAGTCCAGCGGGGGTCTGCGGGGGTCCCAGCACCATGGGTGGCGGTGATTGGCAGGTCGGGGGAACAACGGCAGAATTTGTATTCAGTTGTTGGAATTATGCCAAGTATCGAGTAGGATCTTGCTCAAGGGCAACGGCAGCCATCATCACCCGATTGTCTGGAACACTCTTGTGGTCTCCCGGCCTATCTCTTACCTGTCTCCACTATAAGTCCGGGACACCGTCCCGCCGATGCGGTAGCACAAGTGTGGCCCGTTGGCCCGTCTCCCCGACCCCCGACCGAGCCCTGCCTGCAACCCATGGTCGGATCGGCCGGATGGCCCCACTGCCGTCTGCGGCCAAGATGGACGCCGAACCAATGCCGGCTAGGGCCAGTCCCTGCAGCGGCTTCCCTCCTTTCCGGACATCATCTCGCCCTGGTCAATGCTCCTTGATCTCGAAAGGCGCGGGCTGCGGGTTGGACAGAGCCCACTTTATGCCGCCGTGCATGACCTCGTCCCAGACCTTGGACCCGTGTGGAAGCTTGACGTTAAATCGCCTGTACCCGTGGGGGAGGCCCTTGAAGACGTTGACGTTTGTCGGGACGCTACAGTGGCAGGGAAGGGCACGTGAATGTCAGCATGCGGGCACGCGCCTCATGACCCAGCCATCCCGGGCCGGTTTCCCGATCGAAAAGCAAACGAAAATATGGCCAAAACAAGCAGACTCACCCTGCCTCTGCCAGCAGTTTGGCGTACAACAGGCCCTCGTCCCTGAGCGGGTCCAGGCCGGCGACGCCAAACGTGGCGGGCGGCAGGCCCTTCGCCTTCTCGGGCGGGATGTTGCCGGGGTTGAGGATCAGGTTGTCCGGGTCGTGGTCCTGGACCTTGAGCAGGTCCAGGTAGAGGTGGATCCTCGACACGGGCAGCAGCGGCGCGTCCTTGCACTGCGCGTACGACCCCGTCACGCCCGGGTCGGCCAGGCGCGCCGCGTGCCCGGCGTAGCACTGCCACATCACCGTGGTCGGGATCATCAGCACCACACCCGCGGGCCGGGGCAGCGCGGCCAGGGCCTCGCAGCCGGGCGTGGCCAGGTGCTGGGCCACGGTCAGCGAGGCCGTCAGGTGCGCGCCGGCCGAGATGCCGCCGACGACGACGCGCGCCGGGTCGCCGCCCAGCCGGCCCTCCACGTCGGCGTGCAGCCACGCGAAGGCGTCCTGCACGTCGTGCCACGCCGTCGGGTACGCGTGCGTGTCGGTGTGGCGGTAGTTGACGTTGAGCACGACGGCGCCCGTGTCGGCCGCGATGCGCGCGCAGATGCCGTCCTCCGAGTTGAGCGTGCCGAAGTAGAAGCCGCCGCCGTGCAGGTGCAGGTACACGGGCAGCAGCCCCTTCTGGCCCTTGGTCTCCTTGAGCTGGTACGTCCGCGCCGGCACCGTCGAGCCGTCGCGCGTCGGGATGGCGTAGTCGGCCGTCACCAGCTTGTCGGCCAGCAGCGCGAAGCCCTCAGCGGCTAGGGTCTCGCGCTGCGTGTGGCTCAGCTTTTGCTGGTCGGCCAGCGCCATCTCCGCCGGAAAGGGAGGGAGGGTCGGCTCCAGCGCCAGCCACTCGGCCGAGGGGGTGCCGTACTGGGAGAAGTCGCACATGTTGCCTGATCTTTCGTATCGCAAACGCTACAAGTCGTGATTGGTTTGGAGCTAGGTGCTAGGCGCGAATTTGGTGCTGCCCTGCCGAGCTATTTATGTCTCTATGCTCGAGCCGAGGTCCGATCTTCGGTCAGCTCCGCGATGGATCTGGGACCCGAGGCATCCGGCGGGCGGCGGGGCTCCGGACTGGATACCTGGGGGTTCCACCTTGTTGACCCCCTCCGTAGGAAGCGGTCAACAAGGTGGAACCCCCAGGTACCACATATCTAATGATCTGTCCACAACATGGCCTCATAGCAGGGCCAGGGCCGTGTCTGGACGAGGCCCGTGCCGGCTTGGAAAGGCGGGGCATCTACACGCCTAGTCATTGCAACGAGGCCGAAAAGCTCCTTCGTTTGGACAATTCGTTGCACAAAATTGGCACTACCACAGGCCGTGGAAAGGCGCCTCTGTTAGAAAGAGTTGGATCTGTGAGAACTTCGACTTGGGAAGCCATCACGCTGGAAGGAGCAGGCCAGACGTACATATTTCACCGAGAGGCATTTACCAAATCCATTTCAGCCGAGCCGCCGCAGTTCGATATGATAAAGGATCGGCAGGTGAGGGTCGGGTACAAGGAGCCCCAGCTGGGATACTACATGGACATTCTCGACTTTATCACAGGGAACGAAAGGCACAAGGGTGCTGGGCAAGACGCCAGAGAGGTCCGCTTCCCACTCTACGACGACGAATGGTACATCCGGGAAGCTCATAGTACCCCGTACTCAGAAGACGTGCTAGCCTCCATCGTCCCGCCACCAAACCTAACCTCTTTTGCGGACAGTATCGATACGACATGGCTTACCGAGCTCCTATACGTGGTGGCTGGCGGCATGCAAACGTCGTGGACAATGCTGGTCATATTATCCGCCAGGCTGTTCCCGTTTTTCTTTTTTGCTCTCGAGATGGTCCGGACGACGAAGCAAGACTAGGACTCGTCTGAGAGATGGTCGGTCGGCGAGGTTCTGTTGTGCCTTCATATCTCGACCCCAACGCCGCGTTTTCTTTCCCAGGATGCTGACTCACGAAACGAAAGGGAATATAACTGACTTGCCCGCTTGAATCAGGAGGGGCAGCTTATCGTGCGCGCGGGATGGGTGGTGTGGAAGTCTAGGCCCGATTGGTACAGTATATTCGGTAGTCCTGCAAGACGCGTCTAGTTCTGCCTTTGCTTTATAGCGCAACGTCAGCTTCTGCACCAGCCAATCTCGGCGGCTCTGGTATAAGTCATCCCTCCGAATCGTAATGCTTACAGGGTCTCGGCACAACAAAACGCCGGGAGAGGAGACTCGTCGCCATGTTGATTGTGCCGACTCTTCTGTCGTCTGCCCTCCAAACAGGCTCCGTCGTGACCAGGAGACTTTACCGACTACCATTATACCTGACAGAGCTTTCGGCTACACCAAAGGAAAATGCCGCCGGTCAAAGCGCTGGTGGTTGGCGGCGGCATCGCGGGCCCAGCCTTTGCCCACTGGCTGTCGCGCACTGGCGCACTAGTCACCGTGATAGAACGCTCATCCGCAATGCGCACTTCGGGTCAGCAGATCGATCTGCGCGGGCAGGGCGTCGAGGTGGTAAAAAGGATGGGCATCTTGCCCGCCGTGCGGGCCCGGAGGGTGCGTGAGCCAGGAACGCAGTTTGTCGACGTCAGTGGCCGCGTCTGGGCCTCCTTCCCCGCCGTCGAGACCGGTACCGGCATGCAGGGGGTCACGTCCGAGTACGAGATTATGCGCGGCACCCTGGTTGACATTCTCTACGGTCTGACCAGGGACAAGCCGAACGTGAAGCACCTGTTCGACACGACGGTGGACAGCTTCACGCAGGACGAGAAGGACGCGGCCGCGGGAAAGGTGCACGTGCGATTTGGGGACGGCAAAGAGGAAGACTTCGACCTCGTCGTCGGCGCCGACGGCACGGGCTCGCACACGCGCCGCATGATGCTGGGCCCCGAGGCGCCGGACCCGCGCCATCGCAAGGCCGGGTATATCGCCTTCTTTAGCGCGCCCGCGGAGCAGGGGGACCCGCCCGAGTTCACGGGCTGCATGCTGCCGGGCAGGCTGCCGCGCATGATTGGCACGCGCAAGGACGTGCCCGAGCTGACGCGCGTCTACATGATCATGGACGACACGGACCCGGCCGTCGAGGCCGCCTACCTGTCCGGCGACCGCGCCGCCATCAAGGCGGCGCTGGCGGACCTGTACGAGGAGGGCAGCCATTGGCAGTGCCCGCGCCTCATGGCGGCGCTACGCAACGCGCCCGAGGCCGACGACCTCTACTGCACGCCGTTCGAGGACGTGCGCCTGCCGCCCGGGGGCTGGTCGCGCGGCCGCGTCGTGCTGCTCGGCGACGCGGCGCACGCCGAGACGGCCAACGGCTACGGCACGTCGTACGCCCTGATCGGCGCGTACCTGCTGGCCGGCGAGCTCGCGCGCGCCCTCGGCACCCCAGGCCTGGCGGCGGGCGAGGCCGTGGCGCAGGCAGCCCGAGAGTACGAGGAAAAGTGGCGGCCTGTCGCGACCGCGACGCAGGGTGACAAGCCCTGGTTCGGCCGCTTGGCTCATCCCAGGTCTAGCCTAGGGATTTCTATCTTTCAGTTCGTCGCCGCGGGCGTCGCCTTTTTCAGGATGGACAGGATGGTCGGACTGACGGCAGCGTCGGGGAAGTGGAAGCTTCCAGAATATCCCGAGCTACTGGCCGTAGAGGAGCAGGACTGAAATAGCTGGTGGGCTGCCTCTCGTACCTCGTAATCATCCATCTCCGCTTCGTCGCACATGTCGTTATTACTTATACACACGCCGCTATGACTTTCCGACAACTACATGTGACTCTTCGATGGTAACAGACCATTCCACATTAAGCACAATCCCGCCGGCACTCGCGCGACTATGCTCCAGTGAAATATCATTGTGCGCACCCCAGGACACTGTTACGCTATGGCTGGTGCCTTGGAGCACCAAGTGGTCACTGAACGGATAGACCACGCTCTTCTCTCCCTTATTTCTCTTGACATGGCTGGAACCATGTAGGAGACCGCCTGCATTAATCAACTCGATGTCCCCACCAGCGCTTCCCCTACCATCACTGGTGCTCCCGCGGCTCGGCTGCGACACGAAACTCCCGAGCGCGAAGGACGCGGAGGGCTCCCGCTTCCGCCCTTTGCAAGTCGATAGCGTCCTCCTGCCGGGCCACGCCGCCCGCGACCCGCCCGCCGTGCTGGGCGCCGAGGGCCGTGACGAAAGGATCGTAGGCGACGGCGGCGGTGCTCGCGATGGCGATGCACATCTCGACCTGGACACACACGGCGGCGCCGACCTCTTGCAGCGACGGGTCCCCCGATACGAGCGCGCTCCGGAGCAGGTGGGCGTGCAGGACGGCCGGGGCGACGAGAACCAGGCGTGCGCCAAAGACGGCCGTCACCGCCAGCTTGGCCGCGAGGCGCAGGCGCAGACCACTGACGAGGTAGATGGACAGCGAGAAGAGGAGGAGCTCGCTGGCAACGTCGAGGCTGGCGACCACGACCCACCGCACGGACTGTGTGCGCCCAAACGTCAGTACGTCAGTTTAGTGCCACAGAAAAAACACCGAGTTGGGAGGGGAACGGAGTGCGTACTTCCAAAGCGGTGCAAGACTTTTCGATAGGTGTCCCAGGCGGCGGCAGATCACAGCTCAGCGCAAGCAGGAGGACGGATGTAAACATGAAGGCTGTAAATGTGATGATGGCAGCCAACACCGACTTGCTGTGGCTCTTCCTAAACGGCTGGCGGAAAAAGACGAAGGCGGTGAAGCATTTCGTCATCCATATGGCTATGATAAACAGGATATCTCCAAAATAGATGGCCTGCGCAAGCATGTGTTAGCGTGTCATTTTCTACGAAATTTGTTGCCATGTTTTCTTCTGCATGCATACAGGCAAGGTGTAACTGTAACCAACCTTTCCCCGTGTGAGAATGTCGTCGTATGTAGCCTCACCGGCCGACTTGCCAAATCCGTGAGCAATAGCGAACAGAACCACGCTGGACTGCGTGAGGGAAACGAGCTGGTAAATGGGGGACAGGTCAGCTGCTGTTGGTGCGCGAGTGGAGGCCGCTGGCCACGGCGGGAAAACATACGATGGTCGCCGCCAGTGCGACGCCTTCCCACGAAAGGCGCGGTCGCGGGCCGGTGCGCATACACACCCTTATCAGGATGGCGGCGCACGAGAAGACCATGCCGGATATGGTGGCGATGGTGAGGAGGACGCTGTGATCCGTGGGGGCCATGGTGTGAAGGGCAGGGCTCTTCCCGGGCGGGTGGTTGTCCGACATGGTCGGGTTGCGAGGGGATAGGACGACAAAGTGAAGAAAAAAGCCCCGTCAAGGGAAGCGGATGTAGCAAGGGTTTCATGGGATTCTGGAGAAGCCGTTCATGTCAAATCTACGTCCCGCCTAACTACCTACCCATCTGCCAAATGAGACCCACGAAGTTTGCAGGCTCCAGGACCGAGACTGTGAACGCCACGCCCCGACAGTAAAAATATGGCACTGATCCGGCGCTAGATAAGGGCCGAAATGGACTGGACCGGCTCGCAAAGTCGCAAGTCGGGTGGCAGTGGCTCATAAAGACTGACGTGGTGCTGAAGGTAAGCGCCACGGCGAAGCGCCGGCGCGCCCATCACCTCGCCCTGGGCTCTCGATGGGGAGGAGGCACCTGTTTGACTCCCCCACGCCTTTTTTTGCCTCGAGGCTAACGCAGGTCCGGGCCGTCCATCCCTGGCAGCAGCGCGGTGGCGAGAGGATGACTAGTGTCGAGCCGTCGCGAGCGGGTCGCAAGCACATAGGAATGGCGCATCGGCCGAGATGGTGATGACGATTGCACACAGGGACTATCACTATTTCACTATTTAGGTGGTGGTAAAGCCTCTCGCTCTCTGCGCTGTCCGGATCGGACAAGTCCTTGCGTGATCGATAAAGGCTATAAGCACCTAGTCACCAACATTGCGGAAGCTAGCACTGGCGTGCAGGACGGCGACTTCGCTTAATAAGGATGTCCGAAGAAAGCAGGGATAACGGCTAGAGAACCTGGGTGGGCATTACCCGCGACCTTGGCTTATATATGCGCATCTCGAGCCGGTGATAAGGAGCAAAAGGACATAAAAGTGTGGAATGTCCAAGTGGCGCACCGCTGGCGGCACCGCGTCTTTCCGCCCAGGGACTGACCGACAGGGCGCCGAGAAGGTTGAAAGCTTGAGGGAAAATGCTCGAGCAGGCTGGGAATTGCCCCTGAACTCGGCGCTGTTCCGCGCGCTGCAGCGTGCGGCTCACGCAAGGCGCACCAGCCGCCTGCACGTCTAGCCCAGGGGACGAAGGGTGTGGGCAAGGCGTGGGGCACTGTTGTGTCACCCACCATGGCACCATCTACCACATGGTAAATAATGATTTGTTCATCGGCCGAGGGAGAAGATGGTGGGCATGGCTTCGATTGGCCATAATCTCTTCTTGGCCTGCATCTGCGGTTGCCTTGCAATCTATGTGTTCCTACAAGGCAACCGGCCACCATGAGAAGCCTTGCGTGATGGCTTTATGGCATTCCATTCAAAAAATGACTCCTGTCTCGTTCTACCCTTTTCTTCTCCATATACTTCCCTCCACATCCATCGTCTCGCATCGGCCCGGGCTCTGTAGGAAACAGGTAGCAATGAAACACAACGCGCACCCGTTTACATGCACAATTATCGGCAACGGCCCAATTGCTCCTTTCGCCCAGCCCCTTCCCCAAGCAGGTAGTTGGCCATGGCCGACGCCCTCGTGCTGGTCACCAGCATTCTGCAGGTGGCTGATGTCGGCCTTCGCACAAGCCTGGGCCTGTACGCCTTCTTCACGGCCCTGCACAAAGCCAAACCCGAGTTCTCTCGCTATCTCATAGGTAGTTATCCCATCTGCCTCCTCCTTGTTGGTGCCAGCCGCCACCCCCTCCTCCCCTCAGCGGCCATGACATATCATCAACGTCTGTTTCATTTAATAGTCCTTCGTGACGTCCACGATTCGCTCCGGCTGCTACAAAAGTGGGTCCTCGACTGTCCCGCCGATACTGTGCTGGACGAGGATGGAGGATCGGCCTTGCGGCGGCAGCTAGTAAGCATCACCGACGAGCTGTCGTCCATCGAAAATATCACGGCCGGCAAGGACCCGTCCAAACCAACGGGGAAACTCCGATGGGTTCTGAAAAAGCCCGAGGTTGAGCGGAAACTGCTCCGACTTGAAAGCCACAAAACCAGCCTTCTGATCCTGCTTCAGGCCGTGGACATGTACGTCACAGACCCTGAAATCACATTCGCCATCTCGCTGACAGCACCTGGCCGCAAAGGAGGAAGACCGCGCAGCTCCTGCAGGCGCAGACTTCCTTGGGCGCCAAAGTGTGCTCTTTGGAGGCTAGGATCGAACAGCAAGGAAAGCTGTACCAGCAGAGCCTCGAGGATAGCTTCGCTAGTCTGGCTCGAGGAATCCACGGGTCAGACACGGATGCGGGATATGCGGTCCGCCGGGCCCTGGAGGTCTACCTCCAGCCAATGCTGGAAAATGAGCTGGCTACAATCAGGGCCAGGGACGACACAAAGAGGGCTGCTGAAATGCGTGGATTCTGTGCCATACTTAACCAAGCCAGCTCGCGGATCGACTCGCACATCAGCCTTCTCGAATCTCGCAATAAACTGCCTCCAAATCACGCCATGGAGCCCTCACAACCGATCCCTCCAAGGCATTGCAGCGCCATGCAAGATTACCGGGGACTTGGCAGTTTGGGCGCTATTTCTAGTCATCATTTCGATGCAGCAACTATCAGTCGCGGCGTGTACCCAGTTCCAGCGCCCCGCTGCGAGATACCAATCGGCACATCAGAGTGGTCATACTGGGCCAATATCCGTCGAGTGGGAACCTTCAGGCTCAGATACTGGCTTAGCGCTGGCCCGCGGGGTAAGGTATACAACTTTACCGCCTGTTTCTGGCCCTCGAGCACGGTAATCTTCAAAACAGCGTTCTCTCTGAAGTATAGCAACCGCCACGACGCTCACGGATATCTGCCGCTTTTTCCTTCCTTGGCCATATTCCCCGTCCTGCCGCGCGATGACCCAGTGTGGGAAATCATTCGTCAAGACGATCTTCCAGGCCTTATGGCTCGCTTCAGCCAAAAGCTCAACACTCTATTCGATGAAGATGCCGGGGGTGTCACTTTACTGATGGTAAGTATTTGCAGTTCCGCTTTTGAACTTGAGAAACGGGTGGCACATGAGCTTAGTATCACTTCCGAACATAGTGTGCCTCGAGAAACCAGAGCTACAAGATTGTCGAGTTTCTCCTTCGTTACGGCGTGGACCCAATGAGGTTGCCCCGCGACCTCCTGTACGTTAACTGGTAGGACTGTGGGCGTGCGCGTTGCATCGTCGTATTGTGACGCTAACGGATACCCAGATATGGCACCTCATCCCAGGCACTAGCAGCGATGGTCCTGTTTAAAGCATTCCAGGCTTTTACAGGACGGGTTTCCTCGAGCAACGGGCCCGATGATGCGGACCTGCAAGCTTTCAGGTATACGGTCCGCCTGCTTGTTGCCGCAGGTTGCGACATCAACTCCTTCTCACCCGGTACTGCCATTTCCATGGCCATGAACAAAGGTAAACGTTAACCTCTTCCCCCTGCGTGGGCAGCGCTGTCATGGATGCTAACTACAGCGTCGCAGAGAACGGTCCAAAACGCATGTGGGGGGACGGGACGAGATCCCAGTATCTCAACAGGGTCACGCATCTGGCGGAGATCCTCAGCCAGGAAGGGTACGACATGCTCAGCTGGCTCGACCGCAGCGTGCTGGTCATGGTCCTGCATCGCCCTTGCGCGAGGTCGCTGCCCGTGCTGCGGGCTGTTGGGCTGACAGGAGGCTGCAGCCCCTCGAGCGACAAACCGGCTTGCTCGAATGCGGTTCTCTATCTCGTTCTCGAAGCTTGTGCCATGGCAATCTCGGGCGGGAAGCAGCAAATCAGCTGCCTTGCTGCGGGGGAGAACCTGGTGGACGTTCTGGTGGACGGCTGCAACTTGTACGATGTCGGATGGCTCCACAACAACCCTTCTCTCAATCGACCAATCACACCTACTCTGGTTGCAGAGGAGCTAGGCATTACGGCGACTTGGCGGTGGGCGCTGATGGTGGCTGGTTTTGATGTTGCCGAGGTCTTTGCGGAAGACGCGAGGAGGGTGCGGTGGTTCCGGCTGCAAAAAGGAGCGAAATCGTCAGGGGTAGACATGCAGGGCAGCGTGCTGCAGGGTTCCATCAGGAGGAGACCGAGGGGAGCTGGTCGACGCTGGGCATCTCGGAAGTCTCCCGGCACTGTCCCTATATATCTCGACGCAGGAGGCAAAACAAGAAAGACGCAATGAGTTGAGTTTGTGGTTCTGTCAGGGGCAGAGGCCTGAAAGCCCCCGCTTACGTCTTATCTGGCACTGAGCAAGCATGGGGTGGGTCGTCGCTGATCCCTTGCATTTGCCATGTATGTCAGACTCTAGGAGCAATATCAGCAGATGCGGCGCCGTGCATTATCACCGTGTCAAGTGATGGTATCCCGCTCTTCGGGGTGGCTGTTATCCATCGCCCCCGCAGCTACAATGCGGGGAGATGACCCGGATCCTTTCATCATCCTCATCTGTTGACCGCTCTCCACGCCACGGCTTTCGGAGCGATCGTCTGCAACGTTGACATGGCTGCGGGACGGTTCGCAAGGCCATGCGACATCGGCCAGGATGGCCAGTTGCCGATATAGGGGTTGGGTACCCCGCGCCCAGTCCATGATGACTGTCCATGTACCGTGCGTGGGGGGTTTGCTTGCCGGCGCCGATAAACACTGCGACTTTCCGACCTGGGTCCGACGCCGTCACCCATCAAAACGGCATCTGTCCCCAACAACCCAGAGCTTCTCCAAGTGCGGCGTCCTAGGCTCCATCTTGGGATAGAGGAGAAATGGACCCAAGCAGCAAGAGCGATGCCGGCTCCGAGCCAGGCCAGGGCGGTGAGGTGCAGCAATACGAGCACCAGAATGCCACAGCCAAGGCTCCCGTGTCTGTCCGACAGGTCAACCAGGAGCACCCGGAGCTATACATGGAGGCACTAGCGCGATACCCCAACGATGAATCCATCGACGCCGCTGACGAGAGGCGCCTGGTGCGCAAGCTGGACATGCGACTACTTCCGTTGCTTGGCATCTGTTACTTTTTCTATGTAAGATTTTCAGTGGCAGTTCCTACCAAGAACCAAGAACCCATAGTCTCGTACTGATTCTCCGTCTCCCCACCACAGTATGTCGACAAGACGACGCTCTCGTACGCCGCCATCTTTGGCCTTAAAGACGGCCTGGGCCTCAAGGGCGAGGAGTACGCGTGGCTGTCGAGCAGCTTCTACTTTGGCTGGCTGATCTGGGCCATCCCGTCCAACCTGATCATGCAGCGCTGCCCTCCCGCCTACTACCTGGCCTTCAACATCTTCATGTGGGGCGCCCTGCTCATGGCGCAGGCGGCGGCGCAGAACTTCGCCGGCCTGCTGGTGCTGCGTGTCCTCTCGGGCGCCTTCGAGGCCATCGCGGACCCGGCCTTCATGCTCATCACGTCCATGTACTACACGCGCGCCGAGCAGCCGTCGCGCATCTCGGCCTGGTACGCCTGGAACGGTGTGGGCGTGGCCGGCGGCGGCCTGATCGGGTACGCCATCGGCCACGTCGAGGGCGCGCTCGCGTCGTGGCGCTACGAGTTCCTCATCGTCGGCGCCTTTTGCGCCGCCTGGGCCGCCGTCCTGGCCCTGCTGCTGCCCAACTCGCCGCGCAGCATCAGGGGGTTCTCGCGCGACGAGCGCCTCATCATGATCGCCCGCATGCGCCGCAATCAGACGGGCGTCGAGCAGCGCCGCATCAACTGGGCCCAGATCCGCGAGGCCTACGCCGACTACAAGACGTGGCTGTTTACGCTGCTGGGCTTCGTCGCCAACATTCCCAACGGCGGCATCTCCAACTTCTCGACCCTCGTCATCCAAGGGCTGGGCTTCGGCACGTTCGAGACGGCGCTGCTCGGCATCCCGCAGGGCGCTCTCGTGGTCATCTGGATTGGCCTGGGGGCACTGGCCAACAGGTTCATGCCCAACAACTGCCGCACCATCGTTTGTGCCATGTTCATGGTTCCGACAATAGCCGGCGCCCTAGGCTTCCTACTGGCGCCGCCCGACGCCTACGTCGGCCGCCTGATTTGCTTGTGAGCCCCAACGTGCCCTCTCCCCTTACCCGCCTTCGTGTGCCCGCTTCGGGACGCCCCGTCTAACGCAAACATGACGCGACCCGCCACAGCTACCTGACCGGGTCCTACCAGGCCTCCTTCGTCATCTCCCTGTCCCTCATCACGTCCAACACGGGCGGCCAGTCCAAGAAGATGATCGTGTCGGGCATGATCTGGTTCGGCGCCTGCGTCGGCAACATCGTCAGCCCCTTCTTCTACCGGTCGGACCAGGCGCCCCGGTACCCCCTCGGGATCGGGTCGCTGCTCGTGGCCAACTGCGTCGAGCTCGGCCTGTTCTTTGTGTTCCGCTATGCCTTCGTGTGGGAGAACAAGAAGAAGGAGCGCCAGCGCCAGGCCCTGTGCGACGGCGGGGGGCCGCTGGTTGGCGAGGAGAGCGCCACGGCATTCACGGACCTGACGGACAAGGAGAACCCCAACTTTGTCTATGTGTATTGATGGGCCGGGGCTGGCAGTCTTGTGTAGACTGCTCGTCACACGGCCTATGAGTCACCACTGCTGAGCCCTCAGCAATCTCTCGTGACCTTTACTTGTCCGAGGACAGACTGAGTTCTGGCTCCCGCAGATGATGCGTGATCAGTACGACCGTAGCTAGCAACCAACCACCCTCCTTTCACTTAATAGCCCTTAAATTTCCGCATTCCCGCTATCCCACCTGGCATGCCATCAACCTCAAATTAGCAATACCGTCTACCCGGGCATCACTCCCCCATCCGTCTCCCACTTCTGACCCCGTTCCTACTTCTCCGCTATTCGTCGTCATGCTGACCCTCACCCTCCCTCAATCTAAACTTCCTAAAGGCTACGTGATGTGTCCGAGTCGGGAGGGGTACAAATATTACGTCAATGTTGAAACGAACACCTCCTCGTTGCGGAACCCTAGTACCTACAAGGCTCTGCAGGACGTTGGCATCGTGGACCCCCTCGAGAGGATGAGCACCGTGCACCCGTCGCTGGCGGCGCTCAACAAGCCCAACATCGAGGTGCCGGCGCTGTGGAGGCGCTTCGAGGACGAAGCCGGGGTCATTTTTTACGCCAAGCCCGACGGGACGCGGTTACTTTCGCACCCCTACGCCGACGGCCACGCACTTGTCCCCCCTTGGGTCGCTCTCGAAGGCAAGGACGGCGAGACTCGCTTCTGGAACAAGGAAGAGAAGAGGTCGCAGACCGAGAACCCGAACCGACAATTTTTGGCATACGCGGTCATCACCGCCGGGATTCAGGAGGAAGACTACTGGCAAACCAAAGGATGCGTGCCCGCTTGGGTCGTCCAGGACATGACAGTGCCGCAGCCTGGGGAACAGGCCGTGCCGTACTCTGTCAACTACCGCACCGGCAACCTCTGGCCACGGTACAGACGGAGTATCAACCTCGCCAAGGAACGACCCCAGTCCACTTATCAGACACCCGGGCCAGCATTGCCAGATGACAGACCTGAATCAGATGACGAGCTTCCAGCGGCAGCAGATGAGCGCCCCCCAAATTCCCTCCAGGCTTTTAATATATTTGCAGTCTAGGAAATAGTTGGACCGCCAGATGCAGCTCCTCGAGCCGGATGATTTGCGACTTGGAACGCTAATCGATGAAACCTAGGATGCACCAACAAGGACTGTGGGATCCGCCAGGTAGAAGTGGTGTTGAGGCTTCACAATAGCAAGAGCCGCGTGTCAGAGTGAAGAGAATTGACTATGGCTAGCTGCGTTGATGCTGGAATCTGCGTGTAAATTCCTTCATATGTGGTTAGCTGTGTTCATATTTACCTTGGGTAGGTATCGAGATGGCCGGCTACTTGCAGCCGCGATGGTTCAGGCGCCGTGCCTATTGAAATCCTGCGGGTTTTTCCTTCACAGTTCCCTGAAACATTGCCCCGGACATCCCGTCCGCTACCTAGCCCTTTTGCTAACCGCATCAAGTTCCGTACAGGACCGATCCGCATCGCATCCTCCCGTCCCAGTGTTTGGCCCATGGCTCGAAGAAGCAAGCGTCGCCCATGATCGAGTCCTGCTCGACGACGACAAGCCATCGGCTTGGCCCTCCTCTTAGCTCTCCATCTTGACAATACTTCCAGGCACCTCCTCCGTGGCGAGCCCGACGCGATCGCTGTCCGAACCGCCATCCCTCTCCACACGCTCGCCCATTTCACCCAGCGGGACCTAGTCCTCCTGCGGACTTTGGGACAGAGGCGGTCCCCGCGACGACGCGGCCCACGAGCTGGGTATCGGTGCCGCGGGCCGACCGTGACCCCTGCTGCGTTGCTGCCAGACGGGGCCCTTGCGCGGTCACATATAGGCTTCCGGGCGCCCCATAACTTCTATTCCTCTTATCCAGGCCTTGAACTTGTACTGCCCCAGCCTCTCGTGGCTGCCCCAAGACGAAGAAAAAAAAGGGAGGAAAGGTATTGCTCATCCGCCTGGGTACAGGTACATGGTCTGCTTCTTGCCACATCCACCGATTAAACTTCAAGCCAGCATCCGGCCGCAGCGTCTCGATGGCCGCAAACGGCGTGCTGTCAGCAAATATGCGTAGCTTACCGGACGGCGCCGAAGGGGGAAAGACGCTAGGGCGCGTAGGCGCCTGACACGCCCCCGTTCGCAGGCTCTACACTACCACCACCGACACTTGACCCCATTTTCCCATATGGCGCGGAGGTAAACGCCGCGTGGATGAGGAGGGCATTCTGGCAGGTGACAATGCGATGCATCAACAAGCCTCTCAGCATTGATATGAATGAGCTGGACAGATCGGCTGAATACCCAGGCGCCTGCCAGCCTACTTTGTACTACCAGATTCCTGTCCCAACTGCGCCGTTTCTACAAAGTAAACCATGGCTTTCCGACCACCTTTGCGACCGCCTGCGCAACAAGCTTGTGGATCTGCACGCCTGGGTGATAGTCGTTGAACCAAAGACAGCCGTCCCCGCCGAAGCAAACGGCGTCCCTGGCGCCGTAGGCCTTGGGGTTGTTGATGGCCTCGTTGAACGGCGCGGCCGTGTCGACGACCCACGAGGTCACGCCCGCGTTCTTGGCCTTGAACGAGACGAGGCTGCCGGCGATGAGGTCGTTGTACAGTCCGATCGTCTTTTCCAACAGCGCGCCAGACTCCGGGCCGTTGGCGAGCATGAGCGGCGTCTTTTGCGTGGCTGCGTCAAGGCATTCACCGATATCAGCGTCTTTCTTACGGGCAAAGCAGCGGCGAGTGGGGAATACTGGGGTTATGGACGACGACGCAAAAGAAGGGGAAAAAAAAACTCACGCGGAACGCTAAGCAATACAAAGTTCCTAACACCGGCGTCGTACAGGAGCTGCAGCTGGTCAAAGTACCGACCCACGGCCCGCGCCATCAGCTCCCCCGCGCCCGGCGACCAGAACGTGTTGCCGACGTCGTTGACGCCCATCCACACGCCCGCGAGCGCGTTCGCGGCCGTCCAGGGGGCCCAGGGCGGCCTCGCCGCGAGGGAGTCGCCGAACTGGCCGAGCTGGTCGACAAAGGTCGAGACGGTCGGCTGGTAGGGCTGGACGAGGGTACGGTCCGTCGTGGCGCCGCCCGAGGCCAGGTTGTACGAGTAGGTCGCCGACGCGTTGAGCTGCGTCGCGAGGAAGCCGACCCAGTTGAGGCCGCCGCTGCTAGTCCAGCCCGGCAGGTTTGGGTTGCCGAGCGGGTTCTGCGGGCTCGGCTTGGCCAGGCTGAGGTTGAAGCCGGTCTGCGAGTATGAATCGCCGCTGGGCGTCGTGGATGTGTGATGTCAGATGGGGCATTGCTTGTTGTGTGATCAAATACTGCGCGCAAGGGAGTGGCTTACAAAGTGATAAAGTACTTCATATCTCCCGGGCTGAGTGTTTGTGTGGCCGTGGTTGTCGAACTAGCGGTTGTGGTGGTTACTGAGACGCTGGGAGGAGGCTGCGTCGGCGGCGCTGTTGGTGCGGTGCTTGTGAGGCATTGGTCTGGAAAGGAACCATGTCAGGGGCGGCCTCGTTGAGTGCGGAGCCTACGGCCTTGTGCCTCCTTACAGTACCAGGGGTTCTGCGAAGCGCAATGAACGCCCGCAACACAGCTGGTCCCGCCGGTCCACCCGTTGCCACCACACTGCCCCCAGACGGGAATCTGGGCCTTGACAGTAACGGCCAGCCCGGAGGCAATGATATTGGCGATGGTGTAGCGAGCCATGATGCTGCGTTACGTGGGTCAGTGGAGGGCGTCCATGTGTAAGCATCGCGAGCATGTCCACGCCCGTCACGGCAGGTCCCATTATATAAATATCACCCAGTCGTGCTGTTAAGGATGCCTTCTCGACCTCAATCCAAGACCAGCCTGGGTTCATTGACCAGCGCGCTATATTGCCGGCTGGTGATAGGTGGAAACTTGTCCACGACAGGCGGTACGATGGAAAGGCCAGCGAGGAACTAGCCGACAGGGGGTCTGTTCCTGCATGAGCACGGAAGGGGCATGTCCGAAGGGCAAGGAATGCCAGGATTTTAGATGCAGTCCGCTCTTAATTAGCCAAAGACTCGGGAAATCCAGAAATGGAAAATGCTCGAGATGGTGGAAGGTAGAAGGTGGAAGGAAACGTCGGGACGATTCGTTATCCAATAATAAAGAATTTTCCCATCGATGGGGGCAGAGTCATTTTCCTCCAAGGCGCCAGGCCATGCTCATGTCTTTCTTCTGCGAGTCTTCACAATAAAGCCCACATTCTTTCACTGTATTTTCATGTTGAATCCACGCCGGTAGAGACAGACAGATACAAAGAATCAGAGGAACATATTGGTACAGTCTCACCACCGGACCGTTGTGACAAAACCATACCTGGACCTCCAACACCCAGCAACACTTTTGGCCGAGACTGCCGATCCCCGAGCAGCTAGTTAATGCTTGACAACAAACTCGAGCGCGTGCGCGGTGTAGTTATTGGCTTGCACGACCGGGATGGTGACGGAGCCGCCCGAGTACGTGTATGTCTTGCTGCCCTTGGAGACGGGCGGGCCCGTCACGGCCCAGGCACTGGAGCCCTGGAACTCCCAGGCCTCGACCTGGACGGTGCCCGACGCCGGGTACCCTACGGCGTCCAGCCCCCGCACCTGGATGCTCCACTTCCCCGTCGCGACCTTGGGCCCCGCGAGCAGGCGGACGCGGTCGTTCCCCCGGGTGGCGTAGACGTCAAACAGCATGTCGGTCGACCCGGCCGTCCGCGCGCGCGTGCCTGTCATGTTCTGCGCGTAGTACTTGTACACGTGGTGGCCCGGCGCGGCGGCGTAGTCGCCGGCGGCGTAGTCGCGCGGGTTGCGCGCCTTGGTGAGCAGGTTGGCGAACAGGTCGTGCAGGGTGTTGCCGCCCTGCCAGTTGCCCAGCACGCCCGGCCAGTCGAAGCGCTCGAGGCGCGAGATCCACCACGCGTAGCCCGAGGGCACCATCTCGCCGAACGCGGCGTACTCGTTGATGCTGACCTGGCGGTCCGGGAGCTTGTACTGCCGGAGCAGCGCGGCCAGCGACGCGTTGGTGTACTGCGGGTCGTTGTCGACCGCGCGCAGGTCGCCCTCGAGGTGGTACGAGTACTGATCCGGGACGGCGTCGGCAGCCGCGATGGCGGCGAGCCACGAGGTCCACCACGTGTTGCTGGCCATGGGGCGCCAGGCGAGGCTGGGGCCCGAGATGGGGACCTTGTTGAAGCGCGCGTCGGCGCTGTGTTTGGGTCGTTAGCCTTCAGTCTGAAGACGGTTAGCAAAGGAGTATTAGCTTACCGAACCGCCTTGTGGCTTCTGATGTACAGGTCAATCCACTGCTTGGTGTTGCGCTTCCAGAAGACGTTGATGTCGGGCTCGTTCCTGCGGCAGGGATCAAAAGTCAGCACGGGTTCTCCAAGATTCTCCCGAGAGCACACAGCCTCAAGAATATGTACCAGATATCCCAGACTAGACCCTCAAGTGCGTTGTTCGCCACAAGATCATCCATAAGCCTCTTAAGGAAGTTGTCGTACGGGGCCCAGTTGCCACCATCACCGGGCCAGTAGCTCGACGAGTTGCCGTTGTCGGTTCCCCAGAGATCGTGCACGTAGATTATGCACTCGGCGCCGAACTTCCTCATGGTCCGGTAGTTGGACAGCGTCGACCGGAGCCGCCCCTGGTACTCGGACAGGCCCCAGGTCCAACCACGGTTGGGCGCGCCCATCTGGGCGCCGCCAGTGCGGCCCCAGCGGAAGTTGATGTCTTTGTACCTGCCGGGTATCCAAAAATGTGTCAGTAGAGCCCTGAATACGCATGTTGTTATGTGTGGTGCGTATGTACCAATGGTCAGGGATCTGTCCCTCCTTGTCTGGGATGCCGTAGAGGAAGCCCGAGGCAAGCTGCTGAGGCGCACCCCTGGAGACCGCAAGGTCGACCGTGGCCGTCACGTCATCGCGGGGCACCAAAGGACCCGCAATGGCTGTGGCCAGAGTTGAGGCGAGAAGGAAGTAGGAGTACATCTTGCTGGGGCGGATATCAGTCCTTGGCTGGAGAAACAGTGTACCACTCCTACTTCATCCTGAAAAGGAGACCCAACACGACGGGGAAATAGCTGGCATTAAATACACCGCGATCTGGATCCTGAGCCTGTCAGTCTGCGGAGAAGTTCCCCGCGCTGGCTCGCGAGGTGGTATCTGATCGTTCCGCCGAGTATAGCCGGATGGCACGGCGATGGAAATCAAGACGGCCGTGCGGAGCCAGTATAGGCAGGTTCGCTGGCTTACATACCAACAAACCCCCTGGCGATCGCCCAAATGGGTATGTGCCGCCCTATGGTATCATCCGTCGGTATTTCTACCCCGCAGACAAGGCGGAGAAATGGTCGACGGCGTAACGCGGAAACAAGGGAGTGGGCAGGAGGAGGAAATGGGCGTACACGTTTGTTTTCCAGGGGCGAGAGAAAATGGGTGCTCGATGCCACCTCGTAACATTGGAAACTACCCATTTCGAGCGTAGTAGTCCAGGGCCACCAGGCTCATACCTTGCGGTGATCCTTGCAGTGGCAAGACGGCACCATGAATATTCGTAGCGATATTGGCGCTTTTGACCACAGTTGAGAACACCGGCACTAATGGAGGCATGTGTTAAAGGTTATTATTCATTTTTTTTTTTTCGTATTTTCCGCTATCAATGCCTCCGAGCGTGGAATAGGTCCCGACAAGGAGACGAGTAGCATTCCCAGCTGCTTGTAGCGATCCTAAAGCCGCGAGACAGCCAACGCACCCACAGAGCCCGCCTCGACAACGTGGCTCCCTGCGAGCAGGTCTGAGCTGGCGCCGGTCAGGTCGCCGTTGGCAAACACGGTCGCTTTGGTGCCGGGCGAGACGCGGATGAACCTGATGTCGGCGGGCTTAACGCCAGCCTCGGTCAGGAAGTCGGCCCGGAACTGGCCCTCCTTAAGGGAGACTCCCTTGCCCGAGACGGCCGGCTCGGCAAACACCGAAGCCCCAAACTTTTGCTGAGGCACGGGGATGCCGCCGGCTCCCTGGTCGAAAGAGAGCTTGAGCACATACGCAAGCGACTCCTGCGGCTTCTGCCCGGCAGGCAGCGAGATGACGAGCGAATCCGGCTTCTGCTTCCACCCCGACACGGCGGCGTACTGCCCCTCGCCGCCGAGCAGCAGCTCGACCGACTTGAGGCCCGAGAGGTCGACGAGCGCGTCGGAGCCGAGGTTGCGGATGGCCACCTCGCCCTCCTCGGGCCAGCCCAGGACCGATGCGTAGAGCACGTCGCCGGCCTTGGTGCGCGTGAAGCGCACGTCGCTGCTGTTGCCCTCGAGCGGCTTCGTGAAGGACCCGCCGCCGGCCACGTTGGGCCCCTCGCCGTAGATGTCCCAGGCGCGCGTGCCATAGACGGACTCGCCGTAGCGGGCCAGGTGGTCGCCTATGGTGCGCAGCACGGCCTCCTGCCCCTCGGGCAGGACGCCGGCGGCCGTGGGCGAAACGTTCAGGAGCATGTTGCCGTTCTTGCTGACGCGGTCGAGGAGCGAGTGGAGCATGGCCTTGGCCGGGTGGTAGTGGATGCCGACCGTGTAGCTCCAGCTCGAGGCCGAGATGGCGTCGTCGGTCAACCAGTAGGGACGCGAGATCTCGGCGGGGCCGCCGCGCTCCCAGTCGGCCACGGCCGAGGTGTTGCGGAAGCCGTTGTCGAAGTGCTTGAAGGTCGTGACGACTTCCTTGCCCCAGTCTTGACCGCGGTTAAAGTAGTAGGCCAGGAAGTTGAGGCGCTCCTCATCGGCAATGCGGCAAGGGGAGCCCTCCTCGCAGTACCCAGGGCTGTCGAGTGAAAAGTCGTTCCAGACGATGTCTGGCTGCACGTGGTCGAGCATCTCGCGCTGCTTGGCAAACCACAGCCTGTCGGACTCGTCCCTGGGCAGTTGGCCGTACAGCTTCTGCATCGTGTGTCTAGTCTGCTTGGGCGCGGAGCTGTAGAAGCCGTTGGTGTTGAAGGCGGTGTGCATGGCGACGAGCAGCTTCATGTCGTTGTCCCGGACAAGGCCGGCGAACAGCTTGAGCAGGTCGAGCCGGGGCCCTAGGTTGACCGAGTTCCACTCGTTGACCGTGCTGTTCCACATGGAGTAGCCGTCGTGGTGCTCCGCCACGGGGCCGGCGAAGCGCGCGCCCGAGGCCTTGATGACCTCCATCCAGGCCGCCGGGTCGAACTCGCCGCCCTCGGATGCCAGCACAGGCTTGAACTCGACGTGGTTCCCAGCCAGGTCCTTGTTGCCCAGAATGAAGTTGTGGTAACCCCAATCCTCGGGGGCGCCGTAACGGCGCGTGTGCTCGGGCCTGACGTCGTTGTCGTGACGGTACATGTTGCGGCCGTACCACTCGCTCGAGTACTGGGGCGTGGTGAAGGCGCCCCAGTGCCAGTAGACGCCAAATTTCGCATCACGGAACCACTCAGGCGAGGCGACGTGCTTGTCGGTCGACTCCCACGTCGGCTCATAGGTCGTAGCCTGGCTCACCGCTCGCGGGAGCAGGGCGGCGAGGGCCGTGGCGGCTGTGGCCAGAGATCTCATGTTGAAGAGCGAGCGGATTTCGTCGGGGGAGATGGTTGGACCGCGTGGGTGGCGAGATGGTTAGCGCCTCATGGCGCAGGGAAAAGCCTCGATGGCTTCCCTTTATACACCTCATCGCCACGACGACAGGGACAAGTTAGGGGTGTCCATGCGAGATCAGGGGAACTTGCGAGAAGATGCCTGCCCATGTCGCATTGAGCAGCTCACGGACGCTTGACATTTCGGTCGTCTGGTTCGAGCAGTTGGATAACCAAGCGCCCCATCTTGTTGCAACGTCGGGGGCGCGGGGAAGTGGAGAGCAAAGGGCATCGTGAACTGATCTCCTCACGTAAAGTCGGGGTTGGCGACGCGCGCCAGTCATTGGAGTGTCATTGGAGCTGTTGGCGCCCCACCGCCCGCCCAGCCTTCTTGATTTAGTGCGCCACTGGCACGGGTGGCGTGGCACGGGTAGCGCGGAGCCGAGGCTCAGTGCTGTGACGCCACAGCAACCAAAACGCGCTCAAGACGAATGTGCTCCTTCCTAATCCGGCCAGGGGATGCTCCTCGCTTTCCCCGCATCGGCATTTGGGTGCAAAAATTAAACCGTCGGTTCTTTTCGGCATCAGCCGCCTGCCGTTGTTTGCAGCAGCCCTGTATCAGCCGGGTCTGGGATTACATGTAAAGATAACAAACAAGCAGCAAACACCCCTATCTGGAATGGGCTAGTCTGTCTCCTGATCGATTCGGATGCCTTAGTGGGCAGGTGACCAGCTTGTGCTGCGCACGCGCGCCACGTCCAATACTGAGCGAACGTCCTTGGGTTCAAGTGCAAAGAAATCTAACATGAAGGAAGGAGAATACTCTTGTGGACCGCCCAGTTCCTGCCGGACGCCGGGAACAAGCGGATCCAGCAACGAACGGACCCGCCGTCTCCGAAGTGCGGGTCATCCGCTCCATGCATGGCCGCCCGCGACAGCGCCGCAATCGGGAATGGCCGGGGCCCCCGAGGAAGTGAACGGGCTTCTGGGTCCGTGAGATCTTCATGTAGGGGGCAGGACCGGCGTGCTGTTGCACCTGTTAGTCGTTAGTACGGTGTCCATTTGGTCTTGCTGACCATCTTACTGTCGTAAATATTTCCACCCACTATCGTCGTAATTAGTATTTATCCTTTCCGATCATCCCCGTAAGTAGCTTTAACTTGTCGTGCGCATGTGTTAGCCAACGAACACTTTAATTTCCTCGCCGTCTCCAATTCCGTCCTCTTTTTTCTTTTCGTCATTACCAGTTCGCAACACCCATTTCGCAATTACGGCACCAACAAACAAATAATCGCCGCAGATCCAACTTCAAAGATGCCGGAGTAAACAAAATTGCGACCATCAATCGCGCTTCCTTTGAGATGTTGGCACGTCAAAACTTGCTGGACGGAAACTCTCGCTGCTCAAATTGGCCCCAAACCTCCCTAATCTCTCATAGTGCAGGCAGGCATTGTTAGCGTCACCCAGCTGCGAACCTTATGCGAAGGACGGACATTGGAGTCGTCTCCACAACGCGCCTTGGGGTCAATTACACAAAACTGGTCTACAATCTCTCGGCGGGCCAACAAACGCCAGCACGTTTCTTGAAGGTACCATAACCATACTGTCCACACCAGCTTGATGATAATCTGTCCGTGACCCAACGACTTGGTGGAACCTCGCAGCAAGTGCACTGCAACAATCACACCGTTCCGACGGCCACTACAGCAAGTTGTCTTCAATGTCGGCCTGTCGATCTTTCTTGGACCAGTCGATGGGCGAACACGGGGTTTGAGCATCACTCACCAGGGCAAAAGTGTAGCTAGATCACGACGGATTGGACATAGACGTTCATTATATCCAACTAAATTACAGAATTAAATCTCTCATCGGAATTTTAACCACCCCGGCATTGATACATCGCATGCCCATCATGTCTTATGTCGTGACTCTGTAACAAGTCCACAGAGCGATCATTAATCATGGCAAAAAAAAAGTCGCCTAAGTGGCAATCCTGGCGGCGGCCTTCTCAGCGCGAGCTTCGGCGAGGAGGGCCTCCTCGCCGGCAGCGACGCGAACGGGGCCCTCGGTGGTTCCCTTGTTCTCTGCGGAGGCGATGCCATCGGCGCGCTCGCGGGTGTAGTAGCTCTGGACGCCGCGGCGGCGGACAGAGACGGGGGCAGCGGCAGCAGCATCCGAGGTGGCGGCAGGCGCCGCGGCCTCGGTCGAGGTGGCGGACGGGACAGCAGACGAGGTGGGGGTGGGGCGCACGACGACAGGGCAGTTCGGGGTCTCGATGAAGAGACCGGTTTGCGGGAAGGGGTCAAGAGGGCCCCAGATGTTGCCGTCGTCGTCGGCGCCAACACCCTTGTTCAGGAAGGCCATCTGGGAGAAGTCGTGGGAGACGGGCGGGACGCCGGGCACGTCCTGCTCACCAGGGATCCAGACGTTGACGGGCTGGATGTAGGTGCCAGCAATCAGGCCGTTCTTGGTGACGCGGGTCTTCTCAATGCCGCCAATCTCGGCAGTGACACGGTACTCGCGGGTGTAGCGGCGGAGCAGGTCGTTGCGGTACTCGAACCTGTTCTGGGCGTTGCGGCCGCCCTTGAGACCCATGCTGGCGATGATGCGGTCCGTGGTCTTGCCAGTGCAGGGATCGACGTCCATGGCGTAGAGCGAGACGGTCGCCACGGTGTTTGAGACGAAGCCAATGAAGCGGGTCTCGGCGATCTCGGCGTTGGGGTTGGGGTTGTCAATACCGAGGCGGGCAAGCTCCATGCGGACGTAGACAATGTCGCCAAGGGTCGTGATCTGAACGTTTTGTGCAACGATGCTGAAGGCAATGAGCTCGCCGCCCTTCCTGATGCCCTGCCAAGTGATGAAGTCACCGGCCTGGAGGGGAGCCATGACGAGCGGGTCAGGGGCGCTGAAGGTTCCAGGGCCAGAAAAGGGGCGGTTGCTCAGCGGGCAAAGGGGGTCCGTGGTGTTACGAGGGATGCACATGGGAAAGCCCGAGAAGGAGGAGATGCTGGGGCTCTCGTCATCGGCAGTGAACTCGGGATGGGCGCCGTAACCCTTGGAGAAGACGGCGTTGGGGTCCGAGATGCGGATCTTGGGTCCGTTGACGATCTTGAGCGAGCCATCGGCATAATCGACGCTCTCAATGAAGCCGCTAGCAAGGCCCTCGAAGAACTGGTAGACGATGATCTGCGCCACAATGGGAACACTGTTGATGAAGTTGCCGATAACCTACAAGGATAGAGTGTTAGCACCAAGGCAAAGCATCGTCAGGCACAGAGGGGGGTCGGGAGTCTTACCAGGGTCTCGTATCCGATGAACTCGGCCTTCTTGGTAGCAAATGTCTTGAATGGAACCCAGGCAGCAGGGAACTGCACGAGAACGTTCTTGGGGACCTGCATGGTGAAGCCACCAACAGACAGGGTACCACCAGTGTTGTAAACATCGCTAGAGACAGTAGCGTCCTCAAGGCCGCCCTGGACAAAGAGAGGGGCGTCCGCAGCCTGAGCCGCGATGCTTGAAAAGGCGACGGCAAACAGGAGCACGAGGACGTTTCTCAAAGTTGAGAACGCCATCTTGATATCTCCTCAAGGCAGTGAAGCCGTGTGGAAGGTGCGGGATAAGGGGTATTGGAGCTCAACGGATGAAGAAGGATCAGTCAGGCCTAGGACACCGCTTGTAGCCGAGGGGTGATTGCTGGCCGGCGGGATGAAGGTGGGAAAACAGAACGTTCCCAGAGACAGGATCTCGTCGTCTTTTATCCCCGGGCCGGAGGGTCGTGGCCGCTCTCTCGGTAGGCGACGGCCTCTGGAAGCCTTTGCGATTCCCGGCGGGGTTTTCCCCTGCCTTGTCTGTCTCGCCAGTTCTTTCCTCTTGGATTGCATCTCGAGATGATTGCTCAGGGGTAGGTGGCTTGGCTCGTCCCGCGGGAGTAACGTCGGATCCAGCACGGTTGAAGAGCCGACCTTCAACTTTTGGCGAGGTACCTTCGGATCGAAGCAGGCGTATAGCCGCAGTCGGCGGGCGGGCGGCATGGGCCAAAAAGAGAGGCTCTCCTGATTTGGCAAGAGGTCCGTGTGGTGTCGTGGAGAAGACATTCGAATGTTTTGCGGCGGTCGATATTGCGTTCTGGCTTGGCGCTGCAAGGACGAAGGTTCGCCCTTCTTGATCGGGGTCACAGCGGTGAGTGCAGGTGAGAGGAAAAAGACTAGTGCCAAGACCCGAGAGGATATACTAATATCTAGTGGAAATGGACGTCGGGAAAGTGGTGGCAAAACATGCCCTGGCTAGGATGCACCCGGCTGCCGGGTGGGCCGACCCATGATTGTGCTCTAGACACGGGTACCTGGAGGTATTCATGACTTGTTTGCGTGCCTGTCGTCGTGGAGGACCCCCTCCTTCTCCCCCTCGCCAGTGCGCCCGCATGGGTGGGATGGCTTGTAGTCGAACCCCCACGAATGGCCCCAAGCACACCCACCCATCGATTTGTTGTCATTCACGCCTGGGGTTCGGATGGGGTTCGCTGGGTCTGTCAATATCTAGCACTTTTGAGGTCGCCAGGGTCGCCAGGGTCGCCAGGGTCGCCAGGAGGGGGCGTGTGGGTAGCATGTGGGGTCGAGGCGTGGGCGGTGGTGGCGAGGGTGGTCGTTCCCAGGAGTCTCTCCCGATGCCCATACTAGTAGTAACCTAATGGCATCGTAGGGTGACATTTCGTCTGCAATGGTCTCCCGGGACTCTCTCGTCCCGCACAGCGGCTGGTGATGGAGGTACGAGGCCATTGGTCGCCAGGCAGACTTGCAGGCAAGACACGGCACGATCCAGATTACAAACAGCTGAATGATTGAACCTACAGGTCTTGGGCGCCACCGCACTGCAGCGTTGAGGCGGACACCCCAGTGTCATTTCGGCGCGGCGAGACGCGTGCTGTCGTTGTCGTGCCGAAGTGTGTGCGGGGATTTAGGATGAAGGGCGCAGATAGAGGTACGAAATACGAAAGGATGGGAAGCGCCAGCGCGAGCCCAGGGCGTTGCTGCTGCTGGAATCCTTCGTTGCCCCACATTGATGTTTTTTTTTTCTCTCTTCATTTTCGTCCTGTCTTCGGGCATTTTCCGGGTACTTCCCATCCTCCCTTTCTCCCCTCGTATTTTCTTGCGCAATTTTGTTATACTAGCATACCTATTCTTCAACGGCGTAATTGCAGGGACCGACAGTCTCTGCGGCACTCCCGGGACCGCCTACAATATCAGGGGCAAGCATGCTTAAAAGCCCGCAAACAAGGTTAGGAATCGCTCACTGAGTCCTTATCTGCCTGTCGCCCCCTGGGACCCCTGGGACCCCGGTACCGACCTCCAAAACCCGGGCGCTGAAGAATCGCAGTCCAGGATTGATCGGCTCGACTTTCCACCCTATCACTATGCATCTTTAAGCTCATCGAGGTCCACCCAAGCTCTAATCGAAGCCCCACACTATTCCCGGGTGGGCCGCGTAGAAAAGGAGACCACAAGGGGCTCGTGCGCCGGTTCCGTGTCCACGGTCGCGAGATAGCGGTACGGTGGAGAGAGACGGTAGTTGGGCATGGCAATCAGAATGGCGGCTTGGCTGGCTGCTTACGCCTCTGGAAGCGCCTAGTTCTATCAACCGATGTCTTTCCATCGTGCCACGATTCTGTCACGACTCTCAAAGCTGCCCGTACGCTAGCGTGATATCAGCCGCAAAACCGCAGCCCTTGCCCTGGTGACTGCGACCAGGGTCCTCGATTCCACCAATTCAAGCCTCCGTGCTGGGCTATTTTAGTCATTACAGTCCAACAAAGCCTCGGTATTCGATCCTACGGTGCCTTGCATATTCCGATGCTAGCTCCCGCTGTTCGTACCACCCATCCCAACTCGATCAAGACAACTGCACTCCAGGACTGAAGGAAGTTGCCAATGTTGCTTGTTTCCGCCCATCCATCTCTTCTGCAGCAATTTCCCTTGGCATGTGCCCTGTCGTCTAGGATTCGCTTGACTTAGGTAGTGGAAACTATAGACGAGCCCAAGGTGAAGGCACTCGCGCAGGGGAACGGACTAGTGCTTTCCAGAAAATGGGTGTCACCGCGGGCGAGTGCATGAGGAACGTGGGAAAAAGCCGCACTGGAGCTTGGCGAACCGGGTCAACGACATGGCTGAGATACAACGTACCCCAACTTTGCGAAGGCGGGTAGGGCTTGGCGCTCTCCAGGCATTCACAGTGCTGCGACGCTAACCCCTCGCCTACTGCACAGGCAACGAAAAAAAAAAAGTGGTCTGTTGTTGACCGGGGTTCAGCGTTGCTTTTTGGGTAATGACTACCGACGGAACTTTGTTTCTTTGAAACGAGAGCGACAACCGTAGCCGCGCGAGGTTGCATTTGGAGCCCGATCCCGACTCGCTACCGCGCATGGATGGCCTCCGCTCCGCACCCAGCCAGCAGCGCTCGAGCCATTCTTCTCAGGCCCCGTCGAAGGAAGGACACAAAAACCGCAGCGTGCTGATTGGCAGACTTGAGTGGGCACGGCTCATCCCGTCTCACCGTCCAGACTTTTCCACTGTTCGTTGGCCAGGCGGCTCATCATACCAACGCCCCTGAATATCGGGCTGAGATAACAACGGGCGGGCAAAACCTCGCAGCAAACATCTCGATTTCGTGGAATCGACCCCTTGACCAAGTAAAGTAAAGGTCCTGCACCACCCTGCGACACACTTCCTCTTTGCCAAGCCACACATTACCCATCATTGGCCTGTCATCACCCACATCGCCAAGCCAGACGGGCAATAGAAGTACCACCTGTCAAGTCCGTCTCTGGGAAGTATACGCGAGGGCGGCAGGTGGGCGAGGGAAGGCGTCCAAAAAAAGAAACGAGCAACAAACCTGATCACCGCTCGGTGCATCCCCCCCCAGCTCGGCCAATCGGGGTCGGCGATTAGCCACCGGCGGGCGCCTGTTCAGCTTCCCCGGCCGCTGGTCTGGACATGACCAAGTCCTCTGTACTTGCGCGACTCACGGCGGGGGCGGACTAGCAGACCCATATTGCCCCCACGTGAGCTGGACGGCAATGGGCTTGGCAGAGGAGTGACCTCTGAGATGCGCATGCCAGCAAAATGGGGAAAGAAACAACGACCAGCATGTTACTGGTCTCAGTGGGCACAACGGGACGCCTCGGCGCCGTTGCGGGCGAGTCCGCCAAAGACTGGCTCGTTCCACGCCTGATCCCCACCAGCAGCTCGTGCTAGCTAGACGTCCTGCTCGCCCGTTCTGTCCTAGGCCCATCCTGACTGTAAACAGGTCATCCCCGAGTCGGTCCACTGTCATCCCGAGTCAGATATCTTCTCTTTCCAGCCTTTCAGCCCGAGGCATGACGACATGGCCGCCAGTAGCTTATCCTCTTTTACGTGTATTTGGGGTTAGCCAACGTACGTGAGGCTCGTGGGCAGAGCCCCTAGATCCTGGCCGTCTCCAGCGAGCCTGGATCGGATTCCATGTCATGGATGTCGCTCCATACTAGTTGAACTAGCAACCGCTGCGGGCCGGAGAAGCGCCGCTCGGATCCTGGGAGCACTGCTCGCCGGCCCAGCGCTGATAGCTTGCCCGCCATTCTCTCGCTGCCCGACCCCACCGTCACGTTGCACACTGCTCGCTATCTTTCCTTCCCCGTTTATGAGCTTTATATGAGAATACGCGTGGATACTAGGGGATCTTGGCATGCGCCTGTGCGCAAAGGCGGCATTTTGATACCGACCACCGTCTCTTGCCGCCGTACACCCCTCCCCTTTCCTCTCATCGGCACATCGGCCACGACCTTGACAGCCAGAGACCCTTCGACCCATCATACACTATACATGTCCTGCATGAGCACTATTGGAAAGGGGAGCGCCATCGCCGCCAGATACGTGCAGAAACCCCACAGGGCCACCGTCGTGCGCCGGCGAGATGCCTTGAACGGGAAACGTGCAGTGCTCTCGCTACCCACCACCTCCTGCGCAAAGACCTGCACGCTGTGTGATATTGGTTCCAAGCCCCTCGTCACTGCAGATCATGAGATGTGGAAATCGGGATGGGTGCATGGTTACAGTGGCGGTCGCCCTATTCCCTCACTCGACGAGCAGGATCGAACTCCCTGGCCCCCTCCAGGATATAGGCAACTGTATGCGAGGATAGGTCACCTCGTGCCGCCATCTGCCACCGCCACCACCCTTGCGTGCTGCCGGAGCTCGGACACGAAGCCCCACCGCCGTCCACCTCCTGGGAGATGGCTGGGGAGAGCTTCAGATTCGATCGGATACTGAGATATCTACATCGCAGCCGCATCCGAGATGGCATATAAACGGCCTTTCCCTCCTCCTATCCCACCCATCATCCCCTTCCTTCCTCAGCCTCCTGACCATCCTCACAGGCCCATAAGTGTTTGGACTTTAGCTAGCTCCAACGCTTTCTCCATCCCTCGGTCGTTTTCGAGTCCCCCTTTGTGGTTTTCCCACCTCACCTCCCCTCCGCTTTAGTCAAAGATGCGCACCGCATTCGGCCTCGCGGCGCTGTTCGCCTTCACGTCTGTGACGGCGCAGTCTGCCTTCCCTACCTACGAGAACAACATCCCGGAGACGGAGAAGGTTGCTCTCGCTTCCATCGCCGAAGATGACCCCAACGACTTCATGTCGATAATGAAGAAGGACGAGAGCCCGCTGTACCCTCTCATCTACAAGACGCCGCTTCCGATCCCGCCGATCAAGCAGCCCCTGAAGTAAGTCGGCCGATGAATCTCTTTTGAACGACGGTGGGGGAGGTGGTTGCTGACCAAACCTGCAACCTACAGGAAGTTCACAAACCCCGTCAGCGGAGCTGAGATCTGGTACTATGAGGTGCAAGTCAAGCAGTTCCGCCAGCAGATCTTCCCGGACCTGGGCGCGGCCACATTTAACGGCTATGATGGCATGAGCCCGGGCCCGACCATCATGGTCCCTCGCGGCACCGAGTCCATCGTCCGCTTCATCAACGTCGCCAACACTCCGAGCTCTGTCCACCTGCACGGGTCTTACTCCCGTGCCCCCTGGGATGGATGGGCCGAGGATATCACTCAGCCCGGCGAGTACAAGGACTACTACTACCCCAACCGCCAGTCAGCCCGGCTGCTGTGGTACCATGACCATGCCATGCACGTTGTATGTGGAATCCCACTCCCCACCCCGACTTCGCTTGTGAACTCCCTCGCTGACCAGTCATGACCCATTCACGCAGACGGCTGAGAACGCCTACACGGGCCTGGCAGGAGCGTACCTGATTCACGATGCCTCGGAGGACTCCCTGGGCCTCCCATCTGGATATGGCCGGTACGACGTCCCGCTTATCCTGACGTCTAAGCAGTACAACAGGGATGGCTCGCTCTTCTCGTCGGTTGGCGAGGACACGAGCCTTTGGGGTGATGTGATCCACGTCAATGGCCAGCCATGGCCGTTCCTGAACGTCGAGCCGCGCAAGTACCGCTTCCGGTTCCTGAACGCGGCCATCTCGCGGTCCTTTGCGCTCTACTTCGCTGCCGCTCTCGACACCAGCGCAAAGCTGCCCTTCCGGGTCATCGCGTCCGACGGCGGACTGCTGGAGAACCCCGTCCAGGTCTCGCAGATGTACATTGCCAACGCCGAGCGCTACGAGGTCGTCTTCGACTTTAGCCAGTTCGCCGGCCAGGCCGTGGACCTCCGCAACCTGCCCAAGGCCGGCGGCGTTGGCGTTGAGGATGATTACGACGACACCGACAAGGTCATGCGCTTCGTCGTTTCCTCGGCCGTCACGGCCCCCGACACCAGCCTCGTTCCCGCCAAGCTCCGCACCGTTCCCTTCCCCACCGCCCGCAACGGCAAGTCTATCTACCACCACTTCCGCTTCCACCGCACCAACAGCGAGTGGCGCATCAACGGCGTCGGCTTCGCCGACGTCCAGAACCGCATCCTCGGCAACGTTCCCCGTGGCACCGTTGAGATCTGGGAGCTGGAGAACTCGTCCGGCGGCTGGTCTCACCCGATCCACATCCACCTGGTTGACTTCAAGGTCCTGGGGCGCTCTGGTTCCGACCGTGGCGTTATGCCCTACGAGGCGGTCGGGCTCAAGGACGTCGTCTGGCTGGGCCGCGGGGAGACCGTCCTCGTCGAGGCGCACTACGCCCCCTGGGACGGCGTGTACATGTTCCACTGCCACAACCTGATCCACGAGGACCAGGACATGATGGCCGCCTTCAACGTGACCGCCCTGCCCAACTTTGGCTACAACGAGACCACGCACTTCATCGACCCCATGGAGAACCGCTGGAGGGCCAAGGCCTTTACCACGACCGACCTCGGCTCGCGCACCGGCCCGTTCGGCGACGCCGAGATCGAGCAGCAGGTCATGTTCCTGGCCGGCACCAACCCCTACAGCAACGCCGAGGACATCACCAAGTCCCTGGATGAGTACTGGGCTGCCAGGGGTGTCAAGGCCAAGCGCGTCGCCGTCCGCGATGCCGAGGAGCCCGCCGGTGCCATCCCGAGGTACAGGCGCGGTCGCAACTGAGGCCCCGGGGGGGAGCCGTGTAATGAGGAGATAATGTGTAGGTTTAGCTTATGGGTGCGACGAGTGTAGACACGAGATGGATGTTAGCGCGACGATGAATTTTTAATGCCCCTTTTTACTTGTATGCGCCCTGTCCGTGAGAATCCTCTGCCTCCACCTGTGATGACCATGGCCAATTGCGGGCAGCTTTTCCCTGTCCATCCAAGCTCAATTTTTGTCGTAAATGTCCTTCATCGCCCTGACGACGACATCAACATCCTTCTCACTCGCCCGCCCCTCCTCGATAAAGTGCACATAAACAGCCGGCTGCTTCCCCGCCGCCCCGTCGCCACCCAACGCCTCCTCTCCCTCCTCGGCCATCATCATGCGCACCAGCGCGTCGATCCCCATGGGCGCACCCAGATCCTGCGCGTTGGTCGCGTCGTCGACCCAGCTGTAGCCCGGGAAGCAGTCCTCGAGCGGGTGCGCGGCCAGCTCCCCCTTGAAGGCCCCCGCGCCGCGCAGCAGGACCACCATGTGCAGGCCCCTCGCGCGGCTCCAGGCTCTGACGGTGCGGAAGCTGGCCAGGACGTCCTCGATGCGCGTCTGCCCGCCCTGCTGCTGGCGGTGGTGGTAGCCCGCGACGTCGGCGACGTACAGGACCGTGGTGGCGTTGCTGTATGTGGACGTTGCGGCGGCGTCGGCGGCGGGCGCGATGTGCGCGTCGGCGGCGCCGAGGTCGGCGACGCTGAGTGGGGGGCAGACCAGGATGCGGTGGCCGTGCGGAGTGGCGGAGGCCGTGATGGAGGCGCCCGGGAGGCAGGCGGCGGCGGGGTCGAGGATGGCGGGCGTGTCGGCGTTGGTGTGGCCCAAGGCGATGACGGAGACGTCCATGGTTTCTGGTCTGACGCCTGTGAGGTGACGCTCCTGTCGCGGTCTACCTTGTCGGGAAGCTGGTACAACGGCTGTGCTTTTGGGCTACGTAGTAATGCTGTGTTTGTTTTCCGCAACCAAAGATGTCGCCGCCCACGTGGGTTGAAGCTGGTGTATTGATATTTTTAGCTGGAAGACCTGCACGACTACGGAGGGGTTTCTCCTCGTAAGCAACGGAGCTTGGGTATTTGTATCTGCTTATCCGGACTATGTTCCTTTGGCGCTTCAATGCAGACAACACATTGGTGTTGGTTGACGACGCCCTGGCACAATTGTGTGTGCCAGGATCGAGGTGGAGCCGACCCATGCAATAACACCTTTGTGTGGCGGTGTTGGCACTGGCTTCAGCAGGCACTGCCCTGAACCAACACAGCCGGATGGCACTAGTGGGTAGGCGATTCAGGAATGGGATGGGTGGGAGGAAGCTTGGCCTGTGCGTGCCACCTCATTGATACCTCGTACGATTGGACGCCAGGTTTGCTGCACACAAGAAGAACTATGCATGCTGAGATATGCTCCTCCTGCGAGTAGTAATCAGGGCGTTCCACAGCCACTGTTTGTGTCGCTGGTCGTCCTTGAGCGCTTGGGAATAGGGTCATTTGCTTATGGACGTATGTAAATGGTTTGAGATACGCCAGACATGCGACTTCCAGGAATCTATTTAGAGCGGCGTGTCGCATCTCCTATCCGTCTCAAATTTCGGCATCATCATCCCATCCAGCAACAATATCATCTCAAGCACAAGCATCGCAACCCTACAACCTCCTTCCAGCTCCCAACCAAAACCCTAACTCCAGCTCCCAATCACGCCCACCATGCGCTTCTCCCTCCACCACATCCTCCTCGCCGCCGCCGCCGCCCAGCTCCCCCTGGCCAGCGCCCAGGACGCGCAGGGCGACCACCAAGCCCTGCACGTGGCGCGCTCCGAGGCCCTCGTGCGGGCCCGCGACGCCATCGCCGAGGCCAAGGTCTACAACGACCAGATCCTCGCCCGCTCCGCCGGCGACGACGCCCTGCTCCTGGTGGCGCGCGGCAGCAAGCCCAGCAAGCCCAGCCCGCCGTCGCCCGGCCCCGTCAAGCCGGCCGACCCGCCCAAGATCCCCAAGCTGAGGAAGTGCGTGCAGTGCGGCCAGATGTGCGCGCTGGGCGAGCAGTTCCACGTCCACCAGAGGGGCTTCCGCTTCTTCTGCCAGGACCTGCCCGGCCAGCAGACCAAGTGATTAGCTGCGATGGAATATCAGGGGTTGACTTCATTGTTACTGGGGTTTGGGCCCGAGTCCCACTTTTGTCGTTTAGCGTTTGGCGTTGGCTGTCAATGTCTCCATGGTTTCATATTTTATTCTTTCTGTACTCACTTGAACACGGGATTTATGCCTCACCTATAGTATATCGTGCATCATTTGTGCTTTAGTACTGGCTAAATGCCCTAAAATGCAACCTAAAGAATCCGTCGGCCCTTCTTTGTTAAATCTCCTTTCCGGGGCATTTCTCCGGCTTCCTAACCCTCCACGTTGGTGGCACCCGATTCGACACCACAAATTTCACTTTGGCCTTATAGATGTTTTCGCAAGTCTTAATGCTTAATATTGATCCTTGAGGCTGTAGCTCCTTGTGTTTGGTGCCACTAATACATACTCGGGGCGGTTTCTTCTAAACTCGCAAGCGGTAGGTAGTCGCCCTGTATATCAAAGCCCATCCGACGCTTTCCGCGGGTTATCCAGAATCTTCCGTGGAAACCACATCGCACCTTTTGACGGCCTTAGGCGTCGATGGTGTTAAGCCGTCGTGTGCACTATTGTTGGTCCATGTATAATTATGTAAGCGGGGCGTTTGACCCAATTTCGGGCACCGCAATTTTCTGTCCAGGCACAAATTTGCGACCCAAGCACATGCATCCCGCCTCCGCTCCCTCAGCTGTCCCCTCGCCAAACCATTCTCCCCACCAACGAAGCACAAGCGTGGGGCATCGCGTCGAGGCATTCCTTACCACCATCCCTGCAGAGCAGATACCAATGAAGAAGCCAGCCGACGGCCAGCCGTCAGCGATGGCGCCTGGTGATCCCTCCTCGGCCGAAGCAAAGCTGCTTCCTCCTCCGGCTTCTGGCCCAAGCAGCATGAAATTCATAAATCCGGACGACCCTATCTGCGTCTTGCTCGTCGGTCCATCGCAGAACGGGAAGACCACTTTGATCAACCGCATCATCGACCTAGCTGCAAACCATGTCGAGCGTGGACAAGAAGGCAACAAGACTGGGAAATGCACACAGACCACGGCCGTGTACGATCTGGACGTCCAGCTTTCCCAATACGCCATATTCAACAAGGAAACGGGTTTGGAGATCCCCGATATCACCACCGATGAGATGAGTCTCATTAGAAACTGGAGAAAGGGATCCAAGGACGGCGAGCTTATGCTGCTCAATCCGCACGCGCACTACGTCAAGCTCCGATTGATTGACACTCCGGGCCTTGACGATAGCGAGGGCAAGGACTACCAGAACATGGAAAGCGTCCTCGGTGCCCTCAACAGCATGTCTCAGGCCGAGGAGCCGTGGAAACGCAAGATTAATGCCCTCGTGCTTGTTTACAACTCGAAGAACACCTTTTCGAGTTCATTCCAAGCTGCCGTCAAGAACTACCACCAGTCCATGCCAAACTTGTTCGGCACCATGGCCTTCGTCAACACGCACTTTGACGTCAACCATCTCCGCCAGGAGAGAAGCAAGTTGGTACAGCTGAAACAACTTCTCGACAAACCAGAGGAAAGCGCGCGCCGCGCTATTGCCGTTGGACGTGCCGATGCCTTTCGAAAGCTCGTTGGCCTAGGCCTGAAACCGACATATTTTTATGTCGACAACCGGCCACCCGCCGGCAAGCTCTGGTCAGAGCTGCTGTCTCGCAACACCATCATCGACCTCGTGACGTACCTGGCCGCTTCCAAGTCCAGCCCCATGCCCATCAGGCAGATGCGAGTTTCCAAGAGCCCCGACATGGAGGCAGTCGACGCAAAGCTACAGCGCTTCCTCGCAACTGCCATACGGAACTGGTCCACCGAGCAGAGCGCCATGCATGAGCGGCTGTCTGCGGCTGAGTTCTTTGAAAATAATATGTCGCAGATCCGCAAGCACTTGGAGAACTCCATCGCCCGCTGCCGCACGGAGCTAGCTCTATTGGACAACGACACACGCTTCGATCTACAGCCCTACATGACAGACGACAACCCAAACATTGGCTTCTTGTTCTTCGGCGGTGCGATCCTACAGATGAGAGTCCAAAACTCCATGGAGATCACACAGCCGGACTTCCCAGACGAGTTCTTCGTCGAGACTGTGGATGGACCAACCGGGGAATGGGGCGATTTCGAGTGGAAGGAGAACCCACGCACGTGGATCGGCAAGTACCAGGGTTTCCCTGGCAGGGCCCCGAGGCTGCTGGCGAAGTCCTGGACGTACAACAGGACCAAGTACAAGACGAGAATTAAGGATCTCAAGACGCAGATGTGGGAGCACGAGGCCTTTCTGGAGGAGAACGAGGCCAAGTGGAGGGCGCGCCGCAAGCAGCAGATCAAGGAGGATGACCCCATAGCGACCGACCGCCAGACAGAGGAGGGTGCGAAGCTCGACTTGCTGAGCAGCTGGATCGAGACTGCGAAGCATTTACAGCAGTTGTTGGATCAGAAATGCCCCCCGATCGATTCGGGCTTCAACGAGGCCGCCAGAAAGAGGTACCAGAAGACGAGCAGTCAGATTGACATTTCTGATCTTTACGAGTGTGTCAAGGCTGCCGATCTGAGCATTGATCTTCTGTCTCCATTGAAGACTGTGTTTCTGGACGATGGCAGCATATGAAGCTTTGTGCTGGGGATCTGGTGGAGAGGAGTCGCTTTTGGGGTTCCATTTCTGGTATCATGGCGTGAGAACGGATCATCACATTAGACCGCCGGAGCCTGTTTTGTCCCGACGGTCGGTTGGGTTGGGAACCACCTCTAGGCATGATTTGAACAAGGTGATATGAATTGCACGTTCTGTAGGACTTAAGTAGCACAAAAAGTTAACGGAGACATTGCATAGCAAGAACGAGTCTTCACCAAAATTTTCACAAAGCAAGGGAGCAAAGGCTAGATAAAATAAGGGAGGAAACTGCCACGAACAAGAACGGACTCGTCAGTTTCCATTCTGTAGACGGAACCTGCAATCTTAGTCCCAGGAATGTTGTCTATGTAGTGACTATCCTCATCCACCAGGTGTTGCCGGAAGTCTCGGCGTAGTCCCTCCTACAGCCTAACTCCTCCCTAAACGACAGCGAAAAGCAACGCCAGTACAACTCAGAATTTGGCCGGTGTAATCAGCGGCGCAATCACGGGATCGTACACCTTCACAAGCTCGATGATCTCCTGCGTGCCGGCCTTGCCCGAGGCGTAAAGTCTCCGTAACTCAGACCACAGGGCTATGTCCATGGACTTTTGCTCAAGGGCCTCCCTGACCCGCTCCACCTTGGCGAGCTCCTCCCCGAGCTTAACAACGTCTCCATCCAGATGGGTGCCATCGTCGGTGGTGTCTTTGACGGTAAGCTCGTGCTGCTCCAGCTCAGATTCCAGGTCTATCTGTTCGTTTCGAAGCCGCTTGATCTCTCGCGCGTGCATGATCCGGTTCGTTGTGTAGAATGTCGCCGAGCCGCCCATGCTGCTGAGAAAGCCCGACTTCAGCCTGGCCCTCCACGTCTCTGGGTGTCTCTCCTCATCCACCCACTCAGAGCCGGGCTCGGTCAGCTTGACAATGTTGCAGATCTTGCAGTGAGCGGTGAAGCTGGCCTCGCGCTTTGGAAGTTGAAATCTGAGGCAGAGAATCAGGTCCTGGATGATGGAATAGTCATCCTGGACCGACTTTGTGCCAAGCAGGACCTCGTGGTCATTATCAAGCTGGGCCAGCTCGGCCTCACACTGGTCCAGCTTCCTGCGGGAGCGTGTCGCCTCTCTCTTCGCGCGCTCGTGTGTCTTCTTTGCACTGGATGCATCGGCCATCTTCCGGCTCAGGTCCTCTCTCAGGCGGTCTTGGACAAGCCCAAGGGCCAAGACTGCCTTGCTGTCGAGCAAATCCATGTTGGGGGCCTTGAAAAGCTTGACATTGGATGTATCCAGTGGGCGTTGCTGGGACAGCAGTTTCAGGAGTTGATAGCAACTGTTAAGCGACTGGACTTCGGAGAATGGGCTGTAGGGATCAGGCTCATTATCCATGAAGAAATGAGGGTTGCGGTCGTGCCCACCAGTGGCAGCCTCGAACCCTTCGCGACGGCCACGCGCGAGATCCACACCCTCCGAGACAGCTTTGGCGACTGCATCAACAGTGAAGCGAGAGTGGACAATGATCATGCCGTTGCAGAGCATGGGCATGCAGCGCTCGAGATAGTCGTACCATGTCCTGAAGGCACGGCCGAACGGCTGCTCTATCGAACGCACGTAGATGATGGCGTTCAGATGAGAGAGAGTGGCGATGTTGCGGATGATGTCGGCCATGATGGCCATGTCGTTACCACCGGAGTCGTCAAGGCCGGGCGTGTCGAAGAATTCGAAGTGAAAAGTCCTGCCGCCCTCCTCGGCCACACTCTGAACCTTGTTGACTTCGTCCCAACCCAAATCGACTAGCTCGTTATAATCAGAGCACTTGAGAGGCTCGCCAAGCGTGTCCATGAGAGAATAGCTGTGAAGAGGTGTCGACACAGGATGAGATTTGACGATCTTGGTGCAAGACTCGTTTCCTGGATAGTGTCAGGCACGGACGAAATTTGCCAGACGAGGATGGGGGGTCGCAAATCTCACCATTGCCGATGACAACCTCGGGAGCTTTGTTTCCGCTGTAAATGCCCAGCCGGCGGGTGAGGGTGCTCTTGCCATTCGCAGTCTCACCAAGGATGAGGACATTGATGGGCTTGTCGGCGGGGAACCTGGAAGCAAGGCTAGAGCCCCGACTGGCGAGCTTCTTGACCATGTTTGCATGGATGACCGAAATAGAGAAAGAGGGACGGTAAGAATGAATGGGCAGTTGGCGCTGAGCTGAATGGGGAGGAAACGAGTGTTTCCAGCAGGCGGAAATGATGCAATGCCTGGTGGAAAGGGAAGGATGGGCAAAGTGGAGGAGTGAAAAGGAGCGAGCATTTAGAGCGGGCGGTCGAGGACCAGCTTGTGCAGCTCTAGCGGGAGCTACGCGGTTCTTGCCACTGTGTGTTTGCTTGCCTTGCTCAACCATTGGACGCCTACCCGGGCAGCTGGCCAATGAGCCTCGTTTCTGCAGCACAGGCGGGGATCGGGCAGCCAAACGCACGTGCTTGGGCAAAACAACCCCTCAGTCGTTGCCATTCGTTTGTAGCCTCAACGGCGGTGGGTGGGCCTCCTGCATCACGCATTCCTCCCACCTTGGTAGGCACACTTGCCTGACGTGGCTGAGCCTCGATTGTGTTACAAGTCGAGCCGAAAAAAACAAACGTTTAGATTCTCGTCCCGCTGACTTATCCACAACTCTCTTTTTTCCTTTTCAGTCAACGCATAGTCAGTTTTGTTTTGCCTTGCTAAGGTCCTGCATTCCTTCACCATCCTCCCCCGGGATGTCCCCTTTTCAAGAGGACAGCTGCTCGTGCGGCCAAGAACCCGTTACTATCCTCTTGCTCGGCTGCACACAGCAAGGAAAATCATCACTCATCAGGTCGTTGTACGACTACGCCGGACGTGACCAAGCTCGAGATGCCGTCCAAATAGGAGTCTTCGGGAATTCGTCTGTCACGAAGGAGTGCTTCGTCTACCCACTGACTATCAAGCTCCGCGAGCATGCTTTCAAGGACAGAAATGGCAACGTTCTATCCATCAATAGCCTTGAGGACGTTGAAGATGCGGAGGCCCTAGATGATGGATACGATACAGCTGGTAGTCATGACGGAGAAAACGACGCTGTTGGTGACATGACTCCGTCGGCCAAGCACGAGACCGTATACACTGGCGAACACCTCCATGTCCGCATCATTGACACGCCGGGCCTAGACGACAGCGACAACAGCAAGGCGGCAGGCGATGTCAGCACCGGCCTGCGCATGGAAGTGGAGGATGAGAAGCACAAGATGACCATCTTCAAGGCCGTTGTAGCCGAGGGCAAGATCAGCGCTGTGTGCGTAGTGCTCAGCACCGAAGCCAACCTGGGAGGGGCCCTTTCACAGATCCTGAGACAGTACAAGATACTACTCAGCCACATGGGCGTGGGCGATAATCTTCATTTCCTACATACCCACGTTGACGAGTTCGACATGTGGGACAAGATGAACAGCCGGCCGCATGCCGTCAGCACTGCGCTCTCCGACTTCACGGCGAGCCACCACTTTATCAATAACATCCCCTGCGGTCCCATTTCCGAGTATTTGGCTCACCGAGCCCTCGCCAGACTTGTGCACTCGCTGGCGCAGGACAACCCCCAGCATGTCCAGCAGCTCGGATACGCCAAACCCAGCGCGTTTAGGGACATGGAGGAGCACATACACGATGCTTTGCGCGTCAAACTGGAGGCCTGGCAGGAAAAGATCAAGAAGAAGCAGGAGGAGATGGACGAGCTCGAGATCAACAGGCTCGGACTCGAGGCTCGCCACCGCAAACAAATGGAGATCTGGCACCGCCTCAACGTCGAGTACGAGCGTCTCGACACTTGCGACGAGGTCGAGATACGGCACTGGAGCGGCCGGGCCGGCTGGCCGTTCCTCTTCGTCCCGGCGCGGCTGCACGTCGAGATCAGCACCAACCACCCCATCCGGAAGGTCAAGCGGGACACGCCGGGCCACGCGCACTGGGAGGGGCCTGGGGACGACCACTGGAAGAACGGCCAGCGCCATTTCTCCGACTGCCTCGCCGCCAACGGCCCCTTCAGCGACATCTGGGCCACCGTGTGGCTGTACGGTTGGCGCAAGGAGATCGAGGCTGACCGCCTCTCGACTCTCCACGCCGAGCGCGACCACGCGTGGGCAGCGCACGCGAGCACAAAGGACGATATGGACAAGACGAGCGGGGAGATTGGGCGGGCGAGGGGGGAAAAGGAGGGCCTCGAGCGAGAGCGCGACGCTGTGGCGTCCAGGATCGCCGCGCTCGCCCAGGACCTGATCCCGCTAGACGCCATCCAGACCAAGGGTCACTACCTAGCCAGCACAAGCCTGATCAGCTACGCCTACGGAAGGGGAGTGATCGAGGACATGATGGAGCTGTCCCTACTGCCGACGCATCCTGATCCATCGGCGAAAGAGGCGGCGTTGACAGACTATCGCGCAAAGCTGGCGCAGTTGAACGAAGCTGGGGAGGGGGAGGAGTCGCAAGACAAGAAGGCGGATATTGAGGCGTCGCGCAAGGCCGCCGAGGCCATGGTCAACGTCGTCCTAGCGAAGAACACGTGCAGGGCCGGCCTGTTTGCTACCCTGACCATGTCTATCGCGAAGCGCGGCCATGACAGCCCGGCGGTATGGGAGCGCGTCTTCAGTGAGCTGAAGGAGTGTTACCTAAAGGATCCAGGCAACTGGGACAGGCTCGTGGAACTTTTGTGAAGGAGTGCGTCAGGCATGTCATTGCTATAGAAATGGGTAATATGTTAGAGTGTCCCCCTGTTAGACTAGAGAAGCGATTTGGGAGGGTCCCAATGCACCCCGTCCCCAAACCCGATGACGGCGTCCTCCATCTTGAAGCCAAACTGCCACCTCCCCAGCCCAGGCCAAAAGTTCTCGGCCGGCGCGGACTCTCCGCCCTGCTGCTGGAGCTGCTCCTCGGGCTGCTTCATGTCGAACCACATGAGGCTAGTACGCGGCGAGTAGATGTCTGGCAATATGCTCACCCACTGCTGGGTGCCAGGCAGCTCTCCCTGGCTGGACGCGGCGGACTCTGGCAGCGGTGGGTAGACCATGGTCGAGTCGATGCCGAGATACTTGAGCAGGTTCCACGACAGCGGGAACGAGGGCGCATAGGCCATGGGCTTGATGGTGGCCTGGAAGAAGGGCTTGGTGCTGGCCTTGGCCTCTGCCGAATCCCCCTCTGTGTCGTGCGGGAACACCTGCACCGTCTGGGAGCCATCTGGGTTGTCGGTCCAGTTGAAGGCGGCGAGGTGCTTTGGGATATTCCAGTCTGGCTCCCATCGTCGGGTCAGCAGCCCATCATCTCCCAAGGATGAGTCGACGTCAACGCACTCTTCCGCCCGTTCCAGCACGTGTGCTTCTGCGACACGTAGATGCGCGTAATCCTGACGTTCTTTTTCGTCTCGCGCTTCCCGTCCTTGCCGTCGACGGCATACTCGAAGAAACCCGGGGCCAGGATGAGCTCGTCGTAGGGCCCCACGGGCGTCTCCCTGTACCGGATGACCTGGATCATGGACAGGCCGCCCAGGGGCTTCCCGTTCTGCGGCTGCGCAAAGGCGGACCCGGCCTCCAGGGGCGAGTAGGCGATGTGGGCCGGCAGCCCCTCGGCGGCCTGCTTCTTGGACACCCAGAAGGCGAAGGAGTAGATGGTGCCCTTGAGCTGCCACGGGGGCGGGGCGACCTTGATGGCCTCGTCGCTCATGGTGATGGCGTCCCTTTTTGGCTTTGACAGGGAATCGCGCTTGAGGTTCTCGGGCTCTAGCGTTCGACTTGGGCGGCAGAAAGACAGTGAGAGGTCCAGGTGCTCGAAGCGCCAGATTAGATCTTATTCTTCAAAGCTATCGGATTGAGGTGCGATGAAGATGAACGTCCAAGTTCCACCATCAAGCTAAAGGAGCCTTCATGGTACACGGACTTCCCCTCTCAGCCGTGCCTCGGCTCCTTGTCATGAGGCAGCTGAGCCAACCAGAGCGTTAGATAGCTGATGACTAACCCTGGCATTTCCCTAAGAACGGCAATCGCGACAGGGAGGAACGAGCAGCTTGCCGCATTTGGCAAGCGCCCAGCCTCCAAGCTTTTTTTTTTTTCTCCTTTGTTTTTATGGCATGGTCGACTCCACGATTTTCTAGACCCCACGTTTGCTATTCGATGACACCTCCTACACAGGTCCAGACTATTCCGTCTCTGTCCGTCCGTGCCCACAATCCTCTAGCCTCCTCTCGAATATCTCGATGGCCTATTTTTCAGGCGCTCCAGGTCCCTGCTGTGCCCCACCCTCGGCATGCCAGACCCCGCCGTTCTCGCTGCTTGAGCCGCACTTGACTGCTTCGGGGCGAGTCTCCTCGTCCACGACAAGCAGCTCGCCATTCTTCCCATATCGCCGCGGTTCAACCTCGGCCTGGCGCACAACGTCAAAAACTCCCCTGGCGCCCTTTACCTTGTGGAAGATGGAGTCCATCTCCTCGAGCGACCGGTACGCTGTCTCGGGGAAGAAGAAGTAGACGCAGGGCACCATGGAGGCGTTGATGACGGCAAAGATGATGTAAGTCTGGTACCCTATGGTGTTGAACGAGACGGGAGTGATCATTACGACCTAGGATATTCGTCAGCGCGTGCTCCAAGCGTCTCCTTGGGGTGGTTTACAGGGGATCTGGTGGGTGCCTACCATAAAGTTGAAGATCCAATTCGCAGAGGTCGACAGCGCGTTGGCTGGCGCCCTAATCCGAAGTGGCACAATTTCTGCTGGATACAGCCAGGTCATACCCAGCCAACCGATGGCGAAGAAGGTGTTGAAGACGAACAAGAAGACGATTCCCGTGATCTGGTACGGGAGCTCATTCCTGGATCCAACGCCAGCGAGGATGGCCATGGTCCCCGCTTGTCCCACGGCACCGAATAGCATGAGCTTCCGACGGCCAACCCGCTCCACGAGGAAGACGGCGGGCCAGGACGCGAGGAAGTACTCGGTCCCGTTCAGGGCGGCCAGTAGACGCGACATGAAGTCGGACATGCCGAGGCGCGAGTAGATGACGGCGGCGTAGTAGGTAATCAGGTTGATGCCCGAGATCTGCTGGAACATCTGGTTGACGTAGGCCAGTAGCGTGCGATGGAGGTGGCGGTCCTTGTCCATGGTGAACAAGTCCGCGAAGCTCCCCTTGGACATCTCCTCCACCGTCTCCTTAATGACCTGGTACTCCCTCTGCACGTAGTCGTCGTCGACGGGCAGGTCTGCGATGGCCGCAATCACCTCGCGCGCGTCGTCATGGCGCCCCTTGAGGATGAGCCAGCGCGGCGACTCGGGCAGGTTCCAGACGAAGGCCAGGATGAAGACGCAAAAGACGACCTGGAACGCCAGCGGGAAGCGCCAGGCGACCGAGGACGGGAAGAAGGAGAAGCCGAGGTCGACCCAGTACGAGATCATGACGCCGCACGTGATGAGGGCGCCCTCGATCATGACCAGCTTGCCCCGCTTGTGGGCGCTGCACGTCTCGGACTGCCAGGTCGGGACCGTCGACGTGTTGGCGCCGTTGCCGAGCCCCGTGATGATGCGCCCGATGACGAAGTGGTCGAGCCGGAAGGCGGTCGCCTGCAGCACCGCCCCGACGACCATGAGGGCGGTGCCAAGCGTGATCATGTGCTTGCGGCCCAGCGGGTTGCTGATCCATATGGCGATGACGGCCCCGAGGAAGCAGCCCAGGTTGTATGATGCTATGGCGATGCCCTGGTTCGTGGCCCGGCGCGAGGACTCTGCCGGGTCAAGCCCGTCTTCCTCGGGGTTGATGGAGGGGAACTGCTGCAGAAAGATGGACAGGGTGAGGATGCCACCCATCACGCCCTGGTCTGCCATCAGTGAGGACGGGTCAGAGAGACGGACGGCCAATGCTCCAGCGTGTTTGGCATCACTCACCATATCCGAAGAGCAGGAAATCGCAGCCGGCAATAGTGCTAATGGCCCAGTTGAGGCTCTTGCCTCGCAGGCCGAAGTACTTCCCCATTGTCGTCAGGGATGTTTTACGACAGTGGAAAATTTCAAGATGCAAAACAAACGTATGCCGACTTGGGAGGGCATAGAAAAGTGTACAGCGCCGAGTGATCTCACCACCAACGCCACCGGGACCAGACCGTACCCTCCCTCACGGGCAATACCAGATCTATAAAGCCACGACGGCGGGAAACCCGACACCGCGCGAACGCTCACTTGGCCGGATTCCCGCCGATTCTCGGATCGGCGGCACAGCTCCTCTCCACCAGCACATCTTCCTCCAAGGCTCGGCCGCGTCCCGTGCTACCCATGGGGTGCGTTGGTTGGGGAAGTTGGGGAATGTGGGGAGCGCCCGCGCGCCGTCGATCTCCGCAGACGTCAACCCCCGCCGGCTGGCATTGGACACCCCCACGGCAGTGGCTTGCAAGTGTCGCTCGCGGCCCGGAAAACTTGGCTCTGCCAACGTCTCCCGAGTCAGGGGAGAGCCCTCCGTCTTGGCCGGCGATGAGAAGCGGATGAGAGCCGCCTTGGTATTTGGGCATCGCGCGCAGGACCTGATCTGTCCATCAGCGTCACAGCACGGGTCGCGAAACAGCACCAGAGGTAATCAGGGGGACTGCATATCTTTCATAAAACTGCATTATTGTGCACTAACGTTCAAAAAGCCTTGTCCAGCCTCACGCAAGCGCATCAACGAACCTCGCAAAATCCAGCGTCCCCATCCCCGTGGCCGGGTCCCACCCCTCCAGAGCGTCCCACCCAAACTCGACGTAGTCCGGCGCACTGCAGCTGCCGCTGGTGCCGCTCTTGACGTCGTTGAAGGCGCCCCTCAGCTGCTCCGAGTAGAGCAGCGGGTTGAGGAAGCCCAGCGGCGGCTTGCCCGCCCGCATGCGCTTGTCGTTGGCCAGGGCCACCATGGCGGCGATGACGGGCGTGCTGGCGCTGGTGCCCTTCTGCGTCCACTCGCGGCCCACCGGCGGCGGCCTCTCCATGAGGAAGCGCGAGCCGACCGCCGACACGTCCGGGTACGCGCGGCCGCCGGCCTCGTACCAGCCGGCGTGCGAGCCGTTGATGCGCGCCAGGTAGCCGGCGACGGCGGCGTCCTGCCAGGACGGGCGGGCAAAGTACTCGCTGAAGCCGCCCGAGCTGAACCAGGCCGGCTCGGTGGGGAGGTAGGTGCCCGTGGCCCCGACGGCCGTCACGTAGGGGCAGCCGACGGGGAAGGTGGGGATGAACTTGCGGCGGCCGCTGCCGTCGTTGGCCAGGCAGGCGCTCGACCGGATGCCCGCGGCGCCGCCGTCGCCCGTCGCCACCAGCACCGAGACGCCGCGCGCCGCCACCTGCGCGAACAGGTCGCACACGCGGCGCGCGTACGCCTCGGGTATGTCCTGCTCGTCGTCCGTGTACGAGACGGAGACGACCTGCGGCACCGCCGGGCGCGCGATCAGGTGCGTCAGGAGGTCGGCCCACGGCTCCTGGGCGCTCTGCGATTCGGGCAGCAGGGTGCGGTTGGGCCCGCTCTGGTCGGGGCCGCGGCCCGCGGTCGAGAAAAAGGTGACGTTCATGGGCTGGAGGAAGGGCATGCTGTACTGCACATCCAGCAGCGCCTCGACGCCCGGGCCGTTGGGGCGGGTCGGGACGCCGTTGATGCGCTCCATGGTGAAGTTGTACACGGGGCTAAAGCCCGTCTCGTTCCGCCTGGGGCTGTAGTCGCCCATGAAGGAGGTGAGATGCGGCTGGTCGGGGTACTCCTCGAGGAAGCCGGCGATGCCAAACTCTACTGGGGACTGGTTGTCTGGGACCTTGTAGTTGATGTTGTAGAGGTCGACAAGGCAGTCAGGGGTGATGTAGCCGACGGAACAGCTTTTGGGGACTGCAGACTAAAAGTTAGCGCAATGGGCGCGAGGAAGATGGCCAGATGCGAAGATCAACTTACGGGTATCCTGGCGCTTTCGCAAATCGGCCGACTCAACCTCGACAGCCTGCGGCTTCTTGGGGCTGCTGATGAACTGCGTGACAGGGTACACGAAATCCACCACCTCGGCGAGCGCCCGCGGTAGGCTGTACTCTTCGGCGCGTACTACCCGCTTGTTGCTCTCCTTTTCCTTGTACGTGGACAGCTTGCAGCCGAGCAGGCGGTTTGCGGCGGCGACGGTGGTGTCGAAGCTAACCCTCGCGTCCGCGTCTTCGTACCTGGAGCCGGCGATGCCAGCCCCCTCCAGCCAGGCCGTGACGGCCGACACGGCGTCGGCGCCCGGGTCGACAAAGGCGGCGACCTGGTCCCGCGACAGGTGCATGCCGTACTCGGCGTGGGCGGGGTCGCTGACGGCGTCGAGGCGCGCTCGCAGCTCCTTCATGCCCGGCTGTCTCAGCGCGACCGAGAGATGCACCCGGGCCGAGTCGGGCGCCGGCGCGAGGTACTCCCACCTGGCTAGCGCGGCCGCGGTTGCCTTCTCGTGCACGAAGAGGTTGGGCTGCTGCTGGGCGGCAGCAGGGAGGACGGCAGCCACTGCGGCTCCGAGGAGACCGCCGAGGGCAACTGTGGTAGAAAGGAGCCACATCTTGGTTTCAACGCTTGGCGAGTACGGCAGTGCTCGTTGGCAGTAGCTCTCTCTGGCTGGCGGCTGGAGTTGTCTGTCAGCGCCCTTTTGAGAGCCAGACAAGAGAGATTACCCCCTTCCTGCGAGCGGTAAAGCCGGCAGCCCCTCGCCTCCATCCGCCTTGATGCAAATCGTATCCGACACATCCCTCGTGTTGCCCCTTGGCCGCAGTGGGCCCAAGAACACCTTCCTAGGTAGGCCCGATCTGACGATCGCCTCGTGTTGCCGACTGGCGAAAAGGAAGAGTTGGGGAAATTCCCCTAAAAATGCCCCATAAAGTTGCGTAAAGCGATCACGACGGTGGGTAACCCCTGACTGGATCTCCCCACCCCCCACATTTTCAAGCCTTTCCAAGCGCTCTCCCGCCTGTCTTGTCCCGTCGGTCAGGGGTCAAGGGGGCCGACACGAGGTTTTGGGGCCCCATAATTATGCATCCGCTCACTTTGGAAATTGCTTCAGGCGGGAAAATGAGGTTGCGCCGACCGCATGCGGGTAGTGTCAATGCAGGTGAGAGATAGTGTTAGAAATGACGCAGCCGAGTGTTAGAAAGGAGGCAGATGTTAAAAGACAAGAGCAGTCCAGATAGCTGCCATGGAACAAGACAGATGCTCTTGCTCAAGCCCTCAGCCGTCAACAGCCAAAATGTCTGCCAGGTCACTTCTCCTCGCCTCGGCTGCGTCCCTCATCGCCACGGCGGCAGCCCGTCCCGGCCAAGCCGTGTCGGCCCGCCAGGCTACCGGCGCGTCCATCCCCACGGTGCACATACCGCTGGGCTTCAACTTCAAGGTCACCACGACCCTCAGCCTGCCGTGGGACAACCGCTCCATCGAGCTGGTGTTCGACACGGGCTCCGAGAACTTCTGGGTCTTCGGCCCGAACTCGACCACCAACTGGGGCTGCACCGGCCTGCTCTGCCCGGGCCCCTGTAACGCCTCGGTCACCAACTTCTACGACTGGCCAAACAGCCCGACCGCGGCCAAGCCGCCGCAGCCCTTCAACTCCTTCTACGCATATGGCGCCTACACAAAGTTCGTGACGGGCGACATGGCCATCAACGACACCTTCACCTTCACGTCGCCCGGCGGCGGTGGCGGCAGCAGCAGTACCGTGCCCAACGTCCGCGTCGCCGTCGAGAACTACATGTCGCAGCGGCGTGGCGTCGGGCAGGGCGGCTGCGCCACGGGCGCCGGGTCGTACGACCTCGGCATCCTGGGCGCATCGCCCTTCTACCGCAAGTCCGACTGGAACACGACCGGCCCGCACGTGCGGCAGGAGCTGCTGGGCCGCGGCGCGATCGGGGCGCCCGTGCAGAGCATCTGGTTCGACGAGCCGCCGGCGCGGTGGGACGGGACCTTTACGGGGTCCGCCGTGTTTGGCGGCATCGACCGGTCCAAGTTCTCGGGCCCGCTCGTCAAGGTGCCGGTGCTGGAGAACGACGGGCTGGGCGCGAGCGTCGGCTACTTTGTCGCGCAGCCCAACGTCAGCGTCGGCGGCGTGACCCTGCCGCGCGGCAAGCTCGTGACCGGCGTGTGCCACCTCGACACGGGCACGACGGCCGACGACCTGCCCGTGGTGCATGACGACTTTGCGCGCGCCCTGAACCTGACCAGGAACGAGTTCGGCAACACGGTCTGGCCCGGCGACTGCGACACCATCCCGCTCGACAAGACGTTTGAGCTCACGTTCCCGGCCGCGCCAGGCCAGGCGCATGATAGCGTCACCATCAGCGTGCCGCTGCGCCACTACGCCCGCCCGGGCGCGGACAGGACCCCGGGGCTGTGCACGCTGTGGATTGATACGGGTGGCTGCATGCTGTCGGCGCCCTTTGCGGCCGCGTCCTACTTTGCTGCCGACGACGCCGCCGGCGAGGTCGCCCTGGCGCAGGGCGGCGTGTCCAAGGCGGGGAGCGGCCCGGACGCGTCGGCCATGGCTTTGACCATCGCCTAGGGAGTTTTTGCTTTGCTTGCCATGCTTGATAGTAATGACTACACCACACATTGAAGGTCTCTTTTTGCTGTCAAGTTGGTCCCTCCGTGTCTCCCACGCTTCCCTCCCTGTCATGGCCCGGCAACATAGAGTGCCGCGGGCTGTAAGAATCCCACTGTGTTGGCCCAGCTCGACCTAGTCCCCGTTATCCTCCTCTGCAGTGTTCCACTCGTCAGAGCTTTCAGATGCTGCGTCGTCTGTCCCGTCGCCTCCCGTCACCATGATCCCCTTGCGGTTGCTTCCATGTCTCGCACAGCTCACATCCTAATCTCTTGACCCCTCGGTCGCGTCATGGTCCCCATCGGCATTCGCCCGATCCTTGCAAGGGGCCGTCTGTAAGGCCACCATCATTCGCTCAAAGGCCTTCCGCTCCCTGGGCGACGCCCTTGACCTTTTGTTGAAAAGCCTTCGCAAGCCCATGATCTCGGGGGCGCTCTTCTCGAAATTGAAGACGGAGAGGTTTCTCGAAGCCATGAGATCGAGAGTCCTTCCGTCCCCCAGCTCAGCCGCGACGCGGAGTGCGCGCCACGGAAGGTCGGCTCTTACATGCAAAAGATGTGCCAAAACGCGATGGCTATTATACGCCACAGCCGATACAAGAGGCGTGCCAACCACGCCGCTTCCCACAGCATCAATTTCCGCACCCGCTCGGAGCAACGCCCTGGCCGCGACAACGTTGCCACCCATGGCTGCGTAATGAAGCGGGGTGCGCCGTTTCCGGCCTCTAGCTCGGGCATCCGCTCCGGCCTCTAGCAGCAGGACCAGGGGTCGAAATGTGGTTTTCGCCAAGGCTGCCACCATTAGCGGGGTGCGGCAATACTTGCCGGGCTTTTCGATATCAAACCCAGGCGCTTCCAAAAGCTCCCGGAGGCACTCGTCGGAGCCTTGACACGAGGCATAGTGCATCGACAGCCCTTGGTGGATAGGGATCTCGTGTCTCGCGCCAGCTTGCAATATGGACCCCACAGCTGCTGCATTGCCAAGCCTGACGGCGAGCTCCAAAGGCGTATGGTTAAGCTCTGTGCGGGAGTTGATCTGCGCAAGAACCGCTTCCCCTCCGTGATCCAAGACGCTTTCAAGGTCGACGGGGCAGATGCCGAGGATGATCTTCTGCAGGTAGCTGATCTCGAGATCCACGTGCAGCGCAGTCTTCACAGAGGATGGGATCGCCTGCCAAGCCTCGTCTCCCCGGCGTCCTTGTTCTAGCAGCATAAACTTGGAGAAGAGTGTTTTCGCCGTGTCCCCATAGTCATCCTCGTAATCCAGGTCTGCGCCTGCCTGGATCAACACCATAATCTGCTCAATAAATTTGCCACCGGTTAGAGATCTTGAACCCCTACCGATGGTCATGTGGAGGGCCGACCGGCCGGTATCGGTATTAACATCGAGTAGTTTCGAGGGATCCAGCCTTATTATTTCAGTCACCACTTGAACCCGGAAGTTAACCGCCGCAAAAAGTATGTGATCCCCAATCAAATTCCGGACTCTCCTCCTCGCGACAAGCCCAAGGGCGAACCGGCGAGATGTCGACGTCTCGAGGAGCAGGCTGACCTTGTGGCTCGCGAACCAAGCCGGGAAACTGTAGGAAAGGCGCAGGCGAGCATATTTCCCCCGGCGGCAGGTTTGTTTGTTGCAGCTTGAGCGAGCCGTTAGGCAGCCGGTGTAACCCAGAAGAAGCTGGCCGAACAGAGAGCGGAGCGGGCCTGGGAGTCTCAGGGAGGCGTCGTCATATGCCCGTGGAATGTGGCAACGGCAGCCACAGTCCCGCTCACAGCGAGAGCCGGTGGGCGCCACCGCAATTTGGACGAGTGGCTCCACAGGGCCAGGGCTTCTGGGGTCTGCGGAACCGTGGCCTTGGGCAGCGAAGGGGCCCCGCGCCGACCGTGGAGGCATTGCGGGCTGTTGTGTAAAGCCATCCGGCACTTGCGGCGTGTTCTGCTCCGCTGGCATGGTATTTCGGGCAAGTAGAGCATCGCGTCTTTCCTGGGTTGCCGATTGGATGTTCCCGAGGATGGACATGATGTTCTGAAGGCCCACTGTATGATCGTTGGCAGCGGCCGTGTTTGCCATCATGCTTTCCTTGATGAAGCTCATGTCCCTCGCAATGGGGAGGGTGAGCTCGCGATCAGCGGCTAGCGTCACTTGGGTTTGCTGGTGATTGTCCGCCAGGGATCTTTCGATACGGTTGAAGGCTTGCGTGGTATCCGTCGCCAGGCCCCCGAGCACTTGAAGCGTCGGGTCATGGCTTTGCGGAATGACGAATTTGATATCATGGAGCTCTAGCTCTATGCGGTTCGAGGACGCAAGGTTGCGCGACACCAGTATGTGCATGAGGCTCGCGCTGGTGGCTCGGAGGCGATCCTTGAGGCTCTCTGCTTCCGACTTGGAGAACTGCCATTTGATCCTCTGGGCAGTCCTATCGCGGCCAGCCAACCGCCGTGACAGAATGTCGAGCTCGGCCAACAGGCTCTTGGCCCTCGCTAGCATGTCTCGCAGGCGCGACTCTGGGGTAGCATTGTTTGCGGGGCCTGGCCCGGACGCAGCGGGTACGGCCAGGTTCTCGGTCGCGGTGGATACCGTGTCAAGGACAAGTTTGAAATCGTTGACCTCGTTGGAAAGGGCCAGCACCAGGGCGGGCGCGTTCTTCACCTCGCTGCACAATCGTGACAGAACCCTGGACGTATGGGCGGCGATGGCAGCGAGACTGATGGCCGTGGCCGCGATCGAAAATGGATCAGCCATGGCCGTGGCCGCGGTGAGGGGCAGGCGGAAGCACCAGGACTGGAGCAGAGAGCGGGGCGTGGGCAACAGCAAGCAACAACAGGCCCAAAGTCAAATCGTCAAACTCGTTGCACCGCGGCGCCAGCTTCGTCGAGGAAATTTCCCCTCAGAGCAGCGGCGAGATGCGATATTGATTAAAGGACGCCAAGACGAGAGAAATCGAAGAATTGCCAACGCGACAAGAAGGGATAACAGGCTGGCTTGGAGGGGCGCAGCAAACTACCTAACACCTAACTGTTGGGTATCCATCAACCACATTGGCCAGGCAAAAGGTGCATCTCGTGGTGTGCTGACGGCACCGGCACATCTGCAGTCGCTATAGGTCGCCAAGTTCAGCCTAGCATCCTGATCCTGGCAGCTTCGCGCGATACTGTTGGTGGCCTGCCTCAGCAGCGACCAGATGAGGGGTTCGTTGTCCACGTGTCGGATTGGACAAGCACCTTGTATGTTCCAATCGGTGCTGTCAACATGACTTTGTGCTTAATTAGGTCGTGCAATTCTCTAGGCGAGGTTATAGTTTCAATGCTGTACATACACAACCCAGCCCAGGCATCCATGTCCAAGTCAAACTCCCGCCAAATTTAAAGTGCACACACAAAAACGGGAGCACCCGCGCCATATCAGGGGGGTCAGGCACGAGGGAAAAGGTCGGCGGCAGATGTCACGTCATGCGATGCTTTTGCGCCGTTGGAGTGGAGCTAGTCGAACTCAAGTTGAGCCCCCTCCTCCAGTCTCGACCTTGACCCCTCAATCTTCTTATCGAGCAGGGAGCTGGCCTCAAAGTGGAAGGCAGTGGCGATCCCGTCGCAGCACGCTACAACGTCCGTGGCCAGAGCCGTGGTCAGAGCGACGCCACGTACCGTTTGGCGGCTGTCAGCTCGTCCTCTCCCGCGTGACTGCCAACCCTTGTGCCCTGCTCGACAGGCTGGGCCCTGCCTGACGTACGACATCCCGGCCGGAGCCGTTCGTCCGGCCACGCGGGAGCGGCAGCCAAGGTCCCTTGGCGGCGAGAACGACAGCGGTAGCGGGCAGGCCCGAGAGTTTCTAAATCGCGATGGAACTCGGCTAATCGGTTTGCGAGGGCCATGAGTCGCGGGGTCTACCATCTGCGGGGGAGAGAAAGAGGAAAAACCCACCTCCCAACAGGGGGTGTTAAAACTGGAGATCACAGGGGCGGCGAAAGGGGGGTCGCGTGCTGGCATAAAGTCACTGCCATTGTTGAAGTTGGTGAAAGAAGGAGAGAAATCGAGAAAAGCTTTTAGGGGACGAGAAATTCTTGAAGTCGTGACATCCCCCCAAGTCACCACAACCCCTGCCATCTCCAGTTTCAACCCCCCTGTTACCCCCCTGTTACCCCCCCTGTTACTGGGTGGGTTTTTCCTCTTTTTTTCCCTCGCAGATGGTAGGCCCAGAGCAAGGGCAAGAAAGTTTGTTAGATTGCTAATGTCAATGCGGCTAGTGCCTGCAACCGCCATCAAACCGCTGAGAGGCGGCGTCAGTTCCTCTTTGGGTCTTGATCGTAACTGCCGCTCCCTGACTTGGGTGCCCTCGATGCACCTGTGCGTATCGTCAGTCTGACATCTCCAACACAACATTGCTTACCCTCATCTCCGCCTGGCCTTTGGGCCTCCACATTGCACGGCGTACTGCCGGCGTCCGAGATGCCCGGCTCGCAAACTTGGCATGAGATGGCTCCCTGGCCGCCCATATTTCTTGTTTTTGGTATTTTTATTCCTCCCCCTACTTAGCTCACCTATAACCAGGCGATCGGCCGTCCGCCGGGCGTGCCTCCTTTCCTCTCTTTCCTTCCTATTTTGAGGCCCGGCTAATATCAGCATCGTAATATGGCCCAAAGCTCAGAAACCGCCTCGACGGCGCCGCTCCCGAGCGCCACGGCGACCGCCCCTCCTCCCTTCCACATCTACGTCCCTGGCGAGAGACCAAACGAGAACCGCGGGCCGGAGATCATCGCGACCGTCGCATCTCTCACTGCCATGGCTTGGGCGTTTGTCAGCCTGCGTCTCTTTGTGCGACTCAAGTTCGTCCGCTTCGTCGGCACCGACGACTACTACATGGTGCTCGCAGCGGTACGCCATCACTGCCCACTGGTGTCCTTTTTTCCGCTATCATTTTCTCCGGCCTAACTAATATTTGATCCACAGGCAGTTTTGACGGCAATGGCGGGCGTCATATTCGTCGAGGCCAGCAACGGACAAGGCCGCCATATCGAGTACATCGCACCAGACGACTACAAGCTGGCCACCAAAATGAACTTCATCTCTCAGCCCCTGTCCCTGACTGCGCTCACGCTAGCCCGTTTGAGCATCTGCCATCTTCTACTGCGGTTCGCCCCGTCCAAGGGCTACAGGTGGTTTCTATGGTTCCAAATCGTCCTCAACATGGTCGTGTGTACAGTGTTCTCTCGTAAGTCTTGGCCACGCTCCCGCCCGTTAGCCTTTCAGAGCAACAGCCCGGCCGGGGAGGAGCTAACATGGCGCCCAACGCAAAAAGTCCAAACACTGCTGCAATGCCAACCCATGGAGTTCATCTGGAACAAGGACCTTCCTGGCGGCGGCTATTGCATGCCTCCGAGCGCCTTGGTCATTGGCGGCATGATCAACTCGTCCCTTACCGTCGTTTCCGACTTTGCCCTCGCCGTCCTGCCCATCCCGATGCTGTGGAACGTGCAGATGAACTGGCGCGTCAAGGCGTCCATCATTGCTATTCTGTCGCTTGGGTTTTTGTAAGCCCGTCCCCTACTGCGCGCAGGCGTTGTGTCCCTTCTCCCAGCTGTCGCCGCTGCTGACATGTAACCTCCTTTCTAGCACCGTAGGCGCGGCCATCAAGAAGACGATCGCGCTCACCAAGTGGGGTGAGCGCGGAGACTTCATGTGGGACACGGTCGACATCACGATATGGTACGACCACCGCCTTCTTGTCTCGCCCCTCGAAAAGGAGCGTTTCTAACATGCCCAAACTCGCCAGGTACACGGCGGAAATCGCCGTCGCCATCATTGGCGGGTCCATCCCGTGCCTCAAGCCGCTCTTCACGCGCATCCTCGCCAGCACGACCAGGTACGGCACCGGCGGCAGCAGCGGCAAGCCGCCGCACCCCAACTACTCGGGGGCCCGGGCGTCGCATTTCTACGGCGCGCGCGCCTCGCGCCACCTGGGCGGCGGCGGCGGCGGCGGCGGCACGGGCCGCAAGTCGATGCCCGGCACCGCCACCGCCACGACGGCCGGGAGCGACCCCGAGGCCAGCTACGCCCTCGGCATGTACAAGAAGAACACCTACAGCAGCGACCGGACCCGGGCCGGCAGCGGGCGCGGCGACGAGGCCAGCGTCGAGGGAGGGTTCTTCCCCGATGGCGTGTCGGTCTCGGCGCCGGGATCGGTGTTGGACGCCGCCCCGGGCGAGGGGCGGCCGAGCGACGAGCGCGACATCATGCAGCGGTCCAGGGAATATACAAGACCACCCCTCGGGATCACAAGGACGACAGACGTCACGGTCTCGGTGGAGGAGGCGCATGAAAAGGGCGTTCAATACATGGTTTGAGGAAGGGGGATAGCACGTTGGTTTTGAGGGAAGCACGGCGTGGACCAAGTCGTCCAACGCCGTAGTAATTTGCAAACTCCGTCCGAGGCTCTTCACAGTTCCACCGCTTCGACCACCCAAAGTTTCAAATGTCCCACCTCTTCCAATTTGACCGTGATTGAGAGGGACTGCGAGCCACGGTTGTTTGTAATTACCAACGTACTCGGGACCTCCCCCTCTGCCTGGGCAACAGTCATTGTCTCGTCTTCCTTGTTGCAGTAGAGCCCAATGAATGATCGTGGAGAGGGATGGGATGCTGTTCCGGGGTCTGCTCCTAGACTACCATTGCTGTGAGTTGATACTCGGCGGAAGTAAGTCGCAAACACTATCTCCTCCTTGCCATTCCAAAATTTCATCGTGATGTTGGTCGAATTGTTACTGGCGGCAACAAAGGGCGTCCATGGCCTCCCCTCATAACCTGGGTTGAATCTGATTTCCTCCTTCCCAAGGTCCGCAATATCCCGACAAATCGACAAAGCAACAAGCTTCGCCCAATTGCCGCTTGGGAAAACGGGTTCGACGCAGCGGAAAAGGAAACCCTTTTCAGGCACAAGGATGATTAGCTCCAGATTTTTGGAACGCCGGTCTGGAAGGAAACTTACGTGTTGACACCTGTGTGATTTGTTCTCCGGCCCAGAAAAGTCATCGAGGAATGCGTCAGGATCATTCGATACTAACTTTCGGATTGCGCTGTCGGTTTTGTATATGACAATGGTTGTGTCCTCGACGTTTGCATGGCGGGATGCAGCATCCACCTTCCAGTCCGAATCTGCCACATATACCTCGCTTGGCCTTGCGCGAGCATACCTGTTTGGCCCAAGCAGCTCCAGGTACAGGCCGACTGGGTTCGCCGAGTTGAACCTGCAGTTCAAGTACAGCAAGGCCGTTTCATTCGTAGAATATTTTGGTGCGAGACTGGCAACATGTCCTCTGAACCAAACTCCCCTGTTGTCGACCCCGGAGGAGCTCTGCAGCGAAGAAAAGGCCGAGATTGGCTCAATCCTCTCCATTTCAACTGTGGAGGTGGGCTTGATACCTCTGCACAAGTAGTATGCCTTTTCCCGGAAGTTGCCAAAGTCCGAAGGCGAATTTGCCAGCATCCCTCTCACAGCCCAGGGCTCAGCTGGCCGAGAGCACCAGAGAAAGATGGTGTCATCTTCATGCTGGCGCAGGATCTCCTCCTGCAGTCGAAGGAAGGCCCTGGAGCCCTCGCCATAGAGAAGAGGCATGTTGATGTCCAGCAGGCCCAGCAGGCTGTACGCGATATCCTCGGGCCGTGTTGTTTTTCGGTCAGTGGCCCAGCTGATCCGCGCCCCGACTGGATAATGAAGAGCATTTGCCTGCCCCCCAAGGACCGCTTTCGGAATCCCGGTTATGAGACTCAGCTCATGCGAGATGTAGTCGCGAGATGCGATGGGACCCCATCCCCGGCCGAAGAAATAGACGCGCCGAGAGGCCACCAGCTCCTGTAGCGTCCAACCCCGCTGAAACCAGCGGCTGCCTGCAAATGCGGATGCAACCCCGAAGTCGCAAGACCCCCAGACCGATGGATGTAGGCGGAACAGGTGCTGTTCGTACACCAATGACTTTATTGGGGGTGGCGGCACGTCCTCGAGGTATGCATAGCAGAGTTCTGCACCTGCGTACCAGGCGTACATGGAATTGATCGCCTCGCTAAGCTCAGCGCTGCTCGACTTGTCTATGCAGCAGGTGTCGATCCAGACGTATCGGTAGGAATACTCCCTCTTGCGCGACAGCCTGCATACGTTCTCAATCTTGCGCCAGCCGGCCTTGCCTTGCCGCAAGTGTTGGTCGGGGTGATTGAAGTCGGCGAATGTGACCTCCTCGCTGCCCCAGGTATGCGACAGAATGGCGTAGCGAGGGGGATCGACCATAAACTCCTCGAGTTGCATCGTCTGGACGTTGATGAGCCACATGGTGGCGATGTGGAGGAGGGCAATCGAGCAGCTATGGTAGCATTTGTATCGCGTTGCTGGGCAATAACCGAGGCGCGATGTTGGGCGAGGTTTTGGGAAGGTGAGGGGATGGCAATGAGGGGGGGAAAGGCAGCCTGCCTACAAATACCTGGGGGTTTGGTTCGTTTTGGACCCCTCGAGAGCACGTCCCCCC